GACCAGGCGTCCCGCAAGGCTGACCAGTCCGGACACCCGTGCTAATGACGTACGTGCAGCGAGCAGTACTCAGCGACCCTCTACTATGAGCGTACCAATCACGAAGCTGTTGGGGCAAACGAGTCTCGCGCGGACGACGCTGCTGCTGCACCGGGCCACTACAAAAAGCTCCCAAACTACCCACTCCAGGACGACTCCCACTACTGCCACCATGACAACCCCAACTGGCGTACCACTCACGAAGTTGCTGGGGCGTGAGAGACATACGCGGACGGCCCTGGTGCTGCATCTTGACACGCCAGGAGCGGCATTAGAAGCAGTAGCAGCAGGAGCAGCAGTAGCAGTAGCAGCAACAATAGCAGCAGTAGCAGCAGTAGTGGCGGTAGTAGCACGGGCAGGGCAATGCTCACCAGTGGTGGGAAGGGCAGGCGCACGACGGAGGCGACTGCGGGGCCGCTACAGCGGCAGGGCGGGGCCGCAACCGCGGCAGGGAGCTCCGCAGCAGCTGCTGCAGGGCGGGGCGATGACTGTGGCTAAGGGCTCCGCGGCAGTTGCTGCAGGGCGGGACCAGGCCGCGACGGCAGCTGGTGCAGGGCAGGGACAGGGCCACGACTGCCGCTGCTGCAGGGTGGGGCGGGGCCGCGACGGCAACTGCTGCAGGGCGGGGCAGTCCGCGACGGCAACTGTTGTAGGGTGGGGCAGGGCCGCGAAGGCAGCTGCTGCAGGGCGAGGCAGGGGCGGCCGTCAAAAGGGCGGGCGCGAGGTAGGGCAGGGCGACGCGGCGGGCAGGGGCGACGCCGCGCGGGCCCCGCAGGGGCGTGGCGACGAGCGGGGGCGACGCCCGGGTCCCGCTGGGGCGGCGCGACGCGCAGGAGCTGCGCCTCGCGGGTCCCGCAGGGGCGTCGCGAAGAGGCGGGGGCGGCGCGCGGGTCCCGCATGGGCGTCGCGACGAGGCGGGGGGGGTGGGGGGGGGGGGGGGGGGGGGGGGGGGGCGCGGGTCCCGGCGGGCTGCAGCCGTCGGCGTGCGGCAGCCGCGGCGCGTGGGTTACGGTCTGCGCGCGAGCGTTGGCCTACGGGCGGCGGCGTCCTACGGGCGGCGTACGGGCGGCCTACGGGCTGCGTAAGGGCAGCCTACATGCGGCGTACGGGCGGCCTACAGGCGGCGGCGGCCTAGGGGCGATGGCGGGCGACGAGCAGCCTACGGGGGGCGGCCTACGTGCAGGCAGGTCGCGAGCGGCTCGAGGGGCCGCGCGAGGCCGTTACGAATTGCGTGGGCGGCTAGCAGGCTGCGCGCGGGTGTCGATCAGGCGGTGCGCTGGTGGCTAGCGGGCCACGCGCGCACGGGCAGAGAACGGCGCGCGGGCAGAACGAAGGGCGGGGCGCGCGAGGGCGCACTGGCAGAAAAAGGCGCACGAGGGCGCACGAGCAGAGAAAGGCGCACGAGGGCGCACGTAAGGTAGGGCGCACGAGGGCGCTTCTGGCGGAATAGTGGGCCCGTAGTAGTAAGCGGTCCTAGGTGGCTAACCTAGGCTCGTGATACCATGTCAGAATCAACAAGAGTGATTGAACTAGGAAAGAGTTGGGTACAAGTAGGAAACCCTAAACTTACTGTACCCCATAGTAACTACCCCACTACGGCCTAAACAAACTGTAGCAGATATGACATTTGACAGTGTCTGCAACTTCAGCCGTCGCTTCTCAACTTCTCGCCCCCACAGTTTCTCCTCCTCCCTTGCCCTCTGTGATAGCCTCTAGTTTTGCTTATCATTGTGAACTATTACTCTGCAGTGGGGTACTCTGTAGTTTTGCTTGTTGTGCTTATTATACCCCACTTTGACTATGGGGGTGTGTCAGAATGTGATATTTGTCTAGCCTGCAGTGGGGTACTCTGTAGCGAGTATAGCCCAAATTAGGGTTTCCTATATGTACTCAACTGCCTGCTAGTGCAACCCCTCTATCTTGTTTCTCATTCCTACTAGTTGTTTCTGACACCTCCATCGTCTGTTTCTGCTCTTGTCCTTGCTATCGCTGACTTTGCCGTCACCCGCTGCCTTGACTATGCCACCCGCTTGACGGCTACTCCTCATAATATCCACCTGAGTTCGTCGTTGGCTATGACGCCTTGGAAGACAACAGTTTGAGCTAGAGTTCTTTGCAGCTGCTTCTCCCCATCGCTGTGCCACATTGTTAGAGGGTGCGCGCGAGACTGTCTGCGCGCGGGCTACTAATGCGCCTGAACTGCTGCTTACGTGCGCTAGTACACGTTAAGGGGGGGCGGAACAGGAGGCTAACTAGCTGGTGAATGAGTTAGGGAGGGAGGTAGAGGCTATACTAGGCTACGAATGTTACTGCTCTATATATACCGTCATAGAATGCAAGCGGAATGTTGTGGCTAGGAGAAAGTGAGATACAAGTAAGATGTCGAGAAATGCGTTGTACTTTCTAAGATATATCCCACTGTAGCATAGCAAAACTAACACAATATAAGAATACTTTGACACGAAGGACTAAGTTTGCCAAAAGGTTAGCCTGATAAGGGGCCGTAGGAACACGCCATTGTAGTGAAACCCATCGTCTCTTCCTCAAACTTTGCTTTAGCCCCCCCCCACCCCCCTCCCAGATGAACCCTATTCATATATAAACTCATACTGCCACGGTTTATACAAGAAGAAAGGTGTCATTCAGTAAGGAACATAAGTTTTCTTACACACACAATCAAAGTGATGAAATACATTTTATGTGATGATACTGCTCCTGCCATTGAATGAATTTGTGTTTGAGACAGGGCCGCCCCACCCACACATGCCAGATCTCCAAGGTGTGCTGGATATGCTAGTGGCTGGCAATCCGAAGGAGATCCATCCATTGGAGACGCTGCTGGCAGCGTTGGGCGACGTGTTCTTTCATGTTTTTCACTGCGGGCAGCGAGAATGACCAGCAGAGAGTATGTCTTCCAAGGGACTGTAGGCACCTGATTGCGCTGCATTGATTCGCTTGCACCCCTGCTTGAGGAGACAAACCCTTGAGCTGACTCGACGAAATCAAGGACTGGAATCCCAAGAGAGACGAGGAAGGAATCCCGCTAGCCGGCAACAATAGGGATTCCATTGGACGTTCAACCAATCCTTGAGCAAAAAACGCAGACCTTATCCTCGAACTTGACAGCATTTCGTTTAGTTGGTTGGTCGTGAGGCGGTGACCGGCAGGCAACTTTCGAAGCAAGGCAAAACCCAGGATTGTTGGTTGACAGAATCAGTCAAAGCGTGCATCTCTCGGCTATCGTAATTCCTGGGCGTATACCGGCCCTCACACAAAGATTCCAAGGAGACGCAGCACAGTGCTGCCCGTTCAGCACAATCCTGCCCGAAACGCCGTACTGTACCTTTACGCAAGGTTTCCCGCTCAGCCCCACGAACAGAATCTCCATTTTTTCTCTCTCAGGTGGAATGCTCGGATCTGGAAAATCTATGGCTGGAAAGATCTGTGGGCTCATCATCTGCTTCCACCAACCTCGACTCACTCCTTCCTTCTTGAATCACCCAGTCATGACTTTTTGAACCATTTCTGTGGTGATTAGGCTGTTCTCTGTGGTGGTTTGATGTGGAGGTTAGACTTGAAACTTGTAGTAGCCAACGTAGTTACGTAGCTGCTTTAAGCTGTCTGTTTAAGATTTAAACATGACGGCTCGGAACGATGACGGTGACGGGCTATCCCTCGGGCTCTCCACGAGGAACGACACTTGGCGAAACTGTGTCGATTGGGAAGCCACGTTGCCGACTAAGGAGGAGCTTGTTCCTCTTAATCAACGCCTTATTACTCCTATGCTCGCCGCGGCGTTCAGTATTAAGGAGTCAATGTACAACGTTACAGAGCAAGATGTCGAGCGTGCTGCGCAGGTCAATTTTTCTTCGCCTAGTTTCGAGTCGACTAAGATATATTTTCTCGCCTAACCTCGACTCTTTGCTCTGCCGTTATTTTTCGCTGGAAGTTCAATTCTCGCGAGAATGCCGTTATTGGATTTGAAAATTAATTTTGTAATTTAGAGATTCGTTGTATATTCAGACTAGGTATTATGCATCTCGATTCGTCGGATATTCAGACCATGCTTCTCGTTGTCCTCGCTCGCCTTTTGTTCCATTCACACATACATTTTTTTCAAGTGTGTTTCATTAATCGCTTGCTGTTCTTTATCCTTTCTTTATTCTTTTGTATGCAGGCCACGTTGAACAACATATTGCAACATCCGAGATTAACCACACGACCGGAAATCGTTCCTCCCAGCTTGAATCACCCTCAGTTTCAGTCTCTTCACACGGGAGCCTCCCGCGCCGCCGCTCCGTCCAATCACCCTCCTCCTGCAGACGCGTCTCCTTTCGCCAACGTTCCTTCGCGACCGTCGCACGACCAGGAGCCCATCGAACGCGGGCAGGATGAGCGGAGCGGGCGGGATTTTAACCCCGCTGACCGTTTCGTTGATGATGACCGCGCGCCACAGGGCGACCGCGCACCTGCGCACGAGCGCGCTCGTGCAGAACAGGAGTGGACAGAGCAGCAACGCGAGCACTTGCACGGGAGGCAGCAGCAGAGGGAGCAGCAACGGGAGCAGGGTTACCAGAGACAAGAGTTTGAGAGAGAGCAGCAGCAACAGGAGAGGCAGCAGCGGCTGCAGCAGCCGCAACGTGAGCAGCAGGAACAGCGCGAACACTTTTCTGCGTCAACTGGAGCGGAAGCGACGCGTGGGGAAGGGAACAAGCGCGCGGCCGCTGCGCTGTTCCCCGGCTATCAGGGGACTCCCCGCGACGGGGAGCCTAGGCGCGGGGATTTTGACGGACGGAGGGTTTATAACGAAGCGGATCACAAGCTTTCCAACGAGGATGGACGCAAGCCTTCAAACGAAGACTATCCGTTGGCGTCTGGACAGGATAGGTCTCAAGCGCGGTTGCCACACCACGACGGCCGGCTCGGCACTAGCAATTCTAATCCGCAGCCATCGATTCCCAATGATCCCGACCGTTCGAACGCCCGATTTGGCCCAGGCGGACTTCGAGGCGCTACTGCTGACGTGGACGCCAGGTTCGGAGGGTGGAGACATGAAAGGGTTGGCTCGGAAGCAGGTTCGGATGGAGGCTCGGGTGGTGATGGACGGGGGGGAGAAGGGTTGAGACGCACTGGTGGCGGGATTGATAATGCGCAAAAGGGTCGGAATGGGGGGTTCAATAACGTAGGAGATAGTGGGGGAAATAACCCTAGAAATTTGGCAGCTTCTGGAAGGCGCGTGTCGGAAAATGGACCGGAATTTTTGGAAGATGGAGGGCATGGTCGTAGGGAGGAGAGTGAGGAAGTGAGGGAGAGGGGGAGAGAGAGGGGGTGGGAGCGAGAGAGGAAGAGGGAAAGCCAAAGGGAGCGGCAGAGAGTAAGCGAGGAGGAAGACGACGAAGAGAGGGAGAGGGATTGGCAGCGAGAGAGGGGTGGAGAGAGGTTAAGAGAGGTGGAAGGGCGGCAGCAGCAGCAGAGGGAAGGGGGAGAGGGAAGTCAGAGGGACGGGGGAGGGATGAGCAGGGGAGGTGTGAGCGATAGCGTGGGGAACGGGAAGGGTTTGAGTATGGACGATGGGGAGGGGAGGAATGGGAGCCTGAGAAGCGGTAATGCCAAGGAGAGGATGCAGGAGCAACGGCAGCAGGAGGAGCAGCAGGAGGGTGGGGGGAAGAGGGCGAGGAAAGGGAAGGACTCTTCGCCTGAGCCAGACGAAGATTCAGGTGTGTGGGACGGATAGCGAATGCATCATCCGCATCCATCCGCACCGTTCTGCTCCCTTCCGCACGCATCCAAAACCATGTAACTGACATGCGGCCATTTATTCTGACACGTGTCAATAACCCATACGCATCCGTCCATGAATGATGCAATCGTGATACAGGCAATCAAGAGGGCAACAGCAGCGACGGGCAGCCACGCACTCTTAAGCGCCCCCGCCTCGTCTGGACCCCACAGGTACGTTCAAGAGTTAAGCAGGTAAAAAAGGTAACCCCCCCCTCTCTCAAATGCCTCTCATTCTGAACCCCCCTCGCCTCGTCTGGACCCCACAGGTACGTTCAAGAGTTAAGCAGGTAGAAAAGGTAACCCCCCCTCTCTCAAATGCCTCTCATTCTGAACCCCCCTCGCCTCGTCTGGACCCCACAGGTACGTTCAAAGTTAAGCAGGTAGAGTAGACACTCCCCTCCCTCCTCCCCCCCCTCCCTCTCATTCTCAAGCGACCTCGTTTCGTCTGGACCCCACAGGTACGTTCAAGAGTTTGGCAGGTAGAGTAGATTACCCCCCCCCCCCCCCCCCCCCCCCCCCCCCTTCCTCCTCTCCCCTCTTCATCTCCCTCACACTCTTAGGCGCCCCCGCCTCGTCTGGACCCCACGGGTACAGTAAACCATCTCCTGTCCCGTCCTCCCTCCCTCCCTCCCATGTGCTTTTACCATCCCCTCCCCAGCTGCACAAGCGGTTTGTGGACGCGGTGTCGCATCTGGGCATCAAGAACGCCGTTCCTAAAACCATCATGCAGCTTATGAACGTGGAGGGATTGACAAGGTGGGTGACGTGTGGTTGTGGAATGTGGAGTGTGTGTTTGGGTATGGGTGTGTGAGAGTGCAGGTGCGGGCGGGTGCGGGTGCGGGTGCGGGTGCGGGTGCGGGTGCGGGCGCGGGCGGGCGCGGGCGCGGGCGCGGGGGCGGGGGCGGGGGCGGGGGCGGGGGCGGGGGTGCGGGTGGTAGAGCATAAAAGGTTCTTAATGTGAAAAACTTAATATTTGCACTAAAGACTTGTACTTCCAACTCTTGTGGACATTCTCACTTACTTCAACATTCGTTTGCTCTTTGAACTCTCTATCCCTCTTTTTCCCTCACCTCTGTCCCCATCAACACCTCCCCTCCCTCCCTTCCCTCCTCCCCTCACCCCCCTCTCCCGCCTGCTGGTACTCATGCAGGGAGAATGTGGCTTCACATTTGCAGAAGTACCGGCTCTACCTTAAGCGGATGCAGGTGAGATGGAGAGAGGTGGAGAGAGATGGAATGAGATGGAGAGAGATTGAGAGAGATGGAGAGAGATGGAGTGAGATGGAGTGAGATGGAGTGAGATGGAGCTAAGATGGAGGTGAGATGGATGGAAGCCAGAGTTAGTAGATATGTGGACTCCACCCCAAGCAAGTGCAGGCATGATAGATTCTCCACTCTCATCTCTCCCTCCACTCTTCTTTTCTGCTCTCATTTTCTCCCTTCACAGGGCCATTCTGGGGACGACCCATCAGGAGGGGACCCGCTCTTCTCCTCCACGCCTCTCCCCACCAGCCTCAACAGCCCGCCCCAGCCCTTCTTCCCCCCATCCGCGCCTCCTCCCCCCACCGCTCCTCCCCCTCTCAACCCCCTCGCGGCCGCTGCTGCCGCCGCCGCAGCAGCAGGGGGAAACCCTATGGGGAACCTCAGGGGAGCTCTATCCGCGTTAGGAGCAGCAGGCCTGTCCTCCCTCCCTCCTTCACTCCACCCAGACGACCCTCTCCTCTCCTCCCCTCACTTCTCCGCGGCTGCTGCTGCTGCCGCCGCCGCCGCCGCTGCTGCAGCAGCCGGAGGAGGGTCAAACCCCCTGCTCTCTTCCCAGCTAGTTGCGTCTCTTTCGAATTCCCAGCAGCAGCAGCAACAGCAGCAGCAGCAGCAGGCGGCAGCGGCGCAATACCTTGCCGCTGCTCATAACCCTGTAGGGAATCCTCTTGGTGCTGCTGCTGCGGCTGCGGCTGCTGCAGCAGACCCGATTTTGGGACGGGCGCTGAGTGCGTATGCGGCCGCTGCTGCGTTTTACGACCTTCAGAACAGTCACGGGCAGAATAATCTTGGGCAGAATAGTCACGTTGGGGCAGGGTTGGGGGGAGGCGCTGGTGGGGGGATGCATGGGGGGGGAGGGCTTGGGGGAATGCACGCTGGGGGACTGGGGGGCGGACATGGGGGGGGATTAAGTGGAGGACATGTGGGGGGGATGGGAGGAGGGTCGAACCAGCCACCAGGAGCAGCAGCAGCAGCTGCGGCGGCGGCAGCAGCAGCGGCTGCGGCAGCAGCACAGCAGCAAAGGTCACCTTCCCTCCCTTTTGCCCCGTCCCAATTCAATTCCTTGCTGTCTGCAGCTTCAGGGGGAATGGGTAGCTTAGGGCCGGGGGGAGCGGGACCAGGGGGGATGGCCGGTCTGGGGGCTGGGGGAGCGGGACCAGGGGGAATGGGGAGCATGGTGGGTGGGGGGACTGGGCCTGGGGGGATGGGGAATCTCGGAATGTCAGCAGGAGGGTTGGGGAATGCTGGTAGTGGGAGTAGATTCGGGGTTATGAGTCACGCCAGAGATATTTTCGGGCGGGATTTCCCAGGTGGTGGCTTGGGGGGAGCAATGGGAGGGGATATGGGAGGTGCGGCAGCAGCAATGGCGGCAGCTGCGGCGGCCGCTGCTGCTGCGGCGGCGGCAGGTTCGGCAGGAGGAGGAGGGGGAGGAGGGGTGGCAGCAGGAAGGGGACCGTCACCGGCTCGACAGGTGCTGAGCCTCTTTCCAGAGCAGCAGTGAGGGAGGAATGGTTGACTATTGTAGCAACTCGGGAAGGAGGGGCGAAAGGGGGGGGGGAGGGAAGGAGGGGCGGCAGGAGAAGGGCACTGTTGCCGGCACAGCAGGTGCTGATTCTTTTTCCAGAGCAGCAGTGAGGGAGGAGAGGCGGAGGTCGTTTCTTTTTCAGAGCAGCAGTGTGAAAGAAGAGTGCTGGATATTTTTCTTCGTGGAGCAGCAGTGAGAAAGGAACTACGGAGGGACTTTTGCAGGAGCAGCAGCAAGGGAGGAATGGCGGGTTTTCTGCAGGATTAGCAGCAAGTAAAGAATGGCGGAGGGTATTTGCAGTATCAGCAGCACGTGACGAATGGTGGAGAGATTTTACAGGATCTGCAGTGAGGGGGGAAATGCTGGAAGGATTCTGCAGGAGCATCAGTTGCGGGGAATGCTGAAGGCTTTTTGCAGGGGCAACTGTAGGAGGGGGGAACGAATGCTTGAAAGTTATTGCAGGAGTAACAGTGGAGGGGAATGCTGAAGGCTTTTCACAGGAGCAGCAGTGAGGGGAAGAATGTTAGGGGGTAGATGGGCAGCTGTGCTACAGCAGGCAGCAGGTCGTATTGGGGAACATGGTCTGTAATGCTCCTGCTGAGCTTGTTAGGCAGAAGCAGCAAGGGTTCAGGCTTTTGGACAAAAAACGGGCCTACTGCTGCCTGCGGCTGCAGCAGCAGGGGGGTAGAATATAGTGTTTGGCAAGGTTGGAAGTGTGAGGAATTTTCCACCGTTTGCCAGGGTTTAGGATATGATGCTGATACGTGAGACTGCATGTTACTTCTGCCTTCTGGGTTTCTGATGTTGGGCTGTTGCTCTGCCTTAAGTGTAGTATATATAAGATATTAGGCTGGGTGTGAAGCTTGTCCAAGGATATCTGTTGACATAACGGTACAAAGGATAGAGCAAAGCAGGTACCGTTACGAATCCTGGTGTAAATTAAAAAAGATCAGGTGATTATCTTGTTCAGAATAAACTAGGACTACCCAGGAATCATTCACAATCACATTAGTAAAGTACTGTTCAGGGGACATTCACATTAGTATAATATTCTAATGTTTGTTCAGTGGACATTCACATTTGAAGTATCCCTAACGATACAGACTACAGGAAAATGGCACCTGCAAGACAAAAAACGACGTTTCCATTGCAGGCTTAGGTATGACCAAGAGGGAAAGAAATGATAAAAAATGACAGCAATATATAAGCTAGCCTCAGACATTGTCAGGTGAGACTGTATTTGGCATCACAGCATGCACAAGGCATGTCAGGATAGCGACGTTTATTCTCATCACTGGCCAGCTTCGAGTGTCATATGGAAGCATGATACAACAACGATTCCATAAGCAAGAGATAAAGACCAATTCGTACCAGAATAGAAGAACGCTCCCGAGGGGCGAAGGTTGCAGGTACAGGGATCAATCAGCAGATTCTGTTTCCGACTTCTGCAATTCCAACTTGGCCAGCATCACGGGACCTGGATCACAGATGAGAAAACATCGAAGGTCGTTAGTATTAGAAACCAAAGACAGGATTAGAACCGTGAGGACCTGGCCGATGAAATGAAAATTGTTGGTAGCCCGTTCGAGATTACTGCAAACTGATATCATTGCGCAATCCCGGAGTAGGGCTGTCTGCTTGATAATCCTCCATTCTAAATCGTTCCATGCGACAAGATCGCACATGTCGTTCTGCTGAACGGAGGGGTAAGCCTAATGCAATAAACGAAACGAAAGAAAAAAAATTGCGATCGCTTATTCGTGCGGCTCAGATCAAGAGATTCAACCGTTTTGTCCAATCGTCACAGTTCCCTCGAAAGGGATCGGCAGCGCGGATAAGGTCACATCATAGCCGACACACCAGACATGTGTAAAGGACGACGCGAAAACTCAACGAAACAAACACGATGAGGATCAAGAGAGAAAGAGAGAGAAAATGTGGCTTGAATGCTCAGGGACAGAGGAAGGTTAAATAACATCAACGATGATCAGCAACCTAAATTTTGTGCATCACTGCACAGCAAGCCACAAAAAGATCACCGAAGATTGCAGATGAATTAAACAGCAGACACAGCTGATGTACCACCACGACACAGACTTGGAAAGAGAATGTGGAATGTGCAAGAGAGCTCAGGGAATTTAACCAGCGGACATCAAAAGAATTCAGAAGCAGAACTGGCGTTTAAACTGGTTTGAAAATCATCAACGCTCCCAGACATTGCGAAAAGGGAAAATGAATTTCTTATCTCAAAAGGGACCTCAGTAAAAGCCGCTGTTTCTCTTCAGAAGTAGCAAGCTACTGATGTCAGACGGTAATTCCATAGCGATCATCAACGGCCCCGGTAATCGAAAAACAAAAAGAACATAATGAAGGGCGTTACCAAATAGCCCTTACAAAGTAATGTCCGAAGAAAGGGGTAGTACGAGCGGTGCAGATCGATAACCAGAGAAGGGAGTATTGTGGCTACTCACATTAATGTCACCTGGTCCGGCATGGTAAAAGCTCCCCGTCATTTGCATTGCAAGAGCCAGTCGATCTGGAATACATGACGTCGCGCATTTCACGCCCAGCAGCTGGAGATATCTTCGCACAAGTCTTCTCTTGAGGACCCGTTGTCAGTCGCCAGAACATACGAATGAGGGAAGATGTCGCTGATGGCAACCCATCGCTTCAAGTCCTGGTGCGGAGACCGCAACCATATGGAGCAAGCACGCTGAGGGAACTTGGAGTAAGGATAACCCGAAATGAGATTATGAAGGTGAAAGGTGGAGGGGTTGGGGAAATGAGAGAGGAGGGTGGTGAGTGCACTGGGGGGACGAAGTGGGGTTTTGGGTGCGGCTGGATGGGAGAGATTCCTGTAATCCTCGTTACAGGCACCGCAATTGCAGACCTGCTTCCCCGGTGTTACCGGACATAGAGTTGCGAATATACAGTATTCGAAATTGGGTGAATTTGTGTTACCGGTATTCTTAAATTCCTCAGAGTGATTGAATTTGGATACTCTCCCGAACCCTTGAATATACATCTGTGATAATGCATCTGCCGGTATTCCCCATAAATATTGTGCGTTCATTGGGGTGATCATTTCGTCAAAAGAATGCACATGCGCTATCCTTTTCGTGGTACAACTTCATGGTATAGCATTGCATGGAGAAATTGAAGTGTACACTCAATACTTGCCTAACATCTACCCATTTCTCTTTCACCTACCCCTTGGCTTAGGCACCAAGGGCGAAGGGGACGCAGGAGCATTAGGCTTCACAGACTTAGGAGGGGCATACCCACCTTTCCCAGCTCCCATAGCATTTCTATTTTCCCCGCTCGAGCCATTAGGGGTTGCTGTGCTTGTAGCGGATGCGTTACTAGTGGGCACGGGCTCCCTGCCCTCCTCTAGAAGCACTGCCTTGTGACTCAATCGCAGCTGGCCTCTTGCATTGATCTGGATTGGTGGATGGGGGAGAAAGGGGGAGGGAGAAAAGTAGGGAAGGCATGGTGGGTGGGTGGGCATGTGCAAGACTAGTGATCATGATAGAGTGAGCAATTGACGAAGAAGAGGGAGGGGAGGAAATGGCGAAAAAGACAGAAAGGATTTGCAGAGATGTTGACTTCACCTCAAAAATTTTGACATCGAGAGTATCCCCGACTGCCACAAACTGGTAGAGCAACAAATTTGGACATACCTAAGAATGCCACCCAATGAACAACCCCACTGTAGTGAGCATGTCAATAGGGGCACAAACCCACCTCAAGAATTTTGACGTCGAGAGTGTCCCCGACTGCCACAAACTGGTACAGCAGGAGAAGACCGGGGGGAACAGGAAAGGAATTCAGGCGCCTTAATATTCAACGACAGGTGAGACGGAGGACGTTTTACAGGGAAAGAGGAAAGGAAACAGGACAGGGGAGAAAAAACAGGGAAATGCGAGGGAGGAAGGTAGGCCATGGCCACAGAAAGATGGCATAATGTCATGTCCAAGGAAGACTGGAAGTGAATGTGAATGGATGTGCAGGGGTGACAAGATGGGGTGGAAATCAAGAGACGTACATCTTCCGGCTTGTTGAGTCGAACGGTGGAGAGCTCACTGACGTGGATGAGGGCCTGGGAGGGGGATGACGAGAGAGGGGGGAAATGGAGAGCGGGAGAGAGAGTGTGGGAGAGAGGCGTGTGCTTATACGTGTTGAGTCACACCGTGGAGAGCTCACTGACGTGGATGAGGGCCTGGGAGGATGGATGGAAGGAATGGGAGGGGGATGGGAGCGAGATGGCGGGAGGAAAGAGGAGAGAACGGGGGAGGAAGGTAGTGGGAGAGGGGAAAGGGGGCAGTAAGGGCAGGAGAGCGAGCAGCCGTGTACCCTCTACTGCTACGCTAATGAGGCAGAGGCACCACAAACACTGCCTGAGAACTGCTCTAAAGCGAGCCTAATTTTGAGTCGAGTCTATTTTTGAGTCGACTCAAGAATAGGCTATTGGACGCACCACAAACATTGTCTGAGAACTGCTCTGAAGTGAGCCAAGTGCTTTCACTAGTGAGCCACAGCACCTGAAAGTGAGAGGAGAGACGTTAGTGTCGCAACAAGCACTACCACCCCACTCCCCTCGCTGCTCACTTCCCCTCTTCTACCCCCCTTCTCTCCCGCTTGCTCACCTCTTTCCCTGGTTTGAGCTCCACAAAAGCCCCGTATGGAACGACAGTCTTCACCACACAGTCACTGCAAGGGGAGGCGGGCGAGGAGAGGGCAGGAGAGCGGGTGCATAATGAGTTGCTTAGAAAGTGAATCACACACTGGGCTGTTTTGAGAATTCTCAAAGGGAACGTGAGAGGAGCAAGATGCAAGATGCAACCGAGACATACTTGGAGAAAGTGACCCCTGTACAAAAAGCCTCCACCGCAAGTGAGAGATGCAAGATGCAAGTGAGATGCACTTTCAATCGCTCACAACGCCCCCTAGTCTGTCGACATCAAATGCAAAGCCCACAAGCACACCCACCACAGGCACCATACACCCACCGGTAGATCTGCCCCACTTCCGGCACCATTGTGAGCCACAATATGCACGCCCTTCTCAGTCACACGCACCACAGGCACCATACACCCACCATACACCCACCATACACCCACCGGTAGATCTGCCCCACTTCCGGCACCATCGTGAGCCACTATATGCACGCCCTTCTCAGTCACACGCACCACAGGCACCATACACCCACCGGTAGATCTGCCCCACTTCCGGCACCATCGTGAGCCACTATATGCACGCCCTTCTCAGTCACACGCACCACAGGCGCCATACACCCACCATACACCCACCCACCATACACCCACCGGTAGATCTGCCCCACTTCCGGCACCATCGTGAGCCACTATATGCACGCCCTTCTCAGTCACACGCACCACAGGCACCATACACCCACCATACACCCACCCACCATACACCCACCGGTAGATCTGCCCCACTTCCGGCACCATCGTGAGCCCCTCCACTCGCGCCTTCACCCTTGGGACACCCGTGAACTACCCATCACATGCATAGTCACTCACCCATTAGATTCACACCCATTACAGTCACGCCCAATACAGTCACACCCACCGGTAGATCTGCCCCACTTCCGGCACCATTGTGAGCCCCTCTATGCGCGCCCTTGCCAGCTCCAGTGCTGCCTCTGACCGCGCATATATGCGCAGCTGGTGGGGGGGTTGAGGGGGGAGAGAATGTACGGGGGGGTGTGGGGAGTGAACGAGGGGGAGAGGGAGGAGGGGGTGCTTAAGCTGCCCCACTATGCGCGGCCTCGCCAGCTCCAGTGCCGCCTCCGACTGTGCCTCCGCCTCCCACTATGCGCAGCTGTGGGGATACAGCGCGGGGATAAAGCGGGGAGCCAAGAGGTGGGTTAAGCAAAAGAAGGGGCACTTGTGTTGAGTCCCTCAATGTGCGCCCTTGCCAGTTCCAGTGCAACCTCTGACCGCACATAAACACACAGCTGGAGAGAGGGGGGTGGGGTGGGGGTGTGGGGGAAGGTGGGGGGCATGTGGGGGGGAATGAATGGGGAATACTTCCGAGAATTCTCACAAGCACACCTTTGTGAGCCCCTCTATGCGCGGCCTCGCCAGTTCCAGTGCCGCCTCCGACCACGCCTTGCGTAGCCGCTTTAACTAAAGGTGCCGCTGCACGCCTTTTGTTGCTTTATCTGTAGGATAAGGCAATCCGCAGAATAATCAAAATAACACTACTGGGGGGGGGGGGGGGGGGGGGGGTAACCACGTGCTGGTAACCACGTGCTCGTAACCACATGCTGGCAAGCATGTGCTGGTAACCATGCATTGGTAACCAGAATCACTCAAACCTGTCCCCCATCCTCGATGTTGATTGAGTCGACTCCAGATTCCAGACTCTTCAATGTGACCAATATGCTGGTAATTACATGCTGGGTCACCGATGCTGGTAACCATGCATTGGTAACCGGAAACTGGTAACAATGCTTTGATTAACATCAGCGATACGGCCCATACCTGTCCCCCATCCTCGATGTTGATCGAGTCGACTCCAGACTCCTCGATTATACTCTTTATAGTCTTGCCACCACTGCCAATAATGAGATTCACCTTTTCTGGGTCAACCTGCCAGGAGAGCGAGGGGTGGAGCGAGGAGGGGAGAGGAAGAGAATGAGGATGGGAGAGAGGAAGGCAGAGGGCAAAAACAAAAACGGTTTGAAAAGGATGGTCGCATGAGAAGATTAAAGTGGAGAATGAATGAATAAATGGTTGCATCCTGCCATATCGATCTCTACCCACATGCCACTATCCGCGACCCTGCTCATCAACACCCACCTGCATGCCTCCACCGCACCCCACCCCACCCCACCCCACCCCACCCCCTTCAATCGCACTGCACCAACCCCACCCAATCCCACAGCACCGCACTGGACTGCGGACCTGGATGGACTCGCATCGGGGGGCATATTGCGAGAGGCGCTTCGACGGGGGAGGATCAGCCTTGGCCATCTCACCTGCACAGAAGCACAGTGACATGGGTGCAGGGGTATATGTGCATGAGAACATATGTGCATGAGAACATATGTGCAGGGGTGCATGGGTGCATAGACACATGGTTGCATGGGTGGATGGTTGTAGATGGGCGGGCATGGGCGCATGGGTGCATGGGTGCAATGGTGCATAGGTGAATGAATGGGCGCATGGGTGCATAGCTACTCACCTTTTAGAGCACTCGCCCAGCTTGGCCTGGGCCAGTGTAGCCCAGCTTCAAATAATCAAATCAATTCCGAATGCTTTAATGTCCATCTGAAACGCCGCCACTTGAAGGCATGCATCACCTTTGGAAGACCTTGGGCTTGCCACTATCACCTTGCCTGACCCACTCAACCAGTACGTGCAGGCTCCCCTGCTTGGCGAGTTTTGAGTCGACTCAAAACTTGACTTGAAGGCATGCATCACCTTTGGAAGCTCTGTCACCTTGCCTGTCCCACTCAACCAGTACATGCAGCCGCCCTTCCGTGGCCCGTTCTCAATCAACCAGTGTAGCCCAGCTTCTAACAATCACATCAATTCTGATTCCTCAAACTTTAGTGTCCGTCTAAAACGCCCCCACCTTTGGAAGCTCTACCACCTTGCCTGTCCCACTCACCCAGTATGTGCAGGCGCCCTTCCTTGGCACGTTCAAGAGCGGCTCTCATCACATCAATCGTAATCCCTTGCACCTTGATATCCATCTGAAAGGCCGTCACACCCCAGACTGTCTCTCACTACGTCTCACCTTGACATATGTGTGAGGATCAGGGAGATCCCTTCCTTGCCTGTCCCACTCACCCAGTATGTGCAGACGTCCCTCCTTAGCGCGTGCAAGAGCCGTCCGCATGACGCCGTGACCCCCTTGGCACTGCCCGCCTCCTTTTACCGCACTCACCCAGTATGTGCAGCCGCCATTCCTTAGCGCGTGCAAGAGCGGTGCGCATGACATCGATGGTGATCCCTTGAACCTTGATGTCCATCTGGAAGGCTGTGACCCCCTTGGCACTGCCCGCCACCTTGAAGTCCATGTCCCGCAGCGCATCCTCCAAGCCCAGAATGACCGTCAGTACCTCTCACATTGACTTGAAGTCCATGTCCCCCAGCGCATCCTCCGACTCCAGAATGTTTGTGAGAAACACGGGTGTGCCTGGGGAGAGGAGGGTATCCTCCCATCCTAGAAGCAGCCGGCCGCACAGCAAGCACTCACCCAGTATGTGAAGCCGCCCTTCCTTGGCTCGCTGTAAAGCGGTCCGCAATACATCGATGGTGATCCCATGCCATGTCGCCAGCTCATCGTACAACATCCGAAAAGCAGCCAGCCGCACAGCACTTACCCAGTATGTGCAGCCGCCCTTCCTTGGCTCGCTGTAGAGCCGTCCGCATGACATCAATAGTAATCCCCTGAACCTTGATGTCCATCTGGAAGGCGGTCACCCCCTTGGCACTGCCCGCCACTTTAAAGTCCATGTCCCCCAGCGCATCCTCCGACCCCAGAATGTCTGTGAGAATGACCGGGGTGCCGTCCCCTCCTGCCTGCTCCGTGTGCAGAATGAGCCCCATGGCTACTCCAGCTACAGGAGCGCGGAGGGGCACCCCCGCGTCCAGCATTGCCAGGCAACCACCACACACCGATGCCATGCTGCAAGGGAAACGAGGAAAGGGGGGTGGAAGTCGAGGGAAGGGGGGAAGCGGGGAACGCGCAGGAAAATGGCGACTTGCAAGCTCATTGGCTCAGGCCATACCATAAACTCCAGGGCCTGGTCCATCAACTTTTGAGCCGATTTTTTAGTCCACTCAAAAAATCGACTCATCACACGGGGAACGCGCAGGAAAATGCTGACTTGCAAGCTCATCGGCTCAGGCCATACCATAAACTCCAGTGCCTGGTCCATCAACTTTTGAGATGTCTAAAAACAAGACCATCATCTTATCCATGTACCCCAAACCCACCTGGAGGAGCCGTTGCTCTCTGTGATGGTGGACTCCACCCGAACAGTGTAGGGGAACCCTGCTGCATCCGGCAGTGTCTCCCAAACCTTAAACCCTCCACCTACACCCGCCTTGAGGAGCCGTTGCTCTCTGTGATGGTGGAATCCACCCGCAAGGGGTTTAGGGGAAGCCTGCTGCATCCGGCAGCACCGCCCCCACCAGTAACCTTTGAACCCTGAACCTGAATACATAAACCCTGTACCCTCCACCTACACCCACCTGGAGGAGCCGTTGCTCTCTGTGATGGTGGAATCCACCCGCAAGGGGTTTAGGGGAAGCACGCCGCATTTGGCAGCACCGGCCCCACCAGTGCCCCTAAACCCTTGACTCTCAGACCCATTCAACCCTAAACCTGTTAAACCCTAAACCCTAAGCCCCACCCACCTGGAGGAGCCGTTGCTCTCTGTGATGGTGGAATCCACCCGCACGGTGTAGGGGAATCCTGCTGCATCCGGCAGTGTCTCCCAAACCTTAAACCCCTTACACCCTGCACCACACCCACCTAGAGGAGCCGTTGCTCTCGGTGATGGTGGATTCCACCCGCACAGTGTAGGGGAATCCTGCTACATCCGGCAGCACCGGCTCCACCAGTGCCCCCAAACCCCTTAAAAATTTGCACCCTAGCCTTTTCAAACCACCAAAACCCACCTGGAGGAGCCGTTGCTCTCTGTGATGGTGGACTCCACTCGCACGGTGTAGGGGAAACCTGCCGCATCTGGCAGCACTGGCTCCAGCGACCGTTCAGCTAAAGCCCCGTGCCCCACCTCCCTGCGACTCGTGAAACCGGCACGTCCGGTTTCACCCACAGAGGAGGGCGGGAAGGTGTACTGCGAGGGGGAAATGAAGGGGGGATATGGGGGAAACGGAAGGGAATGGGGGAGAACCCTGCCGCATCTGGCAGCACCGGCTCCAGCGATCGCTCAGCTAAGGCGCCGTGCCCCACCTCCCTGCGACTCGTGAACCCGGCGCGACCAGTTTCACCCACCGAGGAGGATGGGAAGGTGTACTGTGCGAGGACAGGAAGGGGATGAAGGGGGGGGTACATAAATCAGGGGGTCGGGGGGGGAAACGGAGGCTCACTTGAGCTCCGACATGGCAGTGAGATGGTCCAATCGCTGTGCACTGTAATACCCGTACAGTAACAACACATCAATACAGACACAAAGCTTCCCAGGCACCCATCATCACAAGCACACACCATCACAGCCGCACATCTCCCCTGCAAGTAGAAGCACTTGAGCTGGCCCAACCATTCCCCTCCCTCCACCCCCCCTCCTCACACACCATCTCAGCCACACATCTCACCTGCAGGTAGAACCGCTTGAGCTCTGACGTGGCAGTGAGGTGGTCCAATCGCTGCGCGCTGTCCTCCCCCCCCAGTGTCGCCACTGCGAGCGCCTGGGGTGACAGGGGGGAGGGGAAAGGCGAAGAGGGAAGGGGGAGAAGGTGAGGGAAATGGGGAAGGGGGAGGAAAAAGTTCAGTGGCTCAATTGGTCCAGTCACTGCGACTGCCAAGGCTTTTGGATGGGGCTAGGGGAAAAGGACAACAAGGAAAGGGCAAAGGAGAAGGGGGAATGGGGGAGGGGGAAAGGGGAAAGGGTATGATGAAAAGGGGGAGGGGGAACAGGGAAGAAATAAAAAAAAAACCACCCTATTCAACCTTCCCCCCCTCCACCCACCCACCCACCCACAGGTTCACCCACCTGTGTTTCTCCTCAGGTGAACAGTGCGCTGCCATGCACACGTGGCAGAACGCCACAGGCTGACTCGATGGGACGCATGTCACCAGGTGCTAAGCTGACCCCCCATCTCTCCAAACCCAACCCAGCCCAGCCCAACCCACCTGTACACCCACAGATCCACCCACCTGTGTTTCCCCTCGGGTGAACAGTGCACTGCCATGCACACGTGGCAGAACGCCACAGGCTGACTCGATGGGACGCACGTCACTGGTTCCCCGGCCATCGCTGCGACGACCCTCCTGTTGCAGGGGTTGGGGGGGGAGGTAGGGTGGCATGGACACGGGACATGGGGCATGGGGCATGGGGAAGGGGACGGGACATGGGCAAAGGTGAGTTGTGATTTGAGTCAAAGAACGCCACAGGCGGACTCAATGGGGGGCACATCACTGGTTCCCCGCCCGTTGCTGTGACGACCCTCCTGTTGCAGCAGAGGAAGGAGGGGAGAAACACGGGTGGCCAGCGGCATGGGACATGGGGCATGGGGGATGGGACGCCATATTCCACCGGGTCATATTCCTCTCTGTCTCGGTATTGTTGTTTCGAGGCCCCTCAGAGTAAACACACAAGCACTCACGGTGACAATGATGCGTCGCCTGATGCTAGAATTCAGCTCCTTGAGCTGCTTCTTCACATCCACCGGGTCATATGTCCCCCATCTTGTTGTATTGAGACTCCAGCAAGCAATCACGACTCTGTCACATCTAGCACTCACGGTGACAATGATGATCCGCACATCTCGCATGATCCGAGACGTCAGCTCCTTGAGCTGCTTCTTCACATCCACCGGGTCACATACCGCCCTGTCTCCATCCAGTTGTTTAAGGCCTTTCCAGAGCAAGCAATCACTCACAGTTTACCCCAGGGCACTCACGGTGACAATGATGCGCCGTATGATGCGAGCCGTCAGCTCCTTGAGCTGCTTCTTCACATCCACCAGGTCATATGCCACCTCCACCACATCCGCCCTCCCTGTCTCCCTACCTCTCTGGCTAGTTGTTCTGAGAAGCTTCTTCCCATACACAGGGTCATATGCCTCCCTGTCTCTGTTGTTTTGAGGCCCCCACACTCACGGTGACAAAGATGCGTCGCATGATGCGAGAAGTCAGCTCCTTGAGCTGCTTCTTCACATCCACCGGGTCATATGCCCCCCTGTCTCCCCCATCTTGTTGTATTGAGACTCCAGCAAGCAATCACGGCTCTGTCACATCTAGCACTCACGGTGACAATGATGCGTCGCATGATCCGGGACGTCAGCTCCTTGAGCTGCTTCTTCACATCCACCGGGTCATATGCCACCTCCACCACATCCGCCCTCCCTGTCTCCCTACCTCTCTGGCTAGTTGTTCTGAGAAGCTTCTTCCCATACACAGGGTCATATGCCTCCCTGTCTCTGTTGTTTTGAGGCCCCTCAGAAATTCACACACTCACGGTGACAAAGATGCGTCGCATGATGCGAGAAGTCAGCTCCTTGAGCTGCTTCTTCACATCCACCGGGTCATATGCCCCCCTGTCTCCCCCATCTTGTTGTATTGAGACTCCAGCAAGCAATCACGGCTCTGTCACATCTAGCACTCACGGTGACAATGATGCGTCGCATGATCCGGGACGTCAGCTCCTTGAGCTGCTTCTTCACATCCACCGGGTCATATGCCACCTCCACCACATCCGCCTTCCCCTTCCCTTTGCCCACGCCCTTCCCCATGCCTGTCCCTGTGCCTTTCACATGCACCTCCCCCTCGTCCACATCTCCTGGCGGCACCACCAGCCCTTCCTCCTCTGCCAGCTCTGCTTCCTCGTCCTCCTCCTTTGCTGCCTGAAGTTGGGTGTGTGTGGATGGGCGGGGATGAGTGCAAGTGTGAGTCCACAACCCCTAGCACGGAGGCAACCATGTCTTGTCCCTGTGCCTTTTACATGCACCTCCCCTTCATACACGTCCCCTAGTGGCACCACCAGCCCTTCCTCCTCTGCCAGCTCTGCTTCCTCATCCTCCTCCTTTGCTGCCTGAAAGGCAGTCAAAAGATGTGACACATGGGTGGGGACGGGTGGTGATGGGTGGGGATGGGTGGGGATGGCGCAGTTGTGAGGTGATTCAAGGGGCCTTGTGAGGCCACTACACGTCCCCTGGCAGCACCACTCAACTGGCGGGTTGCAGCCTGCTCCGCATCTGCGAGAAGCCCCAGCACCCTGCCACCCGCTCCTCTTATCTGCTGCTGACTCTGCTTCAATTCTCCTGTCCTCCTCTCACCTGCCTGATTGCTGCCTGCCCCGCCTCTGTGAGCGCTCCCAGCACCTTCTCCTCTACTGCCTTCATAGCCACCCCCCGCTGCTTCTTCCCCTCGATCCTCAGCGCCGCTTCCAAGTCCGCCCCCACCAGTCCCTCCAGCCGACCCAGCAGGTCAGCCGGTGGGGCGTGGATGGCGGCAGTGAGCTTCGGCTTTGCCACTCCCTCCACCTCCTGGGTCCACTTGTGTAGGCCGCGGCAGATGGCACTGATGGCTTGCTGCAAGTAAGGGGGGTGTAGGTGGGTGGGTGGGTAGGTATGGGTGTATGGGTGTATCGGTGTGCGGGCATGTGTGCAAATGGAGGCGTGGATGGCGGCAGCGAACTTAAGATTTAACACTCTCCCAGTCTCCTGGGTCCACTTACGTAGGCCGTGGCAGATGGCACTGATGGATTGCTGTGCGTCGATGGGTGGGTGTGTGCCAGAGAGTGGGTGCGCGTATGCGAAAAGAGGAAAGTGGGGTTTCAAAACTGAATTGAAGTCTTTTCGTTGTAGGCCATTCACAAACGAGTTTAGAGAAGATTGCAGGCATTGAACAGACACTAGCAGGGCTTATCTTCATGGATGACTGACGTCTTGTTATAAAAGAAGAATAAACAAAGAATAAAAAACCCGTAACAATGGATACAACCACCCACCTGCCCTGCTGCAACGGCCTCCAGAAGCTGCTCCTCCGACAGGAGGTTGCAGTAGCCCTGCGGGAAAGAGGAGGGTACGTGGGGAGAGGAGTAAGGGAGGAGCAGGCGAAAGGGTTTCTTGATGTCAAGAGGTGAGGTGAGGTGAGGTGAGGTGAGGTGAGGTGAGACAGCACTTGCCCTGCTGCAACGGCCTCCAGAAGCTGCTCCTCCAACAGAATGTTGCAGTAACCCTGGGGGGAGAGAGGGAGGAGGTGGGCGACGTACAGGCATAAGGGCAAAAGGGGTAATTGATGGTTTTCGGAAAGGACTCTCGGAAGAGGTGAGACAACACCTACTCTGCTTCCACGTCCTTCAGTGGCTGCTCCAGTAGGTGAGGCAACACCTACAGAAAGTTCCAGTAGCCTTGGGGGGAAGCTAAGCTGTTGCACCTCTATTTGATCATGAGCACCGAGTTGGTAGTCCCACCCAGCCAGGCACCACCAGGTCTAGAGGCGAACCTTCCAGCTGCTAGTTGGTGATGGGGCGAACCTTCCAGCTGCTAGTTGGTGATGGGGCGAACCTTCCAGCTGCTAGTTGGTGATGGGGCGAACCTTCCAGCTGCTAGTTGGTGATGGGGCGACCCTTCCAGCTGCTAGTTGGTGATGGGGCGACCCTTCCAGCTGCTAGTTGGTGATGGGGCGACCCTTCCAGCTGCTAGTTGGTGATGGGGCGACCCTTCCAGCTGCTAGTTGGTGATGGGGCGACCCTTCCAGCTGCTAGTTGGTGATGGGGCGACCCTTCCAGCTGCTAGTTGGTGATGGGGCGACCCTTCCAGCTGCTAGTTGGTGATGGGGCGACCCTTCCAGCTGCTAGTTGGTGATGGGGCGACCCTTCCAGCTGCTAGTTGGTGATGGGGCGACCCTTCCAGCTGCTAGTTGGTGATGGGGCGACCCTTCCAGCTGCTAGTTGGTGATGGGGCGACCCTTCCAGCTGCTAGTTGGTGATGGGGCGACCCTTCCAGCTGCTAGTTGGTGATGGGGCGACCCTTCCAGCTGCTAGTTGGTGATGGGGCGACCCTTCCAGCTGCTAGTTGGTGATGGGGCGAACCTTCCAGCTGCTAGTTGGTGATGGGGCGACCCTTCCAGCTGCTAGTTGGTGATGGGGCGACCCTTCCAGCTGCTAGTTGGTGATGGGGCGACCCTTCCAGCTGCTAGTTGGTGATGGGGCGACCCTTCCAGCTGCTAGTTGGTGATGGGGCGACCCTTCCAGCTGCTAGTTGGTGATGGGGCGACCCTTCCAGCTGCTAGTTGGTGATGGGGCGACCCTTCCAGCTGCTAGTTGGTGATGGGGCGACCCTTCCAGCTGCTAGTTGGTGATGGGGGGCAGAGGCTCAATTCACTAACCCTTCCTCGGTATTACCTCGATCATGAGCACCGAGTCAGTCGTGCCAGCCACCACCAGGTCCAGAGGCGACCCTTCCAGCTGCTAGTTGGTGGGGCTGAAGAGTTCCATTTCAACAAGCTGCCCCTCAGGTTTGGGTTGAGGTTTGGGTTGTACCTACCTCGATCATGAGCACCGAGTCAGTCGTGCCAGCCACCACCAGGTCCAGAGGCGACCCTTCCGGCTGCTGGTTGGTGGGGCTGAAGAGTTCCATTTCAACAAGCTGCCCCTCAGGTTCGGGTTGAGGTTTGGGTTGTACCTACCTCGATCATGAGCACCGAGTCGGTGGTGCCAGCCACCACCAGGTCCAGAGGCGATCCCCTGCAGCTGCTGGTTGGTGGGGCGGCACTAGAAAACAAGCAGGTAGATACTGGACCGCACTACAATCAGGTGGACTGGGTTTGACTGATGTTGACTGGGTTTGACTGGGGTTGACTATACCTCAATCATGAGCACTGAGTCGGTGGTGCCAGCCACCACCAGGTCTAGCGGCGATCCCTGCAGCTGCTGGTTGGTTGGGCTGAGAGGTCTCAACCCAATAACCCTGCCTCTCAGTTAATGGTCACAGTTTCTGCTGTACCTCGATCATGAGCACTGAGTCGGTCGTGCCAGCCACCACCAGGTCTAGCGGCGATCCCTGCAGCTGCTGGTCGGCTGGGGGGCTGAGAGGTTCCAATTGAACAACCCTTCCTCTCAGTTCAGGGTTAGGGTTTCAACAGTACCTCGATCATGAGCACTGAGTCGGTAGTGCCAGCCACCACCAGGTCCAGAGGCGACCCTTCCAGCTGCTGGTTGGTTGGGTTGACGACCAGAGCGCCATTCACCATACCCACGCGCACCCCCGCCACTATCCCCGCCAGAGGGATATCTGATACAGCCCTGGGGGAAGGGAATGGGGAATTGGGGGGGGCAGTGGGGGGGGAAGGGTGGGAGGAGGGTGGGGACAGGAGGGAGGAGCGGTGTTGGTTGGTGGGGTTGACAACCAGAGCGCCATTCGCCATGCCCACGCGCACCCCCGCCACTATCCCCGCCAGGGGGACGTCCGATAAAGCCCTGGGGGAAAGGGTGGGAAAGGATGGGGAAGGGTGGGGGAGGCAGGGTGGTCGGAGGGTAGGGAAAGCAGCTGCTGGTTGGTGGGGTTGACGACCAGAGCGCCATTCACCATGCCTTGGGGGGAGGGATGGGGGAGGGAGGGAGCGAGAAGAGTGGGAAAGGGCGGGAGTGGTGTTGGTTGGTTGGATAGATTGACCACCAGGGCACCACCATTCACCATGCCCACGCGCACCCCCGCCACTATCCCCGCCAGGGGGATGTCCGACACAGCTCTGGGAGACGGGTGGGGGAGGGAATTGGCAAGGAATTGACAGCAAGAGCGTCAGTGGGCAGGAGGGAAGGTATCTACTGGTGAATGAGTTTTGAGGAAAGAGGAGAAAAATGCAGTGAGAGCACGAGTGAGCAGGAGTGAGCAGGAGTGAGCAGGAGTGAGCAGGAGTGAGCAGGTGTGAGCAGGAGTGAGCAGGAGAGAGCAGGAGTGAGCAGGGGAGAGAGCAGGGGAGAGAGCAGGAGATGCTTACAGAGCAGCACCAGCAGCAGTGATGGCAAGGGCGTCGGGGCTGTGCTCTCCGTCGTAGCTGAACAACTGAGAAGAATCAGGGAAGGCGGGTAGGGAAGGGAGGAAGGTCAATGGTGTTTTGACTTCTGGGTGGACGCTAAAGCAGCACCAGCACCAGCAGCAGTGATGGCAAGGGCGTCAGGGCTGTGCTCTCCATCGTAGCTGAACAGCTGAGAATCAGGGAGGGAGGGTAGGGAAGGAAGAATGACTTCTAAATGGGCTCTGAAGCAGAGCCAGCAACAGCAGCAGTGATGGCAAGGGCGTCAGGGCTGTGCTCCCCGTCATAGCTGAACAGCTGAATCAGGAAGGGAGGGCAGGGAAGTAAGAATGATTTCTAACTGGGCTCTGAAGCAGCACCAGCAGCGGTGATGGCAAGGGCGTCGGAGCTGTGCTCCCCGTCATAGCTGAACAGCTGAATCAGGAGGGGAGGGCAGGGAAGTAAGAATGATTTCTAACTGGGCTCTGAAGCAGCACCAGCAGCAGTGATGGCAAGGGCGTCAGGGCTGTGCTCCCCGCCATAGCTGAACAGCTGAATCAGGAAGGGAGGGCAGGGAAGTAAGAATGATTTCTAACTGGGCTCTGAAGCAGCACCAGCAGCGGTGATGGCAAGGGCGTCGGGGCTGTGCTCCCCGTCACAGCTGAACAACTGCAGATCACAATAGGAAGGGTGGGGACGGGAGGTCATGGGTTTAGGGATGACTTTTGAGTGGGCTCTGAAGCAGCAACGGTGCCAGCAGCTGTGATGGCAAGGGCGTCGGGGCTGTGCTCCCCGTCATAGCTGAACAGCTGCAGATCACCAAGGGACGGTAGGGAGGGAAGTGAGAGGTTTAGGGTTCTACCGGTACATGAAAGTCGCTACTCATTTTTCTCAAGTGACTCCAATACGGAGACGAAGGTACAGGGATCTGGTGAGCGATACTCTACCATAATTTGCAGTTTATATATAACTCATTGAAGATTCTTCCAGTTTATATTTAACTCATTGAAGATTCTTCACCCCGGCTTTAAACCCGGAACCCCCAGTGTCGTAGACTCACCCACGAGAGGACCTGCACTTCGTGGTTCAACCCCTTGGCCACCATGGGACGCAGAGGTCAGTTGGGGAGGCGACTAAACACCCGAATCAGGTTACTATGGAGTAGTAAAAGAATTCACCTAAGCCCAAAACCCTAGACTCTGAATGCCGTGGACTCACCCACGAGAGGACCTGCACTTCGTGGTTGAATGAAGCCCTTGGCCACCATGGGAGGGAAGCAGAGAGTGTTGCTGAAGCACCAAGACGCCAGCTCAGGTATTTTTTGTAACGCTTCTTCCTGAAGCCCTAAACCCTTCCTGCTGTCCTCTTACCCATGATAGGACCTGCACTTCGTGGTTGAACCCCTTGGCCACCATGGGACGTAGAGGTCGATCGATGAGACGAGACACCAAGATCTGGTGAGAAAACACAGATGGGGGAAACCGGGAGAAGGAACTGTTGAGCGAACCGATGCACATATGGATTGGCCTCGCATATCCGCAACCCTGTTTCCCAACCCCCAATAAGCCTTACAGAGACTGATCTTCATTTCGTGTACTCGCACTTTCGACCTACAAGAAGCTATGAATGAGCAGCCGCTGGTGCATACCTCGTGGTCTTTAGGCCGGCCTTCCCTCTTGAAGTAGCCCCCGCTGCAGGCAGGAGGAAGGGTGTGGCGTGGAGAAGGCGATAAAAGCAGGAGAGCACACGTGACGTCAGGGCACAAATTGCCATGCAAAAGGGATGATTTTATTTATTCGACTATAAAAACGACTCAAAAAGGTGTGCGTGGGGAAGGGGATAAAAGCATTGAACCACACATGAGGGCACGAATCGTCCATGCAATGCGGACGGAAGGCAAGGGATGAGTGGGCTTAAAAAATCAAGACCAGCTGTCAGAATAACAAACAGCTTTCTCCAGTGGCGGGCTTGTTTATGTTCTCATGTCAGCAGAAACCCCTTGAAACGTCTCAAGGATCGCCTTGTTCGTTTCTCAGCCGATCACTCTTAACCACCTGGTGTGCCCACCAGCGCTGAACCTCTCCTGGTAGCTCACAGGGAGCGGCACAAAGTGCGAGCATGGTGTGTCCAGCACAGTATAGTATATAGGACGCTGAGCATTGGAAGTCCAGTCTCGAATCTCTCACCTGGTGCGCCCACCAGCGCTGAACCTCTCCTGGTAGCTCACAGGGAGCGGCACAAAGTGCGAGCATGGTGTGTCCAGCACAGTATGGTATATAGGACGCTGAGCATTGGAAGTCCAGTCTCGAATCTCTCACCTGGTGCGCCCACCAGCGCTGAACCTCTCCTGGTAGCTCACAGGGAGCGGCACAAAGTGCGAGCATGATGTGTCCAGCACAGTATAGTATATAGGACGCTGAGCGTTGGAAGTCCAGTCTCGAATCTCTCACCTGGTGCGCCCACCAGCGCTGAACCTCTCCTGGTAGCTCACAGGGAGCGGCACAAAGTGCGAGCATGATGTGTCCAGCACAGTATAGTATATAGGACGCTGAGCATTGGAAGTCCAGTCTCGATTTTCTCACCTGGTGCGCCCCCCAGCGCTGAACCTCTCCTGGTAGCTCACAGGGAGCGGCACAAAGTGCGAGCATGGTGTGTCCAGCACAGTATAGTATATAGGACGCTGAGCGTTGGAAGTCCAGTCTCGAATCTCTCACCTGGTGCGCCCCCCAGCGCTGAACCTCTCCTGGTAGCTCACAGGGAGCGGCACAAAGTGCGAGCATGGTGTGTCCAGCACAGTATAGAATATATATAGGACGCTGAGCGTTGGAAGTCCAGTCTCGAATCTCTCACCTGGTGCGCCCCCCAGCGCTGAACCTCTCCTGGTAGCTCACAGGGAGCGGCACAAAGTGCGAGCATGGTGTGTCCAGCACAGTATAGTATATAGGACGCTGAGCGTTGGAAGTCCAGTCTCGAATCTCTCACCTGGTGCGCCCCCCAGCGCTGAACCTCTCCTGGTAGCTCACAGGGAGCGGCACAAAGTGCGAGCATGGTGTGTCCAGCACAGTATAGTACATAGGACGCTGAGCGTTGGAAGTCCAGTCTCGAATCTCTCACCTGGTGCGCCCCCCAGCGCTGAACCTCTCCTGGTAGCTCACAGGGAGCGGCACAAAGTGCGAGCATGGTGTGTCCAGCACAGTATAGTATATAGGACGCTGAGCGTTGGAAGTCCAGTCTCGAATCTCTCACCTGGTGCGCCCCCCAGCGCTGAACCTCTCCTGGTAGCTCACAGAGAGCGGCACGAAATCTGAGGGCTCACTCTCCTCCTCCGATGCACACACCGTGCAGTACAGCACCTGGGTAATGGGGGGAGCAAACGGGGGTGTTGTTAGGTGGTGTGGTGGGCAGACGAGTGGGATTGTTGACTCGCGTATGTGTGCTTGAGTGCCTGAGGGCTCATTCTCCTCCTCTAACGCACACACCGTGCAGTACAGCACCTGGGTAATGGGGGGGAGTGGGAGAACGGGGGAGGTTGTCAGGTGGCAAGAGTAAGATTGCTGGTTCTTGTATGTGAATGCATGAAAGGTCGCCCTCCTCTCCTCCCCCAACTCACACGAAGTGCAGTAAAGCACCTGGGTAACGGGGGGAGTGGGGATTTAGGTTACATGCGAGCCTGTTTTGGAACGTCTAGAACCTGAACGGGGAAGTTACCATGTGAGCCGGTTCAATTGTGGAAAGAAATCGAATGGCGGTGCTATCGGATTACATCGCTCGCTATATGCACGCACCGTCTCTCCGTCCGTTACAGTCACGGCGCCGTTGGCCTGTCGCCCCATCCGGCCCACCTCAACGGTTATCTGAGAGCACGGCGTGGAGATGAGAAGGAGGGAATGGATGCGAATAAATGCGCGAGATGTGTTTCGCGTTGGCCAAGCCAGTCTCGACGGTTATTTGAGGTATAGCGGGCAAACCGGAAGGAGAGGGTCGAATGGGAGGGAATGGATGCGAAGGAGTGCGAGAGATGTGTTTTGCGTCGAAGGTGATCCCGGAAACAAAGCAGGGGAATCGGAAGGAGAAACAAGGAGAATGAGAGGGAAAGAATGGGAATGAAGCGAGAGACTCAAACAATAGAGAAAGCATGATTAGGCATTGTACCAACCGTACCTCTCGATCCCCAAAGGGTATGGAGACAGATCGAGGCCGAAGGAGGGGGCCGTCTGACGTCAGCCTGTTGGCGACATTGGCAGTTTCCGCGACCGGAGTGTCACTAGCATCGCTGGCGTCGCTCGTATCCTCTGCACGAGCATGACCCGGCAATCCCGAGATTCGCCGATTCGGGATTCTGCGGTTGTGCTTTGCTTCTAAGAAGCTTCCGGTTCCGGAAAAGGCGCTTCGCAATGAGATGCTGGTCAGCGGAGAAAACGGTGACTGTCTAACATTTGTGCATCCGTGCAGAGATTTGGCCGTCAAGTTGCCAGAGGCACTAGCGCAGAGTATTTGAGCCATGACGAATAGCGATTAATGCGGAAAGCAGGCTGACGGTTATGCGGAAGAATCAACGGATGGAAACGACGGAAGCCTCAGCAGCTTCCGCTGATGAATTCAAGGGAAAGCAGCGAAACGCAGGAGACTGACACGAACAACGACGCGTCTCGAGCTTTATGAATCCGGCATTAGAGAGGAAAACACACTGGCTGAGGAACAGTGATATTTCTGATAGACGACCACTAAATTAAGCCAAGTGGTGAATGGAAAAATAGTGATCCAGAGTATGCTTTTGCGTAGCCGTTCATGTATCGATGTTCAGAAAGGTGAGTAGCGTTCATAAGCGGTACTGTGAGCAACCACCATCCCTAAAGCTGCTCCACAGCAGGAGCCTAGTGGGAAGATATCGAGGTTTAGGCGGGAAGGGCGTGGTCAGAAGAGTGCCACGCTGGCGGAAAAGCTCCCTAGGTTGGTTCAAAAGGCAAACTCGAACACGTGTCTCTACACCACCTGGATAAACGTGGTTTCCTTACGCGTCAGGCGATCACGCGATTTCCGTACAGCTGGGAACAAAAGAAAATCCAAAGTATTTCCAGCTAACATCAAATCCTTATCTAATCGTTGATGGTAACGGGGTGCAATTATTAAGTCATGAAAAAAAATCGACATAAAATCAGGAGAGAAAAAAAACGTATGAATTTACGTGACAAACATTTATCGAAAAATAGAATGGCAATGTTTCTTAAGAGTACATGTAACACCCCTATCACGACTACATGAATTCACTCCATAAACAGCACAGGCGCGGGGGTTCAAATCGAAGATGTATCACCCTCCAATCCATTGATACTGTAGCTCCTTGTCCGCGCCTCGGCATCCCTTCCACTCTGCACTATCGCTAAGGATTGCCATCCAGGGAAATACCGTCGGAGATACGGAAATGCCGTTCGATTGGATGGTCCAGTGCAATATGCAGGCCGAGCCTTATCCGTGTATTGCAAGAGGCACTGCGTTATAGAAGAGCGATTCGAGCAAATCCAATCAAATTTATGTCGAGTACGGGGAGAGTCGCCATATTTAGTGCGACGTGTAGGCTACCGGATATTGATTTCTTGATTCCGAGTTCTGAGACGCCTCAAAACTTCATGTCGTCGTCGATTCGATTAATTTGCTGTCCGCTCCGGCTCCCCTGATTCGCTGGCCCTAATCGTCCGACTCGCTAGATGTCGCGGTTCCGCTTGCCGGCCGTTGGCTGGCTTTTGTGGCGCTCTGTAGCAGCCGCAGTAGCGGGTCTCGTGCTTATAACGCGGACAAATGCTCAAGGAGACGCGGGTCTGGAGCACGTGATGTCCTTATATCGGGTACAGCACTGCAGTTTTAGCATGATACGTGTCCCTATTTCGTCCTCCTTCCGCCGCACCCATCCCCCTGTCCGTTTCCCCTCCCCCGCTGACCGTTCCGCCTTCCCGCTGACCGTTCACCCTCCCCTGACAGGCATGGGAGGAGCCATATAGGCCGCAGGCGGACTTCCCCCTTTCCCCTTCCGCCATGCCCATCCCCTCGACCGTTCCCCCTCTCAAATAACCGTTCAACCTTCCCTCCCCACCGTTCAACCTCCCCTGACAGGCATGGGAGGCAGCATATGGGCTGCAGGCGGACTCCCCACTTCCCCCTTCCGCCATCGCTCTCCCCCCGCGCGTTCCCCCTCCCCCCCACCTGGAGGACTGCGTTGCGCTGACTGCCTGGCGCTGGGCGCAGGAGCAGTGGGAAGCGGGGGAAGGGGGGGAAGGGGGGAAATCAGGAAGTGGGGGGGAAGCTGGGGATGTGGGGGAAGGAAAAGGGGAAGCATCAGGGGAAACGGGGAAAGTGGGGGCAGAAAAAAAAGGGGAATCAGGGGAAGGCTTGCAAGGAATGGGGGGAAGGGGGAAGCTTCCCCCCTGGGCGGCGCAATCTCACCCCCAGCCGCCCTGGATCCTTGGGTCTGACGCGGCCAATCTGGCGATGACACGTGTCGCTCAGAGGGACATCTGGGCGCACCAGTTCCCCCCCGGGGGGGACTGCAGCAACGAACGCCTCCTATTGGTCGATTGGCCGAGCTCGGTGCACGGGATTGGTTCTCAGCTGCACATCATGAGCGCAATTCTGAGCCTTGCAATGCGGTTCAAAAGGGTGCTGGTTCCCTCTGGAGGGTCGTTCACTCGAGCCAGTCACGCCGATTGCAATGGTGAGCTGAGCTGCTGTTTTCTCCCCCTCGTCTCCACTACCTGTGTGACAACTTGAACAACCCCCAAAACTCCTCCTCCTCTCTCTTTCCCCATTCTCTGTCCCTTTCTTCCAGCCACAGGCACTTATGCTTCCTTCCACTGCTACTTCTTCCCCCTCGTCTCGCCTGCCTGTGAATACCAAGCTGAGCTGGCGGTGGCGGCGGCAGCAGCGGCCAATGAGACGCTGCCACGTATGACAGAGGAGAGCAAGGAGGGGGTTCTGGGTTCAGAGCAGCGTGTGGTGTGGTTCCATGGGGAGCCTTATAACGGATTGCGCTTTGAAGGGGATGTCAGGTGAGGCAGAACAGGGCTCAGGGTTTTGGGTTTACGGTTCGGGAGGAGGACAGGGAAGGGGTTCTGGCGTCAGAGCAGCGCGTGGTGTGGTTCCATGGGGAGCCTTATAACGGATTACGCTTTGAAGGGGATGTCAGGTGAGGGGAGAGGAGGGAGGGCGGGAGGGAGGAAGGCAGGGAGGGAGCGAGGAAGAGCGGGAGAGGGAGGGAGGCGGGGAGGTAGGCAAGAAGGGAGAGGTGGTTCGTGGGGGAGGGGGGAGGCGGTAGGGTAGGGTAGGGTAGGGGGTATGATTTATTCAACCTGCTCTCACATTTCCCATTTATCCCCCCCACTTTCCACCACGTCTGCAGCCGTTGGCCTAATGCGTACCGTGAGCGACCAAACAGCATAGAGCTTGTTGGATTCGTGGTGTTTGGTTCCCCGTTTTCTCCCCTCCCATCCTTCTATCCCCGCCCCTCACACCCACCAGCCGTTGGCCCAATGCGTACCGTGAGCGACCAAACAGCATGGAGGTGGTTGGTTGGATTCGTGGGGGAGGTTATACTGGAGGGAGGAGGTGAGGGTGGTTGAGCTTCATGTCACCTTATTCCCCCCATACCATTCTTCCCGCCCCAACTCACACCCACCAGCCGGTGGCCCAATGCGTACCGTGAGCGACCAAACAGCATAGAGCTCGTTGGATTCGTGGGGGAGGGGGATGAGACGAGACAACGGGTGAGATGGAGTGTGGTGGGGGGTTGAGAACGGTTGTGGGGGGTTGAGAACGGGCGCTGCATGTGAAGGTCGGTGCCCCAATGCGTACCGTGAGCGACCAAACAGCATAGAGCTCGTTGGATTGGTGGGGGAGGGGGTTGAGACGAGACAACGGGGAGTAAATAGAGATGTGCCGCTGGGGTTGTTTGAAGGTTGTGCTGGGGAGTCCTGGGGTGTGTTGGGTTGGGGTGTGCTGGGGTGTGCTGGGGTGTGCTGGGGTGTGCTGGGGTGTGCTGGGGTGTGCTGGGGTGTGCTGGGGTGTGCTGGGGTGTGCTGGGGTTTGCTGGGGTGTGCTGGGGTTTGCTGGGGTGTGCTTCTGCATATGTTGCTGCATGTGATAAATACCACACCACCAACTCACAGTCAATGGATCCCTCAACTGAGGTGACTTTTGAGTCGACTCAAAACAGTCTATGGATCCCTCAACTTCTTCCCTCTAACTTCCGACCGTCTCCGCCACACATCTTAGATCCTCTCAGCCTCCCTTCTTCTCTTTCCCCCAAACCCAACCATGCCTTTTCAGGTGCACTGGTGGCGGGCCCAGTCTATTCGTTTCCTCCTCCGCTCCCCCTCCGCCTACCTCTGCCACATCACCAACCGTGTCCGCCACACCTCCTACGGCCTCTCAGTTGCTGCCCACCTTGCCGCCTCTGCCGCCCACCAGGCCGCCCTGGCCCACTCCCACCCGGAGATTTTATCCTCGTTAAGAGCTGCAGCGCCGCCGTGTATAAGTGGCGATGGAAGCAGTAACAGCGCTGGAGCAGTGGCTCATGATATAATCGCTAACAGTAGAAGTAGTGAGGGGGTTTCTGACGTAAGCAACAGTGGTAGTGACGCTGGTAACCCAAGCAGCAGCAGTGGTAACCCCAGTGGTAACCCCAGCAGTAACCCCGGCAGTAATCCCAGCAGGAGCTCTACTGGTAGTAACCCTAGTGGAAACCCTAAATATACAGGGGCATTCCCGTCTGTAGACAGTGTTCTCAATGGTTGCACTCTGGAGTCCAGGGCATGGGCCGAGAGGCGACCCAACAGCTGCAGCTGTGGCAGCACAGACAGCACCAGTGAAACAAATACGGCTGGTGTAACTGAATCTTCCGCCTTCAGACGTCTTGCTCTTGGGGCCGAGCCGTACGTGCCGCGGCCGATAGTGAGCGTGCATGTGAGGCAGGGCGACAAGGGCAGTGAGATGCAGCTCAACTCCTTTGCAGCTTTCATGTTCTTTGCGTATCGGCTGAGACGTGTGGAGCCAGAGTTGAGACACGTTTGGCTGAGCACAGAAATGCAGGTGAGGGTGTGGGGTTGGCTGGACACTTGCTGTGGGTACACACTGTGTGGGTTACTAGAGATGCAGCTCAACTCCTTTGCGGTTTTCATGTTCTTTGCGTATCGGTTGAGACGTGTGGAGCCAGAGTTGAGACACGTTTGGCTGAGCACAGAAATGCAGGTGAGACAGTGGGAGTGGGCTGGGCTCTTCTTGGTACTTATCGCTCAGCACCGAGATCCAGGTGAGACAGTGGGAGTGGGTTGGGCACACCCCACATGCGTGACACTGCGACCAATCGTGAGTGTGCATGTGAGGCAGGGCAGCAATGGCATGTGTGGCTGAGCACTGAGATGCAGGTGAGGGCGGGATTGGTGGGTGAGCACTCACACACACGCTCGCACACACGCTCGCACACACACTAGGGCAGTAAAATGCACCACCACTCCTTCCCTGCCTTCATATTCTTCTCCTACCGGCTGAGGCGCCTAGAGCCGGATCTGAAGCACGTGTGGCTGAGCACTGAGATGCAGGTGAGGGTTGGTGGGGTGGGCAAGTGAGCACCCACGCACACACACACACACACACATACACACACACACACATACACACACACACATACACACACACACATACACACACACACACACACACACACTAGGGCAGTAAGATGCACCTCCACTCCCTCCCTGCTTTCATGTTCTTCTCCTACTGGCCGAGGCGTCTCTAGTGCCGGACGTGGCTGAGCACTGAGATGTGGGTGAGGGTGGGATTGGCAGGTGAGCACCCACATACACACACACACACACGCACACACACACACGCACGCACACACACACACGCACAAGGGCAGTGAGATGCACCTCCACTCCCTCCCTGCGGTCTTCTTGACTCATAGTAAAAGGGCAGCTGTACTAGAAGAGAATGCTGACTTTTGAGTCGACCCAAAAGTCTTCTTGACTCATAGTAGCAAGGGCGGCAGTACTAGAAGAGGATGCTTAAGCAATAGGATCAATAGGATCAATTCGTGAGATGCACCTCCATTCCTTCCCTGCCTTCACATGTATTTTCAATTGTCCCCTGTGACCCTCTCCTCTCCCTTTTCTTTCGAATTCTCAATAAACAGACTCACCTTCACTCCTTCCCTGCTTTCATGTTCTTTCAAATGTCCCCTGTGATCCTCTCCTTTCCCTTTTTACTCCTCTCTCCATCTATCCAGTCTGTCATCGACCAGGCAGATCGATTCAAGGAGTGGTCTTTTCATATTTCCCACGACCAGCGCCAAAGCAGCAACAAGCGCACGGTGGGTTACAAGTCGAGTTTTGAGTCGACCCAAAAGTGGGCATAAGCTGGTTGGCATAGCTGGTCGACACCAGGTTGAGTCGACTCAAAAGTGGGCATAAGCTGGTGGACTTATCACACAGAGCACATGGTGGGGTACGAGCAAGCCAAGGGGCATAGGCTGGCTGGGCATGAGCTGGTTGGCATGGCATGAGCTGGTTGGCATGAGCTGGTCGACTCACAAGTCACCTTGTTACAATGGCGAGCAGCAATCCTCTTGTTCCTGTTACCCCCTTCCCTCTTTTCCCTTGTGAATGTCTCCCTGCAACCCTGCAGTCTGCTATCGACCAAACAGCCCAATTCAAGGACTGGTCATTTCATTACTCGCACAACCCGCGCCAAAACAGCACCAAATTTATGGTGGATTACGAGAGAGACGTGGGGCATCAGCTGGTTGGAATTAGCTTTGCCAATCTGATTATCTCATCGCAGTGTGATTATTTCGTGGGCGCGCTGGGCTCAAATTGGAATAGGCTGATCAATGAGCTGCGGGTAACCAACGGCCGGCTTTTTAGAGGATATGTGACATTAAACAATTATGAATTCTGATTTATTAGTTCCTTCACTCGCACAGCCCGCGCCAAAACACCAGCAAATTTACGGTGGACTGTGAGGGAGACGTGGCCCGTGGGGCATCAGCTGGTTGGAATCAGCTTTGCCAATCTGATCATTTCCTCGCAGTGTGATTATTTCGTGGGCGCGCTGGGTTCAAATTGGAATAGGCTGATAAACGAGTCGGGATAACCAACGGCCGGCTTTTTAGAGGATATGTGGCACTAAACGATGACGAGTTCTAATCAGAACCTGTATGCTATCAGAGAGGTGTTTTGACACGTCTCAGTGAGCTGCGGGTAACCATCGGCCGGCTTTGAAGATATGTGATGCTAAACGACGAAGACGACGACGACGACGACGACGACGGGTTCTGATCCGATGCAGTGGATTTAGCGGGAGAACAATCATACACAAAAAGGTGGCACAAATAACGCTATAAGATCTCCCTTGCTGACACACTCCAGTCAGAACCTCCTCCATGTTGAAACATCTGGAGTGGCTGAAACACCTGAAGTGCCTGAAACACCTGAAGCAGCTGAAACACCTGAAGCACCTAAAACATCTGAGGGCGTGTTCCTACAGCCTCTTACGGTATCAGGCGAACCTCTTGTCAGATTCGCGTCGCACCTCACTGAAACACTCTTAATAACATTCGATCGCACTGAAACGCATTGAACCGCACAAGTCTGACAAGAGGTCCCCTGATAAGGGGCCGTAGGAACACGCCCTGAAAGCGCCTGAAATGCCTGAAGCACTGTGGGGTGGGGAACAACGGGAATGACCCAGCCAGCACACACGAGAATGTTGTATTAGCAATCACAATACAACGCCGAAGAAAGGACTGACTGGTGAAGCGGTGAGAGTTGAATTGCAGCGCATGAGGGCCACAGAAGCCGTGCTCGGGGGCAGGTCATTTGGTTCCCGCCTGCACGCCTGGAGAGAGGGTGAGTTGATGATTGAGTTGACTAAAAAATCGACTTATCATACGCACGTCATATGGACCCCGCCTGCACACTTGGAGAGAGGAATCTCCGGTGAGGAGGAGGAGAGGGTGAGTCGATTTTTGAGTTGACTCAATAATCGACTTATCATACACACGTCATATGGTCGCCGCCTGCACGCTTGGAGAGAGGATTGTGTAATGAGGAGGAGGAGGAGGAGAGAGTGAAGAAGAGTGGCAGTCTGCCTGCATGATTGAGAGTCAATGAAGACGATGCGGGGTTCAGTTCAGTTGAGGAATAGAAACCATTTCAGTAAGCCCCTCTCCGCCTGTACAGACCCCCCCTGTCAAATTACATCCCCCTCGTGTACGTGAAATCATCCCACCCCCGTTCAGAATTCCTTGTTTTGAGTCGACTCAACACACGACTCAAAACATGAACCCCACCTGTCAAATACATCCCCCTCGTGTACATGAAATCACCCCACCTGTTGAGACTCCCTTGCTGTCAGACCCAAACCCACTCCCTCTCCGCCCGTACGAACCCCCACAGTCTATTTACATCCCAATTGTGTACGTGAACTCACCCCACCCGTTGACTCCCTTGCCGTCAAAACCAAACCCACTCTCTCTATCTGCTGGCACGAGCAGCCAATGAAGGAGATATGAGGGATCTTTCAGGGGTGCTCATGCAGCACCACGGCCATGCCCCTCCGCACTGCTGCATGCTCCCTTGCGACTTTTGAGGCGCATCAAAAGTCAGCACCACAGCCATGCCCCTCCGCACTGCTGCATGCTCCCTTGCGACTTTTGAGGCGCATCAAAAGTCAGCACCACAGCCATGCCCCTCCGCACTGCTGCATGGACTCTCGCCTGCCCCTGGTGCCTTGGCGACGCGTGCACAGCTGGTGAGGAGGAGGTGCAGAGGAATGGGTGGACGGAGAAGAGAGAGAGAGCAGCGGTCAGATGCGTCGTGTGTGAAGGCGGGATCCGTCATGGCAAACGAAGACGAAGGGAAGGATGAGAGGAGAAGGGAAGCAGAGAGGGAAGAGGGGAGGGAGAGGGACGAAGGGAGGAAGATGGGGGAGGACATTCACATCACACCCCATCGCATCGCATCGCATTGCATCGAATCGCATCGCATCTCATCACAACACATCACATCACATCACATCACATCACATCACATCACATCACATCACATCACATCACATCACATCACATCACATTGCATAGCATTACATCGCATCTTATAACATCACATCACATCACATCGCATAACACAGCATATCACATCACATTAAAGCACATTCCATTAGATCAGATTACATTACATCCAACATAGCAACGTCAACAAACATGCCTCACTAATGCAGGATCCATTACAAAGAGCTGCAGCGTCACCTGCACAGTGAACCCAAGCACGCCCCCCTACCTGGCAGCACTTTTGCATTCGCAAAAGGAACACAGCTGCGCCTTTCGTCTAGGGGGGTGAATCGTGGAAGCGGGGGGGGGGGGGGGGGGGGGGTCAGGCGGGAGAACCGGAGGAGATAGAAGAGGGAGGTTGGTTGGGGTAGGGTGGGGCAGGAGGGGGGAGTTGATTGAGGACCAACGAAAGTCCTGGAGGACATGGGAGGAGGGGGAGATGGTAATGGAACAGGAGTGTGGGGAGGGTGGAGGACAGGAGGGATGCGAGAAGGGAGGTTAGTTGATAATGAATGTGCCTGGAACAGTAGGAAGAAATGATACAGCCCCTGTTGGAGATTTCTTACAATGCAACGAAGTGGCAGGAACATTTCTTGAAGAACTATCAATCTGACGGCATGAAACGGAATGCTTTTACTTGGTCTGGCAGGGCGGAAACGTATCACTTGAAACGGGAAGGAACTAAATGTCGTACTTGAATCGGAAGAGTAAAAAGGGCTTACTCGGAACGGAATGCTTTGCCTGAAAGGACAAGGATGGATTTCCTTATCGTTTGAACAGCGTTCCAGCACACTGGACGACGATTAAGCACCAGGGAACGTGGTTCTGCCACGTGGCATCCTGATTCTGCCACGTCACTGTGCTAAACCCTGACGATAGGGCCATCTGCAAGATCGCAGATTTCCTGATGTTGGCATCACTAGATAGGAGTAGCAGGAAAAGAAAAGCTCGCAAGATTCACACAAGGCACAACACCAAGCATTCCAGACCAGAACTCGAATCTGATGGCGGAATCCCCTAGGGTGGGCATCTGACGGCCAGTACTTCGGAACCAGAGCGACCCAGGACCCATTAGGGATGTGTACCAGGACCTATGTCTGAAGGCTTGCTGTAGACATGCCCTGTCTATGCTGCTTCATAGCAAATTCTCCCAAGGATCTCACCTCCGATCTGGGGAGCTACTTTCGCCAACTCTTTCGCATTCAGTTGTTCGCCCGGCCATCATGGCTCACTGGGTCGCAGAACCAGCTGTGGTCCCTCTTTGCCACGCCCTCGACTAACCATGGGCCGCCACGTGTCAAGGACGCACATCATGCACGCTGTGTGTGCGACGAGGATATGGTGACAACTACCGAATTTCCCCGGAGCTCTTCGCTCGGTCGAGGGGTCTTACGAAATTGCACGCCATTCTGCCGCAAACGCGAATCGTCGTAGTTCAGATTTGAACTTGGGTTACCCGGGATAGCGGAACTCCCGGGATGACCTTCCATCGCTTGCAATAACAAAGGGATGAAATCAGCAGCCCACCTCTTCAGAGTGTGCTTTGGTAGATCGGTCAAATTCTCAACCAAGAGCAGAGAGCAGCACGACGGAGCAGAGGCAAGAGCTGCTGGAGCTATCTCTTTGACGTCTTCATTTCATACGCCGTCGTTTCTAGCATCTAAGGTACTATGGCGTGTTCGTACATCGATAGGCTTTCGGACGATCTTCTCATAGCTATCTTCTGGCCCTCCAAACGATTCTCTACTCGCCGGGATGACGATGACCTGGTGTGGCCCTGCTTGCAGCCTTCCTCCAGATTAATTCGCAGAAACGATGAGCCATGCTATCAGCAGAGCGGCGACACCGCGTTTCCAAATGCTTCTCTTCCTCCAGCGCTCGCCGACGCGGCCTACAATCTTCTCCTCGCGTCCACGTGCCGTCGCTGGCGTCGCTTGGCTCAGGACCACGTCTCCACGCTCCTAGTCAAGAAAAACCGCGTTGTTCCCTGCGAGGTTCTCGCCGCGGCGGTCGCGTGCTTCCCTAACCTCACGCACCTTCATCTGTGCGACAAGAGCTTGGATAATATGGATGACGCATTCCTCGCCCGCCTCGCGGCGAGCTGCCCCAAGCTGACAGCCTTCCACCTCGGGAAATGGATTGTGCAGCGCTTGCAACACGACGACGCAGAGGAGCATCTGACGCTGGCTGGCTTCGATGCTTTCTTCCGCCAGTGCACGCGGCTGGAGCATCTGTCGCTGAATTGGCCGGAATTCCGGTCACCAGATTCGATCTTTCAGCTCGTGCGTCTCCGATCTCTCGCGCTCAACGATGTGTCTGACTTATTGACTCCAGACGTGCGCGTGTTCTCCGCTCTCACAGCTCTTTCCATGAACGCACCCATTTGGGACTACGAAGGCCTCGAAAACCTCGCTCAGCTCCCAAGCCTCACGAGTCTTTCCGTGCCGGATCTAATCGCTCGTGTAAATACTACGCCTCGCTTCTCGTTCGCGCATCTATCCTCGCTGAAATCGCTATATTTGGGGACCGGCTGGATGGAGTTCGATTTCATGTTCCCCCCAGACTCTCCGTGCAGCCGCCTCGAACGGCTGACGTTCTTCAACCGCGACGAGCTTAGCAACCTTCCAGACGACATCAACTATCGGCTGCCGTCTCTGCAGGTGCTGACCATCAACGAGTGTCAGAATTTCTCAGAACAACCCGAGCAGGTCACTTCCTTGAGGTGCCTGCGCAGCTTGAACCTCTTTAACTGCAGATTCGCCGGGTTGCCTGACAGCTTCGGAGAGATGCCGTATCTGACAAGGCTCGTGCTGTACCAGCTAGATGTCAACTTCCCTGCCTCATGCAGCAGGCTCAAGTCGCTTCAGACGCTAATTGTTACAGAATGCTCGTCGCTAGTCGAGTTACCAGCCCCGTTAGGCGCGCTCACATCACTCAAGACCCTCTGCCTTGCCGATTCTCCCTTGCTCATCCTTCCTGACGACATGGGAAAACTTCTCAGCCTTGAAACCTTCTTCCTGAAACCGTACCGCGCACGTCCCCGGCTTCCGTCCTCATTCACCCAACTGGCTTCACTCGCAAGGCTTGAGCTTCAGGAGTGTGATATAGTGGAGCTGCCAGAGGCTATGGGGGAGCTGAGATGCTTGCGGCAGCTGTACATCGTTTCCTGTTCGCAAATTCAGAAACTTCCAGAGTCCGTTTTAGCCCTTCTGAGCCTGGAGATTCTTGTGGTTGACAAGTGCGCAAGCCTTTTCTCTGTGCCTCAGAATCTGATCAATCTGACAAAGCTGAAGCAGTTGGAGCTGACAGGGTGTGAGAAGATGAGAATAGCTCCTGAATTCTTGCCGTGCTCGCTGGAATTCCTAAGCTTGGGGGGTCCTGATGTGGTCATCCACCTACCTGATACCTATACTCTTCCGAACCTGAAAAGAGCGAGCATGAGCATGGCGATTTTTCCATCTGCATTGTCTAAAAGCCTTTCCCCATTAGAGCACCTGCATTTGGTCATGGCATTAGAGGAGGATTTTCCATTCAGGTTGGCAGACCTTCCTTGCCTCCGCACTCTGACAGTTGCAAGCACCGGAGCCGTGAAGCTTCCACACTTTTCCAGCTCCGCTTTGCAGGAGTTACGTCAGCTGGAGTTACGATTACCTAAATTGACAGAGCTTCCAGCGACTATTGCAGCACTCCGAAAGCTCACATACCTGGAAATAGATGCTCCCAAGCTGCGTTCACTTCCTGATTCGATCGGAGCATTGACCCGCTTATGCAAGCTCATTTTGTCCAACTGCCCAGCTCTCAAACGCCTCCCTGATTCCCTCACTCAGCTGTCCTACCTTCGTGTGCTACAAGTTCGCAGGAGCCGCATCAAGTCACTTCCTTCCAACTTTGGGCAGCTTAGCAGGCTGCGGGTGCTGGATTTGCAGAATTGCAAACAACTGGAGTTTCTTTCTGAAGAGTTGTTACAGCTGAAGCTGCTACGTAGATTGAACGTTGATGGGTGTGACAAATTGCGCGATTCTTGTGGCAGGCTTGGTCTTCCTGGTTGGTTGACTTGGTATACGTACGGGGACAATCATTATGGCGTATAACTGGGAGACTCAATTGTGTATCCTTGTTACGGTACATGTGTCGAGAAATCATGGTTGCTTCATTGTATTGAAGTTTGTACTTTGTGGAAATTACCGGTACTGGTACTTCATGCACAATGGTTCAGTCCTTAATACAAGGTAATGAACCTGGTACCGTTAAGCATTACTGAAATCGCTGCACCAGAATGGCACAGCCTACAGGGAGTCTGTAGAGCGATTGCATCACCCTTACATCACCTAGCACTAGCATCTTCCCATAGAGCTTTCGTTCAAGAGCTTGAGAGGTGTTGGTGGCGGCCGTGGCACGGCAGGCACATCAAACCTACGGTAATGTGGCAGCATCGAGGCATGGCAGCATGGTGGGGGGAGCATAGAGGCATGGCACCAACAGCACTGTAACCTGATAAAAACTCCTTCAACTACTCCTCTCCAGGCATCAACAGCAGTTTACAGGAGACGCATGGAGGGGAACTAAAGAGCCTCCTGGCTGGCAGCACAACCAGCCTGTGTCTAAGGCGGGGTGATGGGGTCAGGATAGGTGGGAAATTCTGGCCGTTGCTTGAAGGCAAGTTGAACCCACGTATTGGGCATGGCAGCAGAGAAAGAGGAGGATGACCCTCAAGCAGTCATTATGAGCGGGCAGCTGCAGCCGAGGAAGAAGGGCTTGAGCATCAGCCGATAAATACGCATGGAGGCACGGAGGCGTGGAGTGTGGAGGTGTGGAGTGTGGAGGTGTGGAGGACGTGGAGGCATGGCAGCAGCACGACCTTCAAGCAGTCATGATTAGAGGGAGGCTTCGGCCGAGGAAGAAAGACTTGAGCATCAATCGTTCGATGCCATCTGGCGACCACTGATAGGTTGTTATGTCCGATATGATTTCCCTGAGAAAGGGGATGAGGTGATGGGAAGGGAGTGGAGGGATGCGTGGGTATACGTTACTGAGCAGGTTTTCTAATGATAGGACTTCAGGAGCAATAGTCTCGATGCCATCTGGCAACCACTGATAGGCCGTAATGTCCGATATGATTTCCCCGGAGAAGGGGAAACAGAAAAGGGGAGGATGGGTGAGAAGAGGGGAGAAGAGGGATGGGAAGGTAGGCGCATTTGAGGTGCAGTTATGTGTGTATGTGGATGCATGTGTGTGTGTACGTACGTGTTCGTCTCTGTATGTCTGTGTGTTTGCACAAGAAACACTCACCTGTGAGGTGTGAGGAACTCCAAATACGCGTTCTTGAGCGTGCGGGCGAAGCGAATCCTCGTCTTCTTCCTCTGCGAGTCGCTGATTACGATCCAACGGTTCTGCTCCAACGCCACCTCCTCAAAAGCTGAGTTGAACTTCTTTAGCCTGAGAGGAAGAGAGTCGGACAGGGTAAAACGAGGGCAACACAAGTCAATGCAAGTCAATGCAAGTCAATGCAAGTCAAACTAAGAGCAAACTAGATCCTCGTTTTCTTCCTCTGCGAGTCGCTGATCACGATCCAACGGCTCTGCTCCAACGCCACCTCCTCAAACGCCGAGTTGAACTTCTTCAGCCTGAAAGCATCAACAGAGATGAGCCAGGTCTGAGATCTCAGACTGCTCATCATCACCATCCAGCAGCTTGCCTTTTGAGTCGACTTAAAAGTCACCTCGTTACAATGGCTCAGGTCTGAGATCTCAGACTGCTCATCACCGTCCTTCTCATCAGCAGCTTGCACCAGCTTGTATCATATGATCTCCCACGCAAAGCTCTCTCTCCTACGCGGCTGCTCGCTGGAGATGTCTGAAAGCCTGAGATCTCAAACTGCCCATCACCATCCAACGGCTTGCTCCAAGTCAGTTAGAGACAGGGAGTCCAAGTCAACACAGGTCAACGCAAGTCAGGAAAAGTCAACACAGATATTAGTGAAGGGTCAAGGGTCAACAACACACCTGGATTTGACTGCATCCGCGCTGAGCTTTGCAGACACCTCCTCAGGCGCCAAGCACGCCATGAGCTGCGGGAGAAAGGGAAAAGAAGGAAGTGGGAGAGGGAGAGAGCATTGCTTTGGAGTAGGCCCATCACAGAAGTGACTGCATCCGCGCTGAGCTTTGCAGACACCTCCTCAGACGCCAAGCACGCCATGAGCTGCGGGAGAAAGGGAAAAGAAGGAAGAGGGCGAGGGAGAGAGCATTGCTTTGGAGTAGGCCCATCACAGAAGTGACTGCATCCGCGCTGAGCTTTGCAGACACCTCCTCAGGCGCCAAGCACGCCATGAGCTGGTGGGAGGGGAGAATGGAGAGAGAAATAAGCAGGAGAGTCATATAAGCTGGCGAGGGGGAAGTGAGTGAGTGGGCGAGAAAGACATCAAAAGCAGGAGCACAGACACATTATAGGCACGGGCACATGCATGGCGTGATTATACAGAGGTTCTCGACAAAATTCACTCACAGCCTTGATCCAAGATTGCCCCATAATCTGCAACACAGTCTCCCAGGCGCCTCAAAAGGGCTTCTGGAAATCCTTTTGAGGCGCCTCAAAAGGGCTTCTGGAAATCCTTTTGAGGCGCCTCAAAAGGGCTTCTGGAAATCCTTTTGAGGCGCCTCAAAAGGGCTTCTGGAAATCCTTTTGAGGCACCTCAAAAGGGCTTCTGGAAATCCTTTTGAGGCGCCTCAAAAGGGCTTCTGGAAATCCTTTTGAGGCGCCTCAAAAGGGCTTCTGGAAATCCTTTTGAGGCGCCTCAAAAGGGCTTCTGGAAATCCTTTTGAGGCGCCTCAAAAGGGCTTCTGGAAATCCTTTTGAGGCGCCTCAAAAGGGCTTCTGGAAATCCTTTTGAGGCGCCTCAAAAGGGCTTCTGGAAATCCTTTTGAGGCGCCTCAAAAGGGCTTCTGGAAATCCGTGCACTCAAGCTAAGAAAACGGGTAGAGAGCTGCAAGCTCGGTTCGACCGACCTGACTAATCTGATGAAATCACTGAGTAGTAATCTGCAACACAGTCTCCCAGGGGCTTAGGGATTTTGGAAATCCGTGCAGGAAACCTCTTGCTCACGAATGAAGAAGTGTTTTGAGACGTCTCAAAACAATCCGTGCACTCACCTCTTGCTCACGAATGAAGAAGTGTTTTGAGACGTCTCAAAACAATCCGTGCACTCACCTCTTGCTCACGAATGAAGAAGTGTTTTGAGACGTCTCAAAACAATCCGTGCACTCACCTCTTGCTCACGAATGCACTCACCTTTGCAAGGCCTGCCTTATCGAATGCACTCACCTTTGCAAGGCCTGCCTTATCGAATGCTGCCTCATACGCTGCAATGCGGTCCTGCTGCTTCAGAAGCATTTCTGTGTGAGTTGCAATCAGTGTATCACTCTCACCACTCAACATACCTTTGCAAGGCCTGCCTTATCGAATGCTGCCTCATACGCTGCAATGCGGTCCTGCTGCTTCAGAAGCATTTCTGTGTGAGTTGCAATCAGTGTATCACTCTCACCACTCAACATACCTTTGCAAGGCCTGCCTTATCGAATGCTGCCTCATACGCTGCAATGCGGTCCTGCTGCTTCAGAAGCATTTCTATGTGAGTTGCAATCAGTGTATCACTCTCGCCACTCAACATACCTTTGCAAGGCCTGCCTTATCGAATGCTGCCTCATACGCTGCAATGCGGTCCTGCTGCTTCAGAAGCATTTCTGTGAGTTGCAATCTGTGTATTACTCTCGCCACTCAACACACCTTAGCAAGGCCTGTCTTATCGAATGCTGCCTCATACGCTGCAATGCAGTCCTTCAGCATTGTCTAAAACACCTAGCAGCGACCCATCACGAATCCACACACCTTTGCCAGGCCTGCCTTATCGAATGCTGCCTCATACGCTGCAATGCGGTCCTGCTGCTTCAGTGCGTCCTTCATCCTCGTTGCAACACTGGCGGGTGGAAGAGGGAAGAAGAGAGCAAAACGAGGGGATGAGATGGGAGCAGAGGGACTCAATCCTGCTGCTTCAGTGCATCCTTCATCCTCGTTGCAACACTGGCGGAGGGGAGACAGGGAAAGAGAGGAGAGCAACGTGGGGCACAGGGTTTCTTTCTTGTTTGTTTCCTGTCAGAGGCAGAAGAACCCACAGCAGGTTGCCACCCACAGCAGGTTGCCACCCACAGCAGGTTGCCACCCACCACTTACATGGCCTCCCATGCCCCACTCACATGCTGCCAGCCACATAGTGCGCGTTGTTCATCACAAACACTGCTCCCTATACTCACACACATGCTGCGACACTCACATTTTCCACTCACTCATGCACTCACATGCTGCCAGCCACATAGTGAGCGTTGTTCATCACAAACAGCGCCCCCATCGCAGGGTCCTGTATCGCCCGCCCTCTCGCCTCCATGTTGAATAACAACGAATCCAGCAACCCCTCCATCTCTGCCGCCAGCTGGCGCCTGCCGCCCGCACTCGGGTGCTGCAGCTGATTCCCCCCTTGACCTGCTTGACTCCCGCCTTGACTCGTTTGACCTCCACTTTGACCACCTCTTTGACCGCCGCTTTGACTTCCTTGACTGCCTTGACTGCCCTGGCTTCCCTGCATGCCTCTGCTGCTGTGCCCCCCTTGGCCGCTATGCACTGCTCCTAGTTTACTCCCCCCCGTCTTGCTCCCCCCGCTGCTCCCCCCCGCCTTCCCCCCTCCGCTTCCCCCTCCCGCTCCCCCTCCCCCTCCCCTATCCCTGAAACTCGCCCCACCTATAGTAGCCAGGCCTATGAGCCTCTTATCTGCTGCGTGCCTTTTATAGACCATTTCTAGGGTTCCATAGTGGTCCGCACGGCTCTCCCGATCCATTAGTTGTGCGATGAAGTTAATAACGTAGCTTGTCACTTTATGCACGCCAATATCCACTTCTTCATCGTTGGTTGTTTTCTGCTCCGAGGACTTCCAGTGAATCAGCCTATAAGGGGTATGTGTGAGGCAAAGCAGTGTGAAAGAAATTGTGGCTCCATCAATCATCACCTCAATATTCATAAAACGTGCCTGAGAATGAGGTTTGAGGCTTGTGTGTGGAAATTCCCCCCTCAAGGATTTCGACTCCGGGGTGGACCAACTTAGAAAACAATACAACTGCCTGCACCAACCCTTCCTTCCTCACATGAGCAGACTTTTGAGTCGACTCAAAAGTCACTTAGAAAACAATACAACTGCCTGCACCAACCCTTCCTTCCTCACATGAGCAGACTTTTGAGTCAACTCAAAAGTCACTTAGAAAACAATACAACTGCCTGCACCAACCCTTCCTTCCTCACATGAGCAGACTTTTGAGTCGACTCAAAAGTCACTTAGAAAACAATACAACTGCCTGCACCAACCCTTCCTTCCTCACATGAGCAGCTTCTTCTTCATGGGAGAGTTTCCAGACGCCTTTGTTGGCCGGTACAAACGTCCCCACCCACTTCCCGGAGGTTCTGAGGATACAGCCGTCCCACTCTGACCATAACCTCTGCTCACCTGAGCAGCTTCTTCTTCATGGGAGAGCTGCCAAGGCCTGGTTGGCCGGCACGAACGCCGCCACCACGTTCCCGAGCTGCAAGAGAGAGGCTCAGCCTACCCTGCAAGAGAGAGGCTCAGCCCACCCTAGGGAACTTGGGAAAACAAGGCTCAGCCCAACCAAGCCTCACCTGAGCAGCTTCTTCTTCATGGGAGAGTTTCCAGACGCCTTGTTTGCTTCTTCTTCTTGGGAAAACAAGGCTCTGGCGAAGAGCTGCGAGAGACTTGCCTGCCACAGTGGCACCCTAAGGCTTGCATTCTTACACCCAACCAAGCCTCACCTGAGCAGTTTCTTCTTCATGGGAGAGCTACCGGACGCCTGGTTGGCCGGCACAAACCCTCCCATGGCCCAGCTTGTGCTCTCTTCCCCTAATGCATCGCATGTGTTCATCCCCCTCTCACCTCAGTAGTTTCTTCTTCATGGGCGAGCTACCGGACGCCTGGTTGGCCGGCACAAACGCTGCAACGTCCCTGAGAATGCGGTTGAGGTCGTCGAGAGTGGCAAAGATGGCTCCGGCAAAGAGCTGCGAGAGGCGCTGCCAGAGCTTGAATGGATCGTCTGAATCGCTCTTGGGGAGAGCGAGGAACACCGGCAGGGCCTGAACCGGGGAAAAAGGGGAGGTGTGGAGGGGGGAAAAGGGGGAAGAATGGGGGAGGAAACAGGAGCTGCGAGAGGCACTGCCAGAGCTTGAAGGGATCGTCTGAATCGCTCTTGGGGAGAGCGAGGAACACCGGCAGGGCCTGAACCGGGGAAAAAGGGGAGGTGTGGAGGGGGGAAAAGGGGGAAGAATGGGGGAGGAAACAGGAGCTGCGAGAGGCACTGCCAGAGCTTGAAGGGATCGTCTGAATCGCTCTTGGGGCGGGCGAGGAACACGGGAAGGGCCTGTTTAAGCGGGGTGGAGAGAGAAAAGGGGCAAAAGAGCAGGGAGAGACAGGGGATGTGAGAGGCAGGCGCTGCCAGAGCTTGAATGGGATCGTCTGAGTCGCTCTTGCGGAGAGCGAGGAAGACCGGAAGGGCCTGCCAAAGGGGGGATGGGGGAAGGGAGTGAGGGGAGGGGAGGAAACAGGAGCTGCTAGAGACGCTGCCAGAGCTTGAAGGGATCGTCTGAGTCACTCTTGGGGAGAGCGAGGAAAACCTCCTGCTGGGAGGGAAGGAAGGTGAGTCAGGGAAAGAAGGGGGGTGGGGGGGAGAGAGGGGAGTGGGAGAGGGGAAGGTGTTGGAGAAGGGAAGTAAGTGGGAGAGGCCGACAGCATGGGAGTGTTGAGATTGTCAGGATGAAGAACAACTGTGATACTGACTCATGAGTTACAGTGTTACCATGTACGACAGTAGAGTTACCCTAACTACGAGACGAGGTGATATGTCCACATGTCCACCACCTCAGGGGCGCTCTTACACGCAGCAATGGCTGCAGCATTCACCTCTCATTATAACTGGTTACCACCTCTAGTAACTAGCTGGTTACCAACTCTTGTAACCCACTAACCTGAGGGGAGAGGTCAACCACGGTGCAGTATGCCTCCAACAGGGCGAAGATCTTTTCAGTGGCTACCATAGAGGAGAGGGTATTACCTCCTGCACTGCACTGAAGGACCATCTGGTTACCACCTCTTGTAACTGGTTACCACGTGCACCAGGCGTACCTGTGGGGAGAGGTCAGCCACGGTGCGGTATGCCTCCAGCAGGGCAAAAATCTTCTCAGGGGCGCTCTTAGACGCAGCAATGGCTGCAGCATTTGCACACAGTGCACACAGGGTCGACTTCACGCCGCCCACCGACCCCACTAGATGCCGAAACACGCTGTCCGGACTCATCAGGTGCTCCCCGGGTTTCCGGGCAACCTGCTCCGTGCGCTTGCTGCTGCTCTCAGGTGTACTCTCAGGTGGATTCTCAGGTGGGCTCTCAGGTGCTCCCTCAGGTGTATTCTCAGGTGTGCTCTGGGACGTGCTGTGGGTCGTGCTGTCATTCGCCTTCAGCGCCTCGGGAGCAGGCTCAGGAGTTTCTTCAGGTGTTTCACACATGGGGTCAGGATGCGAGAGGAGATCCGAACCAGAGTCAGGAACGGCTGGGGTCGAAGCACTGTCGGGTGCAGAAGCTACAGCAATGACGGTGGTAACAGCAGCGCCGGCACTACTGCTATTGCCGCTGCTGCCGCTACTGCTGCCGCTGGTGGCACTGCTGCTGCTGCTATGGCTGGTGGGTGGAGAGGCGTCGAGAACGCCCTTGATGAGCTGATGCTCGGAAAAGAAGAGAACTCGCAGCTGGTGGGGGGAAGCATGGGAAACACAGGGGTAGGGAGGAGGGCAAGAGGGCCAAGGGAGAGCGCGCAAGGGTGAGGTGAGAGAGGGTGAGGGAGGGGATGGGGTTGGAGAGGCGTCGAGGATCCCACCCCACTGATGAGTTGATGCTCGGAAATGAAGAGAACGTGCAGCTGGTGGGGGAGAGCATGGGGGACAAGGGAACCGAGTGGGATAAGGGGTTGGAGGGAATGAAGGGAAGGTGAGAAATGGAATCGGTTGGAGAGGCGTCGAGGACCCCACCCCACTGATGAGTTGATGCTCGGAGATGAAGAGAACGCGCAGCTGGTGGGGGGGAGCATGGGAAGCAGGAGAACCAAGAAGGGAAAGACAAGACACAGGGAAGGGAAAGACAAGACACAGGGAAGGGAAAGACACGACACAGGGAAGGGAAAGACACGACACAGGGAAGGGAAAGACACGACACAGGGAAGGGAAAGACACGACACAGGGAAGGGAAAGACACGACACAGGGAAGGGAAAGACACGACACAGGGAAGGGAAAGACACGACACAGGGAAGGGAAAGACACGACACAGGGAAGGGAAAGACACGACACAGGGAAGGGAAAGACACGACACAGGGAAGGGAAAGACACGACACAGGGAAGGGAAAGACACGACACAGGGAAGGGAAAAAGGGGTGAGGTAAGGAAGAAGGGAGGGAAGGAGGTGTGTAGGAGGCGAAGGACAGGGGAGGGGGGAGAGGGTAAGAAGAAGAAACAGACCTTAATTCTGAGCCCTTAACTTGCTCATGGCTCACCAGGATGCTGATGTCTCTGATCCACAGCTTGATCAACGGCTCTAGATCCGCCCACGCCATGGCCTGGACAGGTTTCCCCCATATGCCTCTTGCTCACCAGGATGCTTGTGAGCCCCTTGTGCCTCCCCATGTCTCTCTCACCAGGATGCTGATGTCTCTGATCCACAGCTTGATCAACGGCTCTAGATCCGCCCACGCCATGGCCTGCGTCTCCTCTGCTGTGTACTCTTTCATGCTCACACTCTCCACCGCACTCGCCACCGTTGCCTGCCTCGCCTTGCTGCATAACAGTCAAGGGAAGCACAAGGAAAGGTTATCGACAAGCATGACATGCCCTGCTATCCCCTGCCACGCCATGGCCTGCGTCTCCTCTGCTGTGCACTCCTTCATGCTCACACTCTCCACCGCACTCGCTGAGCCACGGCACCTCTGCCACCGGCAACCACTCCGCCCACTCGCCCACTGCCCTACTCTCCTGCTCGCCCACTCCCCCACTCGCCCACTCGCCCACTCGCCCACTGCCCTACTCTACTGCTCGCCCACTCCCCCACTCCCCCACGCGCCCACTCCCCCACTCGGTCTCTCCTCCCCTCCCATCCCACGCACTCACCAGTATACAGACGCGAAGTGCTGCTTCCCTCGCGCTCGGATGACCACAGCAGCCGCCCTGCTGAGCCACGGCACTTCTGCCACTGGCAACCACTCCGCCCACTCGCCCACTCAGTCGTAGCCCACCTCACCCACCACCCCACGCACTGACTCACCAGTAGAGCGCAGCAAAGTGCTGCTTCCCTCGCGCTCGGATGACCACAGCAGCTGCTTTCCTGAGCCACGGTACCTCTACCACCGGCAACCACTCCGCCCACTCGCCCACTGCCTGTAGCTCCTTGCATATCGCTGCTGCTCCTGCTGCTCCTGCCGCTCCTGCTGCTCCTGCTGTTCCTGCTCCTGCTGCTGCTGCTGCTGCTGCTCCTGCTGCTGTTCCCTTACCCAGCATATTTCCAATTCCAGCACCAGCAGCGCCAACAGCAGCAGCGGTAGCAGCAACAGTGCCAGCGCCAGCAGCAACAGCGGCCGCAGTCTGAGCAGCAGGTTTGGCATCAGCGGTAGCAGAGACTGTTCCTGCTACTCCTCCTGCTGCTGCTTCTGGGGCTGCTTCCGCTGCTGTTACTGCTGCGACGATGGCACCTGCATCACCAGCAGCAGCCGAAGCACCATAAGCAGCAGCGACACCAGTAGCACAAGCAGCACCACCAGTAGCACAAGCAGCACCAGCAGCAGCTGCTCCAAAAGTGGGCGTGACTATACCGGTGGGAGTACACCCAGACCCATCGGAATAAACTGGGGGAATGGTGATTCTAGGGGGAGGAGCGGTGGAGTCTCCATCCCCAACAGCACTAGCAGCAGCAGAGCGAGGCAGGGATAAGGAATTAGACGATACAATTCCGAGCTTGTTTTGTTGGACAGGAAAGGACGAGGAGCACTGCAGGGTTGGCTGGGTGGCGGATCGAGATTTCATCACACCCCCTCCTCCTTCAACCACGCCAATGCTGCTAACACCATCAACAGCAGCAGCTGCACCTGCTGCTCCCACTGCTCCTGCCACATCCGACCCAATAAACAAAGTCTCCAACGGGCCACTCACAGCAGCAATGCTGCTGCTGCTCGTGTTCGTGCTGCTGCTAGCAGTAGCCGTCAGCACAGCATCAGAGAGCGTGGATTGAGGGGTAGAACACCCCACAGGAGACAAAAGAGATGACCCAGTCCCACCACCCATGGGGGACAACAGAGACGGACCAGGGCCCCCACTCGCCCCCACACTCCCCCCACCGCCCGCCACCCCACCTTCCGAACCTGTCCCTGAGGCTCGGCCCGAGCCTAGCGGCGAGGAGGCTCGGGCGGACAGCGACGCGTTGTACTCAATCAGCATCGGATCGTCGAACAGAAACTGGCTCGCGGCTCTCCCATGCTGCTTGTTAGCAGGGGAGGAAGGCGAGGGGGGTGGCCTAGCCCCAGATGGGGTATACTTCCCTCCCCCACTCCCTTCTCCCCCGTCCCCTCCCAAACCCTTAGAGAACAGATTCCCCGTAACCGAAAACGACCCCCCCCGGCGGTTCCCTCCTGCCCCTGCCCCGAAACCTGCCGCGCTCCCACCTGCACCTGCTCCCGCCCCTCCTCCTCCCCGGGTTCTCGGGCTGGGGAGAATCGCGAGGTTTTGCATGTGAAGTGCGGCTTTAAGAATGTGGAGGTTGAGCTTTCTGTTGGAATTGGATAGGACGGTTGTGAATTCTTGCTCGAGCAGGTCTAGCGCGTGGGAGAGTGGTGCGTCTATGCGGGAAAGGAGGGTTTGAATCTCCTGTAGGGAGCCTTCGGCGGTTTGACTTGCTTGACTGGCCAACTCAGTTTGACCGGTTTGACTGGTTTGACCAGTTTCACTTGCTAGGCTTTTACCTGGTTCGTCCAAAGAAAGTTGCTCCTCCAGCTGCTGCCACGGTGACAACTCTGGTGGCGCTGCTGGTGCTGCCACTAGTGACGTTTCCTCTGCTGCTGCACCTCCCCCTCCTTCCCTACCAGCCTCACCCCTCCCCCCTCCCCCTCCTGCACTCTCTTCCGCGCCCTCAGTCCCCTCGACTCTCTCAGTTTCCCCTTCTGCGCGCGGGGCTCCCCCCAGGGGGGCGCGCGCGGCTGTGAGCCGCGCTTGGAGGTCCAGCAGGCGCGAGAGGGCGGGCAGGACGGCGTCCGCCTGTCGCCGGGGGTGGCGCGAGCAGGCGCGCAACAGCTGGGGGAGGGGGAGTGGGGGGAGAGGGGTTGGGAGGGGAGGGAGAGGGGAAGGAGGTGAGGGCGGGTAGGACGGCTTCCGCCTGGAGCCGGGTGTCGCGCAACAAGGCGCGCAGCAGCCGTGGAGGCGGGGGGGTGGGGGAGTAAGGGGGAGTGGGGGAGGGACGGGGGAAGGAGGTGAGGGCGGGCAGGACGGCGTCCGCCTGCCGCCGGGTGTGGCGCGAAATGGCGCGCGCAGCTGGGGAGGGCGGGCGGGGGGCAGGATAGGATGGAAGGCAGGTTCGGTGGAAGCTGGCTAGGGTTCGATGGGAAGGAGGACCGCCGGGAGAAGGAGGACGAGGAGAATGGTTCAGAAACGGAAGTGAAGGAAAGAAGATTAAGAGAGGGAACATCCTGTCGCTTACACACACTGGATAATAATGCATCTATTTGAGTCTACCAACACACTTGAGACGTCTCCAAACGCCTCAAGACACACTCTTTCATCGTAAGTTTTTTACAATTGTAGTATTTCCATTAATAACCCTCTTACCTCTGGTAGCGAAGCGTTGGCATCGCGTACGAGCTCTTCATGGCTGCTGCCGCTGCTGTCCCGTCTCGAATCGGAAAGACTTTTTGCTACAGGATCTTCTATCATTTCGCTAGTAACGGCAGCAGAAACCCTAATTTTCTGGTTGCCCTCCGCTTCTTCCCCCTCCATCACAGGGGACGTTCCTGACCGTTGGATTTTCAGGGCCTGATCTCCGCCGTCCCCGTCGCGATCTGAGGCGAACGAGGTGTTGCACGAGGCGAAACGACAGCTGCTGATGTTGTGGTCGTCTAGGGTCATGTTTACGCTGGCGATGGCGACATTAACGACGTCATAAGAGACAGCAACGACAGTTGTTGATGTTGCGGCCGTCTCGCGACGCGCTCGTGCCCTTCGTGGGCTCGGCAATAAGGGCTTCTAATCCGTGCTATAACGGGGACATCAAGCTATTCCTCATAGGGGGGTGCGTAGTGATAGCTACTAGTAATGCCGCGAGCGTTTTGTGAAATGCTCACGTTGGCGACATTAACGAACAGCGGCGACAGCGGTAACTTGGAAGAAAGGCGGCAGAAGAAGCAGGAGCGAAGGTCGTTACAGCAACAGGTCGCTCGGACTGAATGGGCATCCCTGAGCTGCTGTCTAGTAGCGTCTGGTAACGGACTAAGGGCATTGAACCTAGAACTCAGTATTGAAACTTGGGGCACTGTGAACGCAAGCAGTGGTAGACTGATGACACTTGACACTTAGAAACGAAGAGTGACAGCTTCTGCTGCTGACAATGCGGGAAGCAGATTGCGAACGAGAAAGAGCTAACAAGCAGGTAGAGGGAAACTTGTCAGATTTAGGTTCTATGGCGGTAGTCCCCTGCACGCGGGTATCTGCATGCTACGCTCCAGAGTGTTAGAAAACCAGGCGCCTCGGTGAGTCTGAGCGTTTCTACCATCATTTATATTTAAATATAGACTCCAGCAAATTGGTATCTAGTCCTAACTCACGATGTGCGTGCACATTCTCCAACAATGCTTCAACTCCGTTATCTCGCAGCACATTTCTACCTCACGCAGCGTTGCACAGCAATAAGTTATTGCACAACTCCGCTGGTTAGGTCAACGTCACGATGACACTACTCATGAGAACTGCTATGCCACTTTTCTGACAACTGGGATGACAAGCGAGCTGAGCTGACAGGCAAACTTCACTATTCTGACGCACCAGATAAGTTCACCCTCACCCTGATTACTACGGTTACGTAAGTTTCTGATCGTTTGAAGAGGGTAACATACAGCTAACAAACGGTTTTAACGAGCTTTAGCAAAGTGGAGCCACTGCTGATATGGCAATATGGCGCGAAACCAACATTTGGGAGATGGGAGAGGGAGACGAGACGGGCAAAAAGGTGATGAAACGAGGCGCGGAGTGTGCCCTTTCTGCTGTGTTTGCTTCCGCCAAGAATCCCCTTGTTCAAGTGAAACTTGCGCATGCTCTGCGCCCCGCTGTTTTGTTCCGCGCGACAATAAAGTGGTTGCGCACGTAACGGCTTGGCTGGCAGGACACACGTGCTGCGGCGTTGATTGAGGGGAGGGGCTGCTGTAGATCAAGTGGGCCTGTGGGATGACATGGACGGACTTGGCTTGAGTCCGCTCCGCAAAAGCTCAGTTTTTCATCCTAAACTGTGAACGAATTTGGCAAATCTGTATAGAAACTGTGAATAGTTCATAATGAATGCTTACTCAAAATGGAGCAAGGGACAGCCCCCAGGGGCGTCAATCTGGGAGAACATGGTAAAAAATGTTGGGTGGAGGACATCTTTGGCTTGTCAGATAAACTGTCTTACGGTCACTTGAGAAAGGAGCCTTTGTTTGGAACGACTCGATGCTGCTGTAAGTAGTCTAATCTTGTTCCAGATTGGATCATTGGACAGCCTTCGGCAGCTCTGTACTTCAAGAAAATTCAATTAGCTTTCAGATGCTCTATGCCAGGTGTTATGCATCCTACTCATCTAACAGCAGCTACACTTTCTGCCTCATTCACACCTCGCGGCCATACCCATTCGTGCATCACAGACCTATCCATTCACTGGTTGTGAAGGGCAGCAACACCAGGAAGCACCTTACCCTCCACCAGATCCAAGCCCGCGGTGTCACCCGTCGAGACATGGGTCAACTTGTTAGCGAATCCTGCTTGTTCGACTGCTGCCACGGTGTCACGGCCTAGGACGATGGTCGTGGCACCACGTTCCGTCATTTCTGCGAGCTTAGAAGTAATGGCCTGCGATGGAACAGAGTACCGTAATAAGAGCAGGGATAAGGCGCAGTGGTAGAGTGATGATGAGAAGAGGACTCAGGGTTCCAATCAATGGTGACCCTGGATCAACATTAACAACCACATTTTCCAGCAGCAATTCAACATGGTTCCACGACTCACATTGGTTCCAGCCGCAAATTTCGGAAACTCATTGACACCCATGGTGCCGTTCCAGAATATGGACTTGGCATCAGAGAGCTTCTGATCGTATGACCTGATTGTATCATCTCCGAGGTCCAGACCCATCCAGCCGTCCTGAATGGCTTTTATTGACACCATCTGGAGGTGGGACGGGGGAGGAGAGAGGGAAGCAACACACACGTGTCAGCAACAGCAGCACGGCCTGCTTCCCTTCCACCCGTGCACCCTCCTCTCAGCATACTCTCAGACGCATTTTCACCCTAACGCCATGGTTACCAACTTCCCAACCATGGTAGCCTCACCTGGGTGTTGGCATGGGCATCGAATTTATCAGCGATATTGACGTCTGTGGGCAAGACCACCTGCACGCCCTTGGCTCACGCCTTCTCCATGAAACTGGCCGCCAGGCCAATCTGAGACCTCGAAAGTAGCCTCTCTCACCTGGGTGTTGGCATGGGCATCGAATTTATCGGCGATATTGACGTCTGTGGGCAAGACCACCTGCACGCCCTTGGCATTCGCCTTCTCAAGGAAACTGGCCGCCAGGCTTATCTGAGACTCCTCGCAGTTCGAGCTTCCAATCGATAAGCCCTGCGCCTTGTAGAACGTGAAGATCAAGCCGCCGCCCAGCAGAATAACATCACATCTGGAAGGGGGGATGAAGGTGGGGAATTTATTATGCTCCAAGCCACCTTGACGACGAACTTGGTTGGCTTAAATGCTACCACGGTGGCCACCAGAGGCACTAAAGTCGAATATAAGCAACGAACGGAATCATCTCGAGACGATATTTAAATCGTCTCAGGGAGGCTCTCCTGCAAGCCTGGAGTTAATTGAGAGAATTATGACAAGGAAAAAATCTCAAGAAGATAACAATAAACACGGATAGTATCATACTTGTCAAGAAGACTCTCCAGCAAGGTACTCTTTGAGGAAAGCTTGGATCCACCAACGAGTGCCATCATCGGACGTTGGGGCTCAGAGATGGCCTTAACCAAGTAATCTAGCTCCTGAACAAGACAATAACGAGTACACGGATCATGGACAAAAAAAGGTGTTATGATGGCGAGTGAAATAAAGACAGCATGAACATTATGATGTCAATAACGAGTACACAGATCATTATGATCATGTGTTTCCAACCGTTAAACTCAGGTTCTGATGGAGAAACGAAATGATAGCTTACCTTGGCCAGTGCGAGTCCAGCAACGGACTTGGAGTACCGGGTTATGGCAACGGTCGAAGCGTGTTCCGAGCTCGCCAGCCTCAACGCCTCATTAACGTACAGATCCGCATTTGCCGCGAGCTACTGCGCGAAACCGGCGTCGTTCGTCGTCTCCCCGGCATGGAAGAGCAGGTTCTCGAGCAGCAGAACTTCACCCTCTTCGAGACTCGCGACGGCATTCGCGACGGCGTCGCCGATGCAGTCGTCAGCCTTCTTCACCTGCACATGCGACGTGCACATGCGCGCACAAACGAATGTTTTTTAGTATACTAAACCAGGGTAGTGGGAACAATACGACGAAAGCGTCATCTGCAAGTTTCGGTGCACAAAAAGATTCATAAAATGACATATCAAGTTAGTATCATGCACGGTTACGATGTTACGGAATGCACCAGCAGAACATTGTAGTCTTGAAAGACTGACCTCCTGACCGAGGAGCTCCGTGAGCCGAGGAACGATAAGTGCGACACTGAGGTTCTCGGCCTTGCGGTTCTGAACGATGAAAGATTGAATGATAATGAATCATGGGAGAATAAACGAGGATGAACGATGAAAGCATGAATGATGATGGATCGTGAAAGATTGAACGAGGATGGATAGTGAAAAAGTGAATGAGGATGCACCATGAAAGAAGGAACCAGGATGAATCCTGAAAATTTGAACGAGGATGAAGAATGAATGAGGATGATTCATGAATTGATGAATGAAGATGAATCATATGATGAATTATGAAAGGATAAATGAGGATGAATCATATGAACGAGGATGAATCATGAAAGAACGTAATGACCATATTAACGAGGATGAATAACGAAAGAATGAATTGGTGAACGATAACAAAACATTGGAAGTAATGATTAGCATATCGGTGGCATCGTTTCGTGGCATAAGGGCTGATTAGAAGGTTCCTCAGACTCCGAGTCGGTCAAGTACCTGATCATGGTGGAAACGGCCGCGCGAATGCGCGAAAAAACTTCTACCCATCGTTCCCTAAGACTCACCAGCTGGGTTGCAACGAGGACCTTAGTGTAACAAGACGGAATTCACCATGCGAGATGCATGGGAATTCCCGAACAGGACGTTGCCTAGCTAGTCACAGCACCACCTGCTAGCCTAGAGCACGCTCTTGTATCCCTGTCAGGAAGTTTAGTACAGCAAGGCATGGCATCGAGGCGCAATGCCAAGATGCCATGCTGGATGAAGTGGCGACGCGGTTTTCCTCCCAAGTCGCCATCCTTTCTTCCTAGCATAAATATCCATCTCCGAATCTTGTATAATCATCTCATCCTTGGATCATTCTAATCTTATCTTCTTGGAATCACTTCTTCCTATCTTCTCTCACCTACGTCTCTTGGAGCTAGGCCTCCTCTCCCTCTAGCCTATCTTCTCTTATTCCGCTGCGATTACTTTTCTCCTCTACTTTCAAGCTACGGTGCCTCTCTCCTTACTCGCTAGGCCGGCCAGGCCAGCCGCGCCGTGCGTCACTGCGCCGTAGCCTTGTTTCACTTAGCACCGTTCTCGGTCAAGTACTTGATGGTGGGAATGGCGAGGCGAATGCGTGCGTCGTCAATTATCTCTCCGTTTCTGCGGTTGATAGGAACGTTCAGATCTGCCCTGACCAGCACTCTCATTCCCCTGAGGCTGTTGCCAGCATTGGTCCACGAGGTAAGGGTTTTCTTTGTCATGATGGCGAGGAATATTAATATTCCGGAAAGAAACTAAAAGTAAGCCAGAGACTTCCAAGGAAGAAGCTCGAAGGAACCACAGATCTGAGGATTATTAAACTAGAAACTAGAGTCTCTTTTCTACTTGAAAGGAAGGCCCTCAGGAGAATAGCCACTCAGCGGAGGGTGAGTGGAGATCCATCCCGTCACCATGTCTCCACTCCAGCCTCACGTGGACATGAATGTGGACATGACTGGCCTGGCCACTCACTTGCGTGAAAGGGCAACAGTCGCGCAGTCAAGATCAGCATGATAAGATGCCGTGCCGTCACTAGCAGGGTACGAAAAAGAATCTGCGTAACACTTGAAGCTCAATGGCGACCTAACGGCACCGCACCAGAAACCTCTCAACCGAGCCCTAAATCTAAGATGTCTGACCTGCATCATTCGTTTTCACGCGCCGTCGGTCGCTTGCGCCGCACGTGAGGGCGCGCGGGCGGGCCCTCCCCAGGCATGGCATGCGCCGCAGGGGACAGGAAACAAAGAAGCTGCGCGTGCGTAAAGATCAGGAAATACTTATGCCGACGGTTCGACGCGGTTCTCCTAAACGAAACAGAAATTCTGCACGGTCCTCCTAAGAGGCTAGCTTGAAGTTCTGTACAGTTCTATGTGTGGTCTGCTAGAAACTGCGACGCCGCCCGCGGCCTTGGCCACGAACATGGCGCCGACGGCGACGCGGGAGTATGGAGGTTTGGAAATCGGAATTCGGGGGATCGGGGGTCAAGATGGGACTTCCAATCATAAAATCTCCCTCCGCCAGCAAGAAGTTTTCGCGATTCACGACACCACCTGAACAGTGAACACCCTGCCACGTCCGTGACCCCATCCAAAAATTACATAGACGTCGAATTTCTGGGCGGCGAGCAAACGATGTTCGCTAACATTCACCTGTGCGCAACAGAAAACCTCGCGCAAAATTTCGCGCGGGGAAATGGAAATATTTGCCAACAAAACTCGCACATGCGCAACTCTTTACGAGTTCCGCGACTTTCGCTAGCCGCATCGTGAAATCGTGGTGACAAGTCGACGAGAGCCATCTATGATAATGCACCGTTAGCTAAGGATTCCCCATTCAATTCATTAGCTTAGCGGGCTATGCTGATATGAATGCTGGCTGCAAATGCAAACATACATTTCGTCAATAAAGCTTACTAGCCTGCTGCGTCTTCCTTAGAAGCTACAGCAACTACCGCCAATTGTGAGAGACTGAACGAGCTGAGAGACAATGTCAGTTTAATCTATGTTTTTGTGGGGCGATTGGATGTTGAACTTCGCTGTCAGATAAATGTCGGCACTACAAATTCTATACCACTACACTCAACTTCACCAATCAGTAAATTAGTGTCAAAGGGATGAAACTTGAGGCTCTGCATCTCACATATGGTAGTACTACACGACACACCAATAAAATTCTCCCTAAATCCACACCTCGCATTTATTATGCAAGATGGCTCAAGTCACATATCAGATGCTTTTGAAGCACACAATTTAAAAAACGAAGTGATTTCACCAACATGATCTCAACAATCTCGTCATTCCAACCCAGGCCTATTCAGCAACCGCGTTGGCTCTGATGCCACATGCTCCATTCTCCTTGAAACCACCGAAGACCTTCGACTGAACTGGTCTCCTCGTTCAACGGCACTGCCCATGCGCCCAGATGCCCCCATAAACATGTGCCCCTCCCCCACCCCCCCATAAGGCATCTGCTGCCCCAACTCTCTCAGCCTCTCTATCGATCGTGAGTGACTATCCGCCGTTTGTTGCAGCAAATCTCGATGAAACGTCCCCATTGCAGCTACTCTTTCTCTCTGCTCCTTCAGATTCTTCTGCCACCGCTTCCCCGGACCTAGATGGTTCCAGATCTTCCCCACCGCAGCTGTGGTTCGGACCAAGCCTCGGGACCCAGCCTCGGGTGACATGCCAGGTGTCGCTTGAGGATTGGCTGGGGACTGAGAGGCTCCCAGTCCAGCTGCGCCAGCTGTCAACCCCGGAGATCCTTCCATTCCCCCTCTTCCCGTCCCGTCATAATCATCATCATCATCCTCCAAAGCTCGAGTTAACGAGGACCGTTTGATTGTGCCCCCCTTGGGATCGTCGTTACCGTCGGATGAGCTCTTATGCATTCCACTGAGGGAGCTCTGCGCGCTAGTTGGAGTGGCGATCTGGGAAAACTGGCCTCCGAGGCTCAGACTAAGGCCCGGGCTGAGACCACAAGCCGCTGGTGGGAGTCCGGACCTGCCGTTGTTTGACCCGAGCCTGGTTAGGTTCGGGAGGCTGGCAGAGCTGTGCATGGCTTGGCAGGTCAGCATGGTATCAGAGCCTCTGGCAAGGCTGCTGTTGCTGGATACATGCGGTAACGCCGAGCGGTTACCAGCAACAATATGAACGACGCGGGCGTTACTGCTGCTGCTGGAAGCTCTCTGCATCATAGTAACAACATCGGCACCACTCATGCTCCCAAGGCGACCGCTCCCAGGGGAACTCCCAAGACTGCGGTGTGAAGCAAAAGAGTAGCCAGCAGCAGTAATCACGTGGGTAGTACTGCCGGTTGATGCCGACCGGTTCGAGAGAGGGCTGCTGCCTGCAGTAGTGAGAGCGCGGGTAAGCGGGCTTGCACCTGAAGCAGCAGCAGCGGCGGAAGCAGAGTGGTGAGAAATTACGCTGGAGCCGTCGTTATAGATCGAGACAAGTTCGGACCATGACTGGTGCAGATTGGTCTTTACTCGGGTGAGATTGGACCACGATCGGCTGTTGCTTCTGTCGGTGGTGCGATTGACACTGCTGCCAAAGTGCACCGTATTGCTGAAAGAGACCATGAGCCGTTGCTTCCTCTTCTGCTGCCCCTGCTGCGGCCCTCCTGCTGCTCCTGCTGTTTCTTCTGGCACCTCCTCATCATCCTCTAGGCTCCGTTGCTGCCGCTGCCGCCACGGCCGCTGCTTCACATCCTCTCTCTTGATCGGCTGGACAGGATACTTCTGCTGCTGCTGCCCCTGCTGCTGCTGCGTTTCACTCACTCTCCCAGCCCCACCTCCACTCCCACCCTTTTCCTCCTCGTCCTCCTCCATCTCCCGGTCCCGATCCCTCCCAATATCCGCCCCCTCCTCATCTTGCAATTCATCAAACACAAAGCTTTTTGGCAGGGCTTGGCTCGCTCGAAGACCTGTCTTCCTAGGGTCAGAAGCACCATTAGAAACACCTGCTTTTCTGGGATAGTCCCCTCCCTGTAAAGGCTCCGTCTCTCCAGTGTTTGTTCCGTGAGGGTTGCATGGGTTACCGTCGCTGTCGATGTAGTTGCTGTTGAAAGAGTTGCTTGATTCAGGGTTTGCTTGAGCTTTTTTCCTGGGGGAAATTTGTGCAAGCAGAAAAAACGGGCGCAAACATGGGCAGAAAACACGGGCAGGAAAGACGGGCAGAAAAGACAGGCAGGAAACACGGGCAGAAAACACGGGCAGGAAAATGGGCAAACAACGGGCCGGAATCATGCAATGCAAGGGTAGGGATAAGGAAGAATACAGCAGATACGGAAGGAGGGAAGGGAGCGAGAAGGGGAAGCAAACTGCACACGTGCATGCACGTGCAACACATGTATGCATATCTGTAGACAAGCACACACATGGTCACACACAAACGCACCTACACATCCACTCACATGTTGACATGCACGCGCACGCCTTGCACCATGATGATGTTTGGTAACAGCAGGCACGCCCCCAGTGACAGCCCCAGGTACACAAGCATGAAAGCACATGCATGGTAACTTACACCCACCCACATGCATGCACCCAAGTTCACCCATATGAACCGCACTGCACACCCACTCACATGTTGACGTGCACGCGCACGCCTTGCACCATGATGATGATCGCGAACAGCAGGCACGCCCCCAGAGACAGCCCCAGGTACACAAGCATAAAAGCACATGCATGGTTACTCGCACCCAAATGCACCCACTTGCACCGCACTGCACACCCACTTACATGTTCACATGCACGCGCACTCCTTGCACCATGATGATGATCGCAAACAGCAGGCACGCCCCCAGAGACAGCCCCAGGTAGACAAGCATGAAAGCACATGCACGGTAACTTACACCCACCCACATGCATGCACCCAAGTTCACCCATATGAACCGCACTGCACACCCACTCACATGTTGACGTGCACGCGCACGCCTTGCACCATGATGATGATCGCAAACAGCAGGCACGCCCCCAGAGACAGCCCCAGGTAAACAAGCATGATTCCGCTGAAACTGCGGAAGCCGAGTTGAAGGGTGGAGGAGGAGGCATCGTCGCACGATCCTGTTGTCTGCTCGGGGGAGAGTAGGGTTGGAAGGGGGGTTAGGGAGCAGAAGAGGGGTTAGAGACAGCCCCAGGTAGACAAGCTACACAAGCATGATGCCTCAAAGCATGCTCCGAGGGACAGGCCGCTGAAACTGCGGAAGGGTGGAGGAGGAGGCCTCGCCACACGATCTGGTTGTCTGTTCAGGTTGGAGTGGGGCCGGGTTTGGGGACAGAAGAGAAGAAGGAAGAATTGTTGAGGAGCCCCAGAAACAGCCTCCAGAGACAGCCCCCAGAGACAGCCCCCAGAGGACAGCCCCCAGAGACAGCCCCCAGAGACAGCCCCCAGAGACAGCCCCCAGAGACAGCCCCAGAGACAGCCCCCAGAGACAGCCCCCAGAGACAGCCCCCAGAGACAGCCCCCAGAGACAGCCCCCAGAGACAGCCCCCAGAGACAGCCCCCAGAGACAGCCCCCAGAGACAGCCCCCAGAGACAGCCCCCAGAGACAGCCCCCAGAGACAGCCCCCAGAGACAGCCCCCAGAGACAGCCCCCAGAGACAGCCCCCAGAGACAGCCCCCAGAGACAGCCCCCAGAGACAGCCCCCAGAGACAGCCCCCAGAGACAGCCCCCAGAGACAGCCCCCAGAGACAGCCCCCAGAGACAGCCCCCAGAGACAGCCCCCAGAGACAGCCCCCAGAGACAGCCCCCAGAGACAGCCCCCAGAGACAGCCCCCAGAGACAGCCCCCAGAGACAGCCCCCAGAGACAGCCCCCAGAGACAGCCCCCAGAGACAGCCCCCAGAGACAGCCCCCAGAGACAGCCCCCAGAGACAGCCCCCAGAGACAGCCCCCAGAGACAGCCCCCAGAGACAGCCCCCAGAGACAGCCCCCAGAGACAGCCCCCAGAGACAGCCCCCAGAGACAGCCCCCAGAGACAGCCCCCAGAGACAGCCCCCAGAGACAGCCCCCAGAGACAGCCCCCAGAGACAGCCCCCAGAGACAGCCCCCAGAGACAGCCCCCAGAGACAGCCCCCAGAGACAGCCCCCAGAGACAGCCCCCAGAGACAGCCCCCAGAGACAGCCCCCAGAGACAGCCCCCAGAGACAGCCCCCAGAGACAGCCCCCAGAGACAGCCCCCAGAGACAGCCCCCAGAGACAGCCCCCAGAGACAGCCCCCAGAGACAGCCCCAGAGACAGCCCCAGAGACAGCCCCCAGAGACAGCCCCCAGAGACAGCCCCCAGAGACAGCCCCCAGAGACAGCCCCCAGAGACAGCCCCCAGAGACAGCCCCCAGAGACAGCCCCAGAGACAGCCCCCAGAGACAGCCCCCAGAGACAGCCCCAGAGACAGCCCCCAGAGACAGCCCCCAGAGACAGCCCCCAGAGACAGCCCCCAGAGACAGCCCCCAGAGACAGCCCCCAGAGACAGCCCCCAGAGACAGCCCCCAGAGACAGCCCCCAGCCCCCAGAGACAGCCCCCAGAGACAGCCCCAGAGACAGCCCCCAGAGACAGCCCCCAGAGACAGCCCCCAGAGACAGCCCCCAGAGACAGCCCCCAGAGACAGCCCCCAGAGACAGCCCCCAGAGACAGCCCCCAGAGACAGCCCCCAGAGACAGCCCCAGGTAGACAAGCATGATGCCGCTGAAACTGCGGAAGCCGAGTTGAAGGGTGGAGGAGGAGGCCTTGCCACACGACCCTGTTGTCTGTTTTGGTTAGAGGGGTTTGGGAGCAGAAGGGTGGGAGGAAAGACTGTTGAGGCACCTCAAAGCACGTCCCCAGAGCAGCCACCAGGTCACGCCAGATTCAGGCGTTTCTTCAGAAAGAAATAACACAAACAAACAAGCAAAATACTGCCCCCCGCCCTCCACACCCTCTCCCCCCTTTTTTCTCACCGCAAAGACATCTTCTCGTATCCTCTGCAGCTCTCCACTTTGTGCCACGTAGAGCAGCGCATGTGCCACGTCATCACCCAGATGGGAACCAATGGGGAAGGCCTGGTGTAGAAAGGGGGGAGCAGGGAGGCGGGGAGGAGGTGGGGAGGAGGAGGAGGAGGAGGAGGAGGAGGAGGAGGAGGAGGAGGAGGAGGAGGAGGAGGAGGAGGAGGAGGAGGAGGAGGAGGAGGAGGAGGAGGAGGAGGAGGAGGAGGAAAGGCATTATTTACAGAAAATAAAAATCCAATAACCCAACTCACAACGAATATCACATGCTGTATACAAAAAAAATAAAAAGAAAAACTACAACAAAAATAAAAACAGACAGACAGACAAACAAACAAAACCAGTCCACAAGTATTGCTTACAAATGCCAAGTAGATGTTCTGAAGGTTCTGCATAGAGACGAGGATGCCGCAGTACTGAGAGCTGAACTGGGCGATGTAGGGCGTCTGATCCACTATGGCCTCCACTCGCTTCGTGGTCAGTGCCTCGTAATAGTCAGCCTCACTGTTCAGTGGTACCAGCTGGGACTGGGAGGGTGGAGGGAGGGAGAAGGGAGGCTGAGCATGCCGCAACACTGAGAGCTGAACTGGGCGATGTAGGGCGTCTGATCTACTCTCGCCTCCACTCGCTTGGTTGTCAGCGCCTCATAGTAATCGCTCTCACTGTTCAGCGGCACTAGCTGGGACTGGCGCGTGTGGGAGGGTGAGGGCGCTGTTCAAGGGCACAGGAGTCAGGCTTTCTTTATTGAGAACTGGAGAAGCGCTGTGGCTTGGTTAGGAATTTCTTCTATGAGAAACAGCAAAAATGCTGGGCTTGTTTGAGAGGCTTACTGGCTTGCAGGGAGTTTTTTGGAAGTGCTGTGGCTTGGTTAGGAATTTCTTCTATGAGAAACAGCAAAAAGGCTGGGCTTGTTTGAGAGGCTTACTGGCTTGCAGGGAGTTTTTTGGAAGTGCTGTGGCTTGGTTAGGAATATCGTCTATGAGAAACAGCAAAAAGGCTGGGCTTGTTTGAGAGGCTTACTGGTTTGAGGCCTATTTGTAGAAGGTAGGATCGGACGAAGGACCCGGCTTGGTAGCCAATGATGGAGCCCCGAACCACTGCTTCCCCCACCGACTGCACAGGCACAGAACAACAGCGGGAGGGGAACTCGGGAGATGTTAGAGAGGAGAGACTCTAGTTGACTTGGAACACACACAAGGACCCGGGTTGCTTGGTATCTAATGTTGGAGCCTGGGACCACTGCTTTTCCCACCGACTGCACAGGCACGGCACAACGGGGAGGGGAACAACAAGGGGAGGGGAACTCGGGAGATGTTAGAGAGGAGAAACTCTAGTTGACTTGGAACAAACACAAGGACCCGACTTGCTTGGTATCTAATGTTGGAGCCTGGACCACTGCCTCCCCCACCGACTGCGCAGGCACGGCACGTGAGGTGTCAGAATGAAACAACTTTTGAGCTGACACGCAACAAACACAAGGACCCAGCTTGGTACCCAATGATGGAACCTCGGGCCACTACCTCCCCTACGGACTGTGAGCAGCACGGCACAACGGGGGGAGGGGAACTCGGGAGATGTTCGAAAGGAGAGGAACTCGGGAGATGTTAGAAAGGAGAGGAACTCGGGAGATGTTAGAAAGGAGAGGAACTCGGGAGATGTTAGAAAGGAGAGGAACTCGGGAGATGTTAGAAAGGAGAGGAACTCGGGAGATGTTAGAAAGGAGAGGAACTCGGGAGATGTTAGAAAGGAGAGGAACTCGGGAGATGTTAGAAAGGAGGGGAACTCGGGAGATGTTAGAAAGGAGAGGAACTCGGGAGATGTTAGAAAGGAGAGGAACTCGGGAGATGTTAGAAAGGAGAGGAACTCGGGAGATGTTAGAAAGGAGAGGAACTCGGGAGATGTTAGAAAGGAGAGGAACTCGGGAGATGTTAGAAAGGAGAGGAACTCGGGAGATGTTAGAAAGGAGAGGAACTCGGGAGATGTTAGAAAGGAGAGGAACTCGGGAGATGTTAGAAAGGAGAGGAACTCGGGAGATGTTAGAAAGGAGAGGAACTCGGGAGATGTTAGAAAGGAGAGGAACTCGGGAGATGTTAGAAAGGAGGGGAACTCGGGAGATGTTAGAAAGGAGGGGAACTCGGGAGATGTTAGAAAGGAGAGGAACTCGGGAGATGTTAGAAAGGAGAGGAACTCGGGAGATGTTAGAAAGGAGAGGAACTCGGGAGATGTTAGAAAGGAGAGGAACTCGGGAGATGTTAGAAAGGAGAGGAACTCGGGAGATGTTAGAAAGGAGAGGAACTCGGGAGATGTTAGAAAGGAGAGGAACTCGGGAGATGTTAGAAAGGAGAGGAACTCGGGAGATGTTAGAAAGGAGGGGAACTCGGGAGATGTTAGAAAGGAGGGGAACTCGGGAGATGTTAGAAAGGAGAGGAACTCCGGAGATGTTAGAAAGGAGAGGAACTCGGGAGATGTTAGAAAGGAGAGGAACTCGGGAGATGTTAGAAAGGAGAGGAACTCGGGAGATGTTAGAAAGGAGGGGAACTCGGGAGATGTTAGAAAGGAGAGGAACTCGGGAGATGTTAGAAAGGAGAGGAACTCGGGAGATGTTAGAAAGGAGAGGAACTCGGGAGATGTTAGAAAGGAGAGGAACTCGGGAGATGTTAGAAAGGAGAGGAACTCGGGAGATGTTAGAAAGGAGGGGAACTCGGGAGATATTAGAAAGGAGGGGAACTCGGGAGATGTTAGAAAGGAGAGGAACTCGGGAGATGTTAGAAAGGAGAGGAACTCGGGAGATGTTAGAAAGGAGAGGAACTCGGGAGATGTTAGAAAGGAGAGGAACTCGGGAGATGTTAGAAAGGAGAGGAACTCGGGAGATGTTAGAAAGGAGGGGAACTCGGGAGATGTTAGAAAGGAGGGGAACTCGGGAGATGTTAGAAAGGAGGGGAACTCGGGAGATGTTAGAAAGGAGAGGAACTCGGGAGATGTTAGAAAGGAGAGGAACTCGGGAGATGTTAGAAAGGAGAGGAACTCGGGAGATGTTAGAAAGGAGAGGAACTCGGGAGATGTTAGAAAGGAGAGGAACTCGGGAGATGTTAGAAAGGAGAGGAACTCGGGAGATGTTAGAAAGGAGAGGAACTCGGGAGATGTTAGAAAGGAGAGGAACTCGGGAGATGTTAGAAAGGAGAGGAACTCGGGAGATGTTAGAAAGGAGGGGAACTCGGGAGATATTAGAAAGGAGGGGAACTCGGGAGATGTTAGAAAGGAGAGGAACTCGGGAGATGTTAGAAAGGAGAGGAACTCGGGAGATGTTAGAAAGGAGAGGAACTCGGGAGATGTTAGAAAGGAGAGGAACTCGGGAGATGTTAGAAAGGAGAGGAACTCGGGAGATGTTAGAAAGGAGGGGAACTCGGGAGATGTTAGAAAGGAGGGGAACTCGGGAGATGTTAGAAAGGAGGGGAACTCGGGAGATGTTAGAAAGGAGAGGAACTCGGGAGATGTTAGAAAGGAGAGGAACTCGGGAGATGTTAGAAAGGAGAGGAACTCGGGAGATGTTAGAAAGGAGAGGAACTCGGGAGATGTTAGAAAGGAGAGGAACTCGGGAGATGTTAGAAAGGAGAGGAACTCGGGAGATGTTAGAAAGGAGAGGAACTCGGGAGATGTTAGAAAGGAGAGGAACTCGGGAGATGTTAGAAAGGAGAGGAACTCGGGAGATGTTAGAAAGGAGAGACTCTAGTTGACTTGGAACACACACAAGGACCCGGCTTGGTACCCCATGATGGAACCTTGGACCACTACCTCCCCTACTGACTGTCAGTGAGCACGCATGGGACAGGGGAAGTTGGGAGGTGGGACAGGGGAAGTTGGAGGTGAGAGAGGCGGAGTGAGCAGGTTGACGGTGTAGATCGAGGTGAGGTTGGCCGTATACGAGGTGCTCAGAATCAGCACCAGCCCGTACCACACCAGGCAGTGCGCATAGGGGCGTTTCAGCTCACATCTGTCACCCCCACAGGACAGCACAGCAGTATTTATAGGCATGCGCACGCACACGCGCAGAGCAACGCACCTGGAGAGGCGGAGTGAGCAGGTTGACGGTGTAAATAGAAGTGAGGTTGGCCGTATACGAGGTGCTCAGAATCAGCACCAGCCCATACCACACCAGGCAGTGCACATAGGGGCGTTTCAACTCACTGTCTGCCACCCCCACAGGACAGCAGTATTGAAAGGCACACACACGCACACACACAGAGCAACGCACCTGGAGAGGCGGCGTGAGCAGGTTGACGGTGTAAATAGAAGTGAGGTTGGCCGTGTACGAGGTGCTCAGAATCAGCACCAGCCCGTACCACACCAGCACCGGCACCCGAGCCAGCAGCGTGTGAACCTCCACCGGCACGAGAAAGTAACTCTGGAATGAAATCCACAGCGCCTCCCAGAAATCCTGCAGCAGCGAGAAGGCTTTCGAGCGGCACTGGGCGGCCTTGGTTTCGCCTTCCACGGGGTGTTGCAGGAAGAGGGAGTTGTTGCGGCGTTCCAGGAAGAGGATGGTGAGGGCGAAGAGGACGGCTGCTATGCCGAGCCACATCCACATGGAAGGGGAGAAGGGCACCAGGGCCGTCCAGGGGTTGGAGTCCTCCGGTGCGAGCGTGACCATTGCCAAACTGGAGGACTGGGAGATGGGAGAGAGGGGAGCAGGGGAGGGGAAGGAGGGGGGGAGGGAGGGAGGGAGAGGGGAGAAAGGGAGGGGAAGGAGGGAGGGAGGGAGGGAGAGGGGAGTAAGGGAGGGGAAGGAGGGAGGCAGGATGAGGGAGCTGTTGCGGCGTTCGAGGAAGAGGATGGTGAGGGCGAAGAGGACGGCTGCTATTCCGAGCCACATCCACATGGCGGGGGAGAAGGGAGCGAGGGGCGTAATGCGGATTGGGGGGGGTGCTGTGTGTGCAGACTAGAATTGTTCTTTAAATATTCTAAACACACTCAGTCATCACTGACCATGAATGCAGTTGAGAAGGTGACGATGGGGGTTGGTACAGACTAGAATCGCTTTTGCACCCTTCAAACACAAGTAAACATCACCGCGCGCTTTTGTGCGTGTGTGTGTGTGTGTGTGTGTGTGTGCGTGCACGCGTGTGTGTGTGTGCGTGTGCGTGTGTGTGTGCGTGTCTGCGTGCGTGCGTGTGTACGTGTGTACTGACCATGAATGCGGTTGAGAAGGTGACAATGCGCGTGCGTTGACTTGTAATGACAACGTCCCCAACCGCACCGTCCAGTTTCTGCACGGGCATGCAGGGACGCACACACATATGGGGCCGAGGGAGATGAACTGTCGGTTTGTGTTTGGTCTCACAACTGCCCCACCCGTTGACTTGTAATGACAACGCCCCCCACCGCCCCGTCCAGTTTCTGCACACACGCAGGACACACACGCACACGCAGGGATGCACACACACACGGAGTAGAGCGAGGGAAAATCTGGGCTTGAGTCGACTCACACAACCCCCCCACCCGTTGGCTTCAGCAACGGCTTGAAGCATCTCGTTGTAGCTGGGGCGGGTTGGCCACGTGATTGAAGAAGGGTTTTGAGACGTCTCAAAACCCTTCTTCAATCACGTTGGCTTCAGCAACGGCTTGAAGCATCTCGTTGTAGCTGGGGCGGGTTGGAGGAGCCGTTGCCAAACGGCACATCCTGAGGTGCCTCACACCTGTCTCAAACCCATACGTTCAGAACCCATCTTGCCTGCCCTACAACCCACCTTGTCGGCAACAGCTTGCAGCATCTCATCATAGCTGGGGTTGGAGGAGCCGTTGCCAAACGGCTCAAAATGAGATGCCTCACATACCCAGATGGCTCACACCTTTGTGTTCAAGTACAAGACCTCACCTTATCAGCCACGGCTTGCAGCATCTCATCATAGCTGGGGTTGGAGGAGCCGTTGCCAAACGGCACAAACTCGAACCGAAGAGGGTACTTGAGGTGCGCTGCTGTGGCCCGAAAGACAGCCACAGGGAACCCCCCCACAGCAGCCTGGTCTGATTCGCTTCCTGTTGTGGTGCTGGCGATGCTTGCGAACTGGTGAAAGCCCTGAAGAAGTAAGACGAGCAGGGGGTAGGGGAGCAGGGGTGGGGAGGAAGAGCAGGGTTAGTATTGAGCAGCAGCAGCAGCAGCAGCAGCAGCAGCAGCAGCAGCAGCAGCAGCAGCAGCAGCAGCAGCAGCAGCAGCAGCAGCAAGAGGGGGTACTTGAGGTGAGCTGATGTGGCCCGAAAGACGGCCACAGGGGAACCCCCCCACAGCCGCCTGGTCTGATTCGCTTCGTGTCGTGTTGCTGACGATGCTTAAGAATTGGTGAAAGCCCTGATGGGGGGGAGGAGGAGTGAGGGAAGAGGACAAAGCAGGGGTGGGGAAGAGCAGCAGCAGCAGCAGCAGCAGCAGCAGCAGCAAGAGAGGGTAGTTGAGGTGAGCTTCTGTGGCTCGAAAGACGGACTCCCATCACACACCAACTCCCATCACACACCAACTCCCATCACACACCAACTCCCATCACACACCAACTCCCATCACACACCAACTCCCATCACACACCAACTCCCATCACACACCAACTCCCATCACACACCAACTCCCCTCCTCACACCCAACTCCTCTCAAACACCAACTCACCATTTTCACACACCCCAACTCCCCTCCTAACACACCAACTCACCATTTTCACCGGGACAGCCAGCTGGAGATTCTTCTTGGGAAGGTAACCCCAAGGGGCCTGATAGGGACCTTCACACACCGTCTCCCTTCACACCAACCCCCCACCACACACCAACCCCCCACCACACCCCAGCACCCATCCCAACCCAACTCACCATTTTCACCGGGACAGCCAGCCGGAGCTTCTTCTTGGGAAGATAACCCCAAGGTGCCTGATAGGGAAGAGGGGGTGAGGGGGGGGGGGGGGGGTGGGGGAGGCAACACAAAAACGAGAGAACGGGAGAAGGGTGATGGAGAAAGGGAAGGGAAAGGAAAGGGGTAGGGGGAGAGAGAGGGGGACAGGAAGTGGGAAGGTATGTTTGAATGAGAAATGAAGTGTCATAGGGGGCCTGGGGGAAGGGGGCAGTCCAAGGAGAGATAAGGAGAGGAGAGGGGGAAGGGTAGAGAGAACGAATCTTAAGTTTTTTCTTGTTTGTTTGTTTGTTTGTTTTTTTTAAGCCCGCAGCCCAAGTTGTTCCAAATTGCCCTCCTTAGTAAGGTTGCCGAAGTCCCAAATTTGCCACGCCCAAGTTTCTGATTGTCAACGGCCAAGAGTAGTAATATTGACCCTCGCGATCTGCAACTTGGGCCACGGGCTTTAAGCTCTTGCAAAGGAAAAATAGCCTTCTATTTCTCTGCAACAAGCATCTGCAAAGGCCCCAACTCTATGATCCGATCCCAAATGCCCTCACCCGATTCGATCCTCACCTGATTCGATCCTCATCCGATTCGATCCTCACCTGATTCGATCCTCACCCGATTCGATCCTCACCCGATTCGATCCTCACCCGATTCGATCCTCACCTGATCCGATCCTCACCCGATTCGATCCTCACCTGATCCGATCCTCACCCGATTCAATCCTCACCTGATTCGATCCTCACCCGATTCGATCCTCACCTGATTCGATCCTCACCTGATTCGATCCTCACCCGATTCGATCCTCACCCGATTCGATCCTCACCCGATTCGATCCTCACCTGATTCGATCCTCACCTGATTCGATCCTCACCTGATTCGATCCCCCAGGCCACACAACTGTTGACCAGCTGTCGTTGCGCCCTCGCTGCACTAGTTGCTGGTGAGGAAGGGAGGAGAGTGCGAGTAGGAGGGAGGAGAGTGAGAGGGAGGGAGTAGGAGGGACTGGGTGGGACAAGGAATGAGTGGGGCAGGATTGACTGCATTGACTGCATTGACTGGATTGACCACTCCCACAGTACCGTTCACCACATTGACCCCATTGACTCCTTTGACACTACATTGGATTCATTGACTGCATTGACTGGATTGACTGGATTGACCACTCCAGCAGTACCGCTCACTACATTGACCTCCTTGAACACTGCATTTACTGCGTTGACTGCATTGACTCCCTTTGGATTACCTTAGTCGTCGACAACAGCCCTCTGCTGCTATGCCAGCACGCCACCACGCGAGCAGTACCGCTCACCACATTGACTGCATTGACTGCATTGGGAGTACCTTGTTTGTTGAGAGCAGCCCTCTGCTTCTCTGACAGTAGGCCACCACGCGGGCAGTACCGTTGACCACGATGACTGCTTTGACCTTGCCTTGTTGACTCTGCATTGACCGCGTTGACTGCGTTGACTTAATTACCTTGGTGGTGGAGAGCTGTCCCCTGCTGCTATGCCAGTACGCCACCACACGTGCCATACCGTTCACCACATTGAATGACCTGACTGCTTTAACACTGCGTTGACTGCATTGACTGCATTGACTGCATTGACCACATTGACTCCCTTGGGATTACCTTGGTGGTGGAGAGCTGTCCCCTGGAGCTCTGCCAGTACACCACCACACGAGCAGCGCCGTTGACCACATTGACTGCATTGACCAGATTAACTGAGTTGGCTCCCTTGAAATACCTTGGTAGCGGAGAGAAGACCCTCCGGGGATCTCCTTAAAGCCCCAAAAAAAAAAAAAAAAAAAAAAAAAAAAAAAAAAAAAAAAAAAAGGAGTCAAGACCCCCGCTGCTCTGCCAGTACGCCACCACCCGCGCAGTGCCGTTGACCACATTGACTTCCTTGACTGTGTAGACTCTCCACTGACTGGATTACCTTAGTAGTGGAGAGCAATCCCCTGGAGCTCTGCCAGTACGTCACCACGCGAGCAGTAGCATTCACCACATTGACTCTCTTGACTGTTTCACCACTGCGTTGACTGCGTTGACTTCTTTGAAAGTACCTTGGTGGTGGAGAGCAATCCCCTGGAGCTCTGCCAGTACGCCACCACGCGAGCAGTGCCGTTGACCACATTGATAACCTCCAGGTCGCTCTTGTCACGGTCCCCGTTGGGCAGCAGATTCAACCTGCATGCATGGGCACGTGGAAGATTGACAGAGTGCCTGTTTTGAAGGGCAGTGGTGTTGACCACGTTGACCTTCGTTGACCACATTGTTAACCTCCAGGTCGCTCTTGTCACGGTCTCCGTTGGGCAACTTTTGAGGCGCCTCAAAAGTAGATTCAACCGGCATGCATGGCGTGGAAAACAGGTTGTTTGTTTCATTGGGAAAAGAAGTTGACCACAGTGAATGCTTTCAAACGCTCCTAACCTGATCAGATGGAAGCTTTTTTTTTTTTTTTTTTTTTTTTTTTTTTTTTTTTTTTTTTTTGGCAAGATCTCCCAGCCCTTTAAACCCGTCCCTCACCTCCCAGGTGACCCCATTCATTTCCGTCTGCAGCAGCAGCACCTCTTGACTGTCCCCCCCTCTCACAACCCCAACCCTCACCCCCCTCTCATTGCCATCCCTCCCTCCCCATCATCCCCTCTCCTCCTCTCACCTCCCAGTGACCCCGTTTATTTCAGTCTGCAGCAGCAGCACCTGTCGCATGCTTGAACCTTGTTACTTATCCCTCCTCACCTGCCCTGCTATTCTTCCCCTTCCTGCTCACCTCCCAGTGACCCCGTTTATTTCAGTCTGCAGCAGCAGCACCTGTCGCATGCTTGAACCTTGTTACTTATCCCTCCTCACCTGCCCTGCTATTCTTCACCTTCCTGCTCACCTCCCAGTGACCCCGTTTATTTCAGTCTGCAGCAGCAGCACCTGTCGCATGCTTGAACCTTGTTACTTATCCCTCCTCACCTGCCCTGCTATTCTTCCCCTTCTTGCTCACCTCCCAGTGACCCCGTTTATTTCAGTATGCAGCAGCACCTCGCGAAGAGCAGCGCCGTCTGACAGGTGGGGGGTGACGGGGGAATGGGGGGAAGGGGGGAGTGGAGGGAGGGAGTAAGGGGAAAGTGGTGCGGAGAGTGGGGAGTAAGATGTCCTCCCCCAGTGGCTCCTTTGATTGCTATCTGCAGCAGCACCTCGCGAAGAGCAGCGCCGTCTGGGAGGCGATGGGGGGAAAGGGGAGGGCGGGGAAGGGGATGACGGGAGGGGGAAAGGGAGGGGGTACAATATCGGGAGAATGTGGGGAGAGTGGGGGAGAGGAGGGGGGGAGCTGTCCTAGTGACCCCTTTTATTTCCGTCTGCAGCACCACCTCGCAAAGAGCGGCACCGTCTGAACTAAAAGGTGGTGATTGGGAGGAGCGGCGAGATGGGAAGGAGAGTAGGGGGCAAAGGAGTGTGTAAAGGAGCTTTCCCAGTGACCCCTTTTACTTCAGTCTGCAGCACCACCTCGCAAAGAGCGGCACCGTCTGAACTGGAAGGTGGTGATTGAGAGGAGCGGCGAGATGGGGTTGTGCCCGATGACCGACCCTGGCAGTGCTGCTTGCTCCCCACCACTACCACCACCACCACCACTCGTGCTACTACTGCTGTTCACATGCCCCCTCTCTCATGGTGCCCTCACATGCCCCATGCCCCAATGCTTACATGGTCTGACGTTGATGCCTGAGAGGAGCGGCAAGATGGAGTTCTGCCCAACGCAGTGCTGCTTGCTTGCTCCCCACCGCTTGGGCTGCTGCTATTATTGCTCTGCTCACATGCCCCATGCTCCAATGCTTACATGGTCTGACGTTGATGCCTGAGAGGAGGGGCGAGATTGAGTTGTGCCCAATGACCGACTCTGGCAGTGCCGGTTGCTCCCCACCGCTTGTGCTGCTGCTATTGTTGGTGGTGGCGCTACTGCTGCTGCTTGTGTTGCCAGCAGCAACAGTGCCGTTGCTGCTGGTGGTGCTGTTGCTGCTGCTGGTGCTGTTGCTGCTGGTGCTGTTGCTGCTGGTGCTGTTGCTGCCGGGAGTGAAAACTCCAGTACCAACAGCCGTTTGTAGGGCGTGAGTGACGAACATTATTGTGTCGTATCCCAGCAGAGTGTATATGTCCGGCTAGGGGGGGGAGGGAGCGGATGGGTGGGGAGGGAGAGGGAGGGGAGAACGGCTCTTGACACGTCTCAAAGGGCGTGAGTGACAAACATGATGGTGAGAGACGTACTGTTGCTGTTAATTAGCGTCTACACCACTTCATTCACACCACACGCCACACCACACCATGCCGCACCACACAGTACCGTACACCAACACACCTTCTCCCCCGCGCCCAGGTACTGTTTGGGATCCACACTGTTCCAGGGCTTGTTGAAACTGGCGAGCTCTGGTGAGGGCGCACACAACACTACACCACACCACAGTACACCACACCACACCGCACCGCACCACCCCAATCCCAACCTGCACCACACCAACGCACCTTCTCGCCTGCCCCAGGGTACTGCTCGGGATCCACGTTGTTCCATAGCTTGTTAAAGCTGGCGAGCTCAGGTGAGGGCGGCACAAAACACCACACCGCGCCACACCACACTCAATCCCAGCCCATCACACTGAGTTGACCACACACCGGCACACCTTCTCGCCTGCCCCCGGGTACTGCTTGGGATCCACACTGTTCCAGAGCTTGTTAAAGCTGGCGAGCTCAGGTGATGGCGGCAGGTAGGCTTGAATGCCCAACACACCCTGGTGAGATGTTGTGGGGGTGGAGAAGGGGGAACGGGGAGGAGGAGGCAGGGGAAGGTACAGGAGTACGGGGGGGTTACAGGGAGTTGAAACTGGCGAGCTCAGGTGATGGCGGCAGGTAGGCCTGAATGCCCAACACACCCTGGTGGGTGGGATGGTGGGGTGGGGGATGGTGGGGAAAGAGGAGGTAAGGGAAGGGAGGGGAGGGGAGTACGAGGGTTAAGGGGGGCTGAAGCTGGCTAGCTCTGGTGATGGCGGCAGGTAGGCTTGAATGCCCAGCACACCATGGTGGGGTGGGGTGGTGGGGAAAGAAGGCAAGGCAGGTTTGGAGGAGGCAAGGGGCAACGAGGGTGGAGGAAGAAGGAAAGAAGCGAAGAAGGCTTTGGTAGAAGGGGGGTGGAGGAGAAAGATTTTTTTTCTTAAGAAGGGAAGCTGAAAGAAGAGGAAAGGTGAAGAAGGAAAGAAGGGAAGAAGGAATGAAGAGAAGAAGGAAAGAAGGGAAGAAGGAAAGAAGGGAAGAAGGCTTTGGTAGAAGGGGGATGGAAGAGAAAGAAAGCAGAGGAGGATGGTTTGGTCGGCGGGCACGAGGGTGGGCACAGGTACTAGTGTGTCTGTATCAGACGAGTGCTACAAACAAAATCTCAGAAACAGCACCTCCTCCCCACACACTCCCTCCCCACGCGCTCCCTCCCCACACACTCCCTCCCCACACACTCCCTCCCCACACACTCCCTCCCCACACACTCCCTCCCCACACACTCCCTCCCCACACACTCCCTCCCCACACACTCCCTCCCCACACACTCCCTCCCCACACACTCCCTCCCCACGCACTCCCTCCCCACGCACTCCCTCCCCACACACTCCCTCCCCACACACTCCCTCCCCACACACTCCCTCCCCACGCACTCCCTCCCCACGCCCTCCCCACACACTCCCTCCCCTTCCACGTGGAAAAGGTAATCTGGTATGCTGACATGACATGGACTCTCACTCACATCCATGGCTTGCCTGATGTGGATTGACTCACATCCATGGCCTGTCTGACGTGGATTGACTCACATCCATGGCCTGTCTGACGTGGATTGACTCACATCCATGGCCTGTCTGACGTGGATTGACTCACCTCCATGGCTTTCCTGACGGGTGCCAGCGTGTCATCTCCGCTAATCACAACCGTCCACGTGGCCTCTGTGGCTATCCACGCGTACGGGGCAGTTAGCAGTCCCAGCTCCATGGCTGCATGGGGAATAGGGAGGCATGGGTTAAGGTGGAATGCGGTAAAAGGGGATGTGAAATGGTGCATGGTGCACTGTCCACGTGGCCTCTGTTGCTTTCCGCGTGTCCTGCCCCCTTGCGCCGTGCACCCATCAGCAACCCACCACCAACACCCCTATCACTGCTTTTTCTAGCAGCTATATCGCCATCCCTACCAGCACACACGCAGCACTCCTCCCTACCAGCAATGAAGACTCGCCCTGTGTCCTGCCCCCCTGCATCGTGCACCACCACCACTGTCGACTCCTCCCTTTCCACTCTACCAGAGACAGCAGCAGCTGTTTCACAGCTGCACCCACTCCCCATCAACCACCTATACCGCTCCCTACCCCCCAGCTATCCCACCAGCAAACCATTCCCCCTTACCAGCAATGAAGACTCGCCCCGTGTCCTGCCCCCCTGCATCATGCACCACCACCACTGTCGACTCCTCCCGCTCCACCAGGGGCAGCAGCTTCTCTTTCACGTCTGCCACTGTCCACGTGATGTCGAGCGGTATGGCGCGAGATATTCTTGCTTTAGACCCCTGGGGCATGGGAAGGAGAGGGAGAAAGAGGGGGAGAAGGGGGAGGGTGTGGTTGAGTCGACTCCTCCCACTCCACCAGGGGCAGCAGCTTCTCTTTCACGTCTGCCACGGTCCACGTGATGTCGAGCGGTATGGCGCGAGATATTCTAGCCTTGGAGCCCTGGAGGAAGGGGAAATGGGGGGAAGAGAGGAAAGAGGAGGATTCGTAAGGAATGGGGGGGATTGGAGCCCTCACGTCTCAGTGCCCAAACGAATTTTGCGACGTGAGACATGAGCAGGAGATTACCTGCTCAGCTCAGCACACACACACACACTCAGCAGACTTTTGAGTCGACTCAAAAGCTGACTTTTGAGTCGACTCAAAAGACATGAGCAGGAGATTACCTGCTCAGCTCAGCACACACACACACACACCTTCGTCTCAACCGCTGATGCGAATTTTCAATTGACTGGAAAATTGCCTCACTACATGCGGATCTTTGAGGTGTATTTTGAGGAGCCTCAAAATACACCTCGAAACTTCAGTTGACTAGAAAATTGCCTCACTACATGCGGATCTTTGAGTCAAAACTCGATACTATTTTTGAGGCGCCTCTAAAATCGTCTCAGTTCACGCGGTTTTGAGGCGCCTCAACAATTGACTGGAAAATTGCCTCACTACATGCGGATCTTTGAGTCAAAACTCGATACTTGAAGCGCCGATTCGAAAGCTATCCTCTGCGTACCTATCAACAGCACAGCTCAGCTCAGCACGTACCTTGTTCTGGAGAGCCGATTCGAGAGCAACGATGCCGTTGCGGCCAAAGCGGTTGTCAATGTAGATTGTGACCACCTCCATCCACCTGTCCTCCTCGTGATGCCTGATAATGTCTGCATGGCAGCAGGGAGAACAGCACAGCACCGCACAGCACCACACATCAGGGCCGGTTGTCAATGTAGACTTTTGAGGCGCCTCAAAAGTTGTCAATGTAGATGGTTACCACCTCCATCCACCTGTCCTCCTCGTGATGTCTGATGATATCTGCCACACCGCACAGCACCGCACAGGACCACACCACACAGCACAGCACCACACCGCACATTACCACAACACACAGTAAGACACCGCACATGTGGAGCGGTTGTCAATATAAATGGTTACCACCTCCATCCAGCGATCCTCCTCGTGATGGCGAATAATGTCTGTGTGTGCATGCCACAAGAGGCAGAACAGGACATATAGCACTCATTCAACTCAGCACAGCACATCACATCAGGGGCAAAGCGGTTGTCAATGTAAACTGTGACCACCTCCATCCACCTGTCCTCCTCGTGATGCCGGATGATGTCTGCACGGAGGCAGCAGCATAGGCCACCATGGGTACACTCACTAGTTACCTGCAATTTCCCGGGCATGATCGGTAATCACCTGCGCTGCCTGCATTTCAGCAGCATCGCTGTGGGTCGTCCGCATGACAAACTGCCGCTCCATGCTGACTGTGAGGGTGGGATCCGTGGCAGCATAGGCCACCAGGGGTACACTCACTAGTTACCTGCAATTTCACGGGCATAACTGGTAGTTACCTGCAATGGCCTGCATCTCAGCAGCATCGCTGTGGGTCGTCCGCATGACAAACTGCCGCTCCGTGCTGACAGTGAGGGTGTGATCCGTGGCAGCATACGCCACCATGGGCAAACTCACTACTCACCTGCGATTTACGGGGATATTTTCCAACAATCACCTGCAATCTCAAGGGTAAAAACGGCGATCACCTGCAATGGCCTGCATCTCAGCAGCATCGCTGTGGGTCGTTCGCATGACAAACTGCCGCTCCGTGCTGACAGTGAGGGTGGGATCCGTGGCAGCATACGCCACCATGGGGATCTGAAAGAACAAGGGGAGAGATGAGAGGAGAGGAATGGTTAGGGTGTGGTGCAGTGCGGTTCTAAGCGGTCATTGTGGGGTTCGGAGCGGTGTTGAGGTTGATGAGATGTGGAGGGTGGAATCGCTGAGAAACGACACTGATAGCGGTTGATTTTGAGAATTCTCAAATTTCACTCAGCCAATCAGGGTATTTTTTAGAATTCTCAAAAATACTCTCCAGGGCAGTGTTTCAGGCCGACCTTCTCGCGACGCGACTGACTTGGGCGACAGCCCCAAGGCTGTCCAGCTCGGGCCGGGCGGCATTTTTTGGCGGATCTGGCAGTGGCAAATACTAGCCTGACTTGTCGGCATTTTCTAGGCCGCTGACGTGGACGGCAATCCCTAGGCTGACCAACCCGGGCGGAGATTCCTAGGCTTGCTTGGGCGGCATTCCCTGGGCTGATCTGGCAGCGCCATTTCCTAGGCTGACTTGGTGGCATTCCCTAGGCCGCTGACGTGGCCGACCCGGGCGGCAATTCCTACGCTGACACGGGCGGCATTCTCTACACTAACCTACTTGGGCAGCAATCGCTAGGCTGGCCTGGGCGGCAAGCTCTGGACTAACCTGGGCGGCATTCCCGAGGCTGCTTCAAAGCAGTGCCACCTGTCCCGACAGCATTGGCCCCACGATGAGCAGCGGTATTCCCTAGACTAACCTGCCAGCGGTATTCCCTAGGCTGACCTGCGCGGCATTCCCTAGACTAACCTGGCAGCGGTATTCCCTAGGCTGACCTGCGCGGCATTCCCTAGACTAACCTGGCAGCGGTATTCCCTAGGCTGACCTGCGCGGCATTCCCTAGACTAACCTGGCAGCGGTATTCCCTAGGCTGACCTGGGCGGCATTCCCGAGGCTGCTTCCGAGCAGCGCCACCTGTCCCGACAGCATTGGCCCGACAATGAGGAGCGGATCCTTCTTCATGGCCTCGAGACCTGATTGGGCGGGAGAGGGAGGAGGAACGAGGAGGGAGGAGTGGGGCAAGCAGAATTGGTCAGACTGCAAGCAGCGCCACCTGTCATATTGGAATCACTTTTGAGAATTCACAAAAGTGATTTCAATAGAGAGGGAGGAGGAACGAGGAGGGAGGAGTGGGGCAAGCAGAATTGGTCAGACTGCAAGCAGCGCCACCTGTCCCGACAGCATTGGCCCGACAATGGGCAGCGGATCCTTCTTCATCGCCTCCAGACCTGATGGGGGGGAGAGAGAATGGGGGAGGGGTTGGGAGACAGGGGAACAAGGGGGAGGAGGGGAGAAAAGGGAGAGCATTGGAGAGAGGGCAAGGCAACATTGGCCTGACGATGAGCATCGCCTCTAGGCCTGATTTGGTGGGAGGACAAGCGAGAAAGGGGGGTGGGGAAGGAGGGGGAGGAGGGGAATCGAGGAGGGAGATAAAGTGGTACAGCATTGGGCAGACGATGAGCAGCGGATCCGTCTTCATCGCCTCGTGACTTTTGAGTTGACTCAAAAGTCATTGGCCCGACAATGAGTAGCGGATCCTTCTTCATCGCCTCGTGACTTTTGAGTTGACTCAAAAGTCATTGGCCCGACAATGAGTAGCGGATCCTTCTTCATCGCCTCGTGACTTTTGAGTTGACTCAAAAGTCATTGGCCCGACAATGAGTAGCGGATCCTTCTTCATCGCCTCGTGACTTTTGAGTTGACTCAAAAGTCATTGGCCCGACAATGAGTAGCGGATCCGTCTTCATCGCCTCGAGACTTTTGAGTTGACTCAAAAGTCATTGGCCCGACAATGAGTAGCGGATCCTTCTTCATCGCCTCGTGACTTTTGAGTTGACTCAAAAGTCATTGGCCCGACAATGAGTAGCGGATCCTTCTTCATCGCCTCGTGACTTTTGAGTTGACTCAAAAGTCATTGGCCCGACAATGAGTAGCGGATCCTTCTTCATCGCCTCGTGACTTTTGAGTTGACTCAAAAGTCATTGGCCCGACAATGAGTAGCGGATCCGTCTTCATCGCCTCGAGACTTTTGAGTTGACTCAAAAGTCATTGGCCCGACAATGAGTAGCGGATCCTTCTTCATCGCCTCGTGACTTTTGAGTTGACTCAAAAGTCATTGGCCCGACAATGAGTAGCGGATCCGTCTTCATCGCCTCGAGACTTTTGAGTTGACTCAAAAGTCATTGGCCCGACAATGAGTAGCGGATCCGTCTTCATCGCCTCGAGACTTTTGAGTTGACTCAAAAGTCATTGGCCCGACAATGAGTAGCGGATCCTTCTTCATCGCCTCGTGACTTTTGAGTTGACTCAAAAGTCATTGGCCCGACAATGAGTAGCGGATCCGTCTTCATCGCCTCGAGACTTTTGAGTTGACTCAAAAGTCATTGGCCCGACAATGAGTAGCGGATCCTTCTTCATCGCCTCGTGACTTTTGAGTTGACTCAAAAGTCATTGGCCCGACAATGAGTAGCGGATCCTTCTTCATCGCCTCGTGACTTTTGAGTTGACTCAAAAGTCATTGGCCCGACAATGAGTAGCGGATCCGTCTTCATCGCCTCGAGACTTTTGAGTTGACTCAAAAGTCATTGGCCCGACAATGAGTAGCGGATCCGTCTTCATCGCCTCGTGACTTTTGAGTTGACTCAAAAGTCATTGGCCCGACAATGAGTAGCGGATCCTTCTTCATCGCCTCGTGACTTTTGAGTTGACTCAAAAGTCATTGGCCCGACAATGAGTAGCGGATCCTTCTTCATCGCCTCGTGACTTTTGAGTTGACTCAAAAGTCATTGGCCCGACAATGAGTAGCGGATCCTTCTTCATCGCCTCGTGACTTTTGAGTTGACTCAAAAGTCATTGGCCCGACAATGAGTAGCGGATCCTTCTTCATCGCCTCGTGACTTTTGAGTTGACTCAAAAGTCATTGGCCCGACAATGAGTAGCGGATCCTTCTTCATCGCCTCGTGACTTTTGAGTTGACTCAAAAGTCATTGGCCCGACAATGAGTAGCGGATCCTTCTTCATCGCCTCGTGACTTTTGAGTTGACTCAAAAGTCATTGGCCCGACAATGAGTAGCGGATCCTTCTTCATCGCCTCGAGACCTGATTGGGGGAAGGAGGAGGAAGATGAGAGGAAAGACAAGAGAAGAAGGGGAAACGGGAAGAGAGGGGGAGGAGTGGGGCAAACAGCATTGGCCCCACGATACACAGCGGATCCTTTTTCATTGCCTTGAGACCTTGATGGGGGAGGGAGATGGGGAGGAGGTGGGGAAGGGGGAAAGACGGTGGGGGGAAGAGAAGAGCTGGTGGAGAGGAGAAGAAAGGCCAAGCAGTCGTGGTCCCAAGATGAGCAGTGTCGCTCTAGCGAGACGCGTAAAAGCCTCTCCGCACCGCCCATAACCGCCCAGGACCTCCCAGCATTGCCCAGCACCTCCCACCACCTCTCCCCCTCTCATTTCCATCTCTCTCCTCCACTCTCTCACCTGCCAGCTGTCCGAGGAACGGCATCGCGCCACCATCCAGCAACTCCCCTTCTTACCGCTCACCACCTCTCAGCACCTCCCAGCGCTGCTCAGCGCCTCTCATCTCCCCTTCTCTCACCTGCCAGCTGTTACCCACCTCCCATCACCGCTCAGCACCTCTCACCTCCCCCTCTCTCACCTGCCAGCTGTCCGAGGAACGGCGTCGCGCCACCGTCCAGCAGCTGCATCTCAAGGCGGTGACGTGGCAGCAGGTGGGGGTTGGCGTTGACCTGGTCAACGCCCAGTCGTAGGGCTGTGGGCAGTGGAGGCGGGGGAAGGGTAGGCGGAGAGGACAAAAAGGGCAGGAAACTGTAGGAGTCAACTCTATGCGATGGATGAGGTCGCACGCAGTCGTGGAAAACAAAAAAAAAAAACTCTACGTTTTTTAAGTGAAAGGCACTTTCCAATAACTTTTAGATGATGCATGTGTTGAAGCACACAACTTGTATTCTTTGTTTTGTTGTAAGGTAAACAGATTTCATGGTGTACCTGTTCCGAGCACTGGCAGAAACTCGAGCGAGACAATACACGCAATTCGAAGAACCCCCTTGGTTCCGTTCCCACTCCCACTGATTCTGCCGTGATTTTCGCTGCTGGTACCGTTGGCGCTAGTACTTGTAGCGTTGGTAACCGCGTCGTCAGCACCGCTACTTCCATTCGTAGTGTTCGCAATACTTGCGTTTCCGGCAGGCCCGCCAGTTCCTCTGGACAACCCTGGCGGCTCAGCAGGCTGCTGCGGCGTCGCCGGGGACGGCTGTGTGAGGTTTCCGGGCCACAAAGGCGAAGATAGTTTCGGTGTTCTGAGTCGCAGACTTCGCCAACCGTCCCTCATTTTTCGCGAGCCAGCCACGTGCGATTCCTCCCGAATCGCCCATATAGCGGATCTTCCGCGTGCGGCGGCTATCGCTACAGCGATATTGTGACCGTCATAAGCGGCATTCGTGGTAAACCCTAGTCCTAACTGTCGAACTGCTGCTGATCTGCGAAATAACTTATTTCGACTGATATGGTTACCAGAGAAGCCGCCGTTACGTCTCCACGCCGTTTGGACCCAAAGTCGTCTGTCGTTGATTTGCGAAGCGGCGGCGGGCGTTGTCGCCGATGCGCCGGGAGGGGTTGCTAATCGCACGGAAAGGGTGGCGAGAAATAGGGTTAGGAGGATGCGGCGCGAGTAAAATAGCCACCCGCCGCAATTTGCGGAGCAATAGTAGTTAATTTGGCTATAATCGCTTCGTCGCCAGCGGCAACGACATATTCTATTCCGCCAGCCCGGCCACACTTCGTTAGCCGCCACGGGGTCGCGATGATGTGGCAACGACGTCATGTCGGAAAACCGCTTCGAAGGGAGAAAAATAGCGGCTTCCACTGAGTCTCAAGTCGAGACAAAATAGTCACAAAAACCAGGGTTCGCGGAAAACTTTGCGAAAACAATCAGCATCGCGGCATACTAAACTATTTAGTCGTCCGAGCCGCCGCACTCGCCTAGGATTAAATACCACTCTGAGTGATCGTTAAAATCGCAGCCTTTGTCCGAAAGGCAAAGTTAAAAAGCATTCGCACACTCTACGGGGGGAGAAGCGTTTTTCTTAGGGAGCACACCAACCGAACACTCATTCTGTAGTCTATGTCTATCCGATTATTTGGCTCCGCGGCTCCGATGATAAGAATTGCATTGCTAGTACGGCGGGAAGAATCGGCGTTTCTGAGAGCACACCAGCCGGCGGTGGCTACAAACTAGGAGCGAAACGCCGAACGATCAAGTCGTGCCCATGAAGTCACGCCCCACCAGAGTGTGAGCATTCGCAGAGAGATTCTAGAACATAATTCACACGTTTGCTACGTGTCCTGAAGTCAGACACTGCTAACTATTCCCCTTGCTGGCTCCCGATGAAGCCGCCTAGCCTTGCCCGACCCACCACAACCACAGCATTCCCCCCCCCCGTCCCCCTCCCCCCTCTTCCATGGTGCCCCTTTTAGGGCTTGGGAGGACGAGACACCACAGAACGAGTTATGAGTTCGAAGCGAACAGTAGCGAAGCGACCGTAAGGACGCGGTGAAAGTGCTCGATCAGGGGTAGATCGATACGGTCACCGCACGGAAACCCCGCGTTTTGCATACGAAAGGTACAAAACCATTTAGAACCGCGCTAAAAAACGATCCTTGGGCGATCGATTCTCCACTTTTACCGCGTCCTAAAGGAGGACAGGTGCACTTCCGAGCAGCCAGGCAAATGAATCGGTTTTTTTTTGGCATCATTTCCACAAATGGACAAAGGCTAACGTTGCGCTGTCCGCACGCTTGCCTGCCAACTTGGGACTGACTGACTGACAAGAGCCTAGGGCGCGCGATTTCGTGTGATTGGTGATGCATGCGTGCGATGCGTTGCGATTAGTGGAGCAAGGCGACAAGAAAGAGAAGCAGACCCGTGACGTGGCCTTGGTTAGTGGGCGGTAATAAGGGGCACCAGGACTGTGGCTCGTATACTGAACCTCGATGCGGGATATCTCGGTAATGGTTACAACACACCTAGAAAATACCGTTTCTCTTAAACACGTCAGCCATCCATTCTTCATATGAATCTGCTCTTCTGCTAACATGTGGTATGGCTGTGAGGAGGGGTTCACAGACGAAAAGATTACACTCAGTGACGATGAACTTAAAACCCGCAGGCCAAGCTATTCAAGCTTAGGAAGGTTGGTTGGGAGTGAGGTCAATATTCGGCCGCGAGCCAATAGGAGTGACGAAAATGTTGGCCTAGGTCTCAGAAATCGGGAATCAGCACAGGCGTTTTTGGGACACCCAACCAACATTTGGAATGATGAGCCAAATGTGGCCTTCTTGACCCACGGGTTTTAAGGAATCTCCACATGAAACTTAGTCAAGCGGAACGTCCCGAATCATATCTAATCATTATTCTACAACATTTCTACAGCTTCTTATAAGCTTGGAAGGATATGGTATTGAGTGTAGCATTCCCTACGGACGACTTTAGCCAACATTCTCGGCCTACTGTGGTAACCGCAAGCACGCAAGTCGTCATCTTTTTGCATTTCTGCATGCACTTAGCTGGTGCCATGGGGAAAGAGTATTTTATGGTTGCCCCCGAAGGGAAATCTATCCCCATAGGAGCAGCTGCAAAGCCCAATTCTGTATGGACAAAGAGGAGTTCGGGAGAGGGTGAGGGGGGGGGGGGGGGGGATGGTTGGCAGGATGCCCAAGGTTAGTGAACGTGAGATATGTTGTGGAAGAAATCTCAAGACTAGGAGAGGTAGAATTGCATACGCGAAAGGTGAAAATAGGGAGCAAAAGTGTGAGGGTGTGAGTATGGATGTGGTGTGGGGGTGGTGGGGGGAAGGGAGGGGAATATCAGTCACTTACTTTTGGGGTTGACACATGCTGTCTTTTTCCTCTTGTAGTCAACTCGGCAGGCAAACACGCCACAACCCCCGTTATTAAAGGTGCAACTCCGGGATTGCCTGGACAACCTGTGCCAAAACCCAAGACTCCTGCCCACGAACCCCCCGGCGCTCCCATTCGTCCCAGTAAGTCCCGGGCTGACGGAAATTTTCAGCTCGGGCAGCGTGGGCAGGCTGACGCCCTCGGGCAGCCACATTGAGGTTTTCTGGGCAGATCCGTAGTAGGATTGGACGGCTGAGATTTGGCAGGAGCCGGATTGGCAGAACCCGGGAAACGTGTTTCCTTGGTAGTCTGAATCAACACAGCTGGTGCCGTCCGGTTCGACGATAGGGTTACCGCATTTGCCGCTGTTACAGGTGTAACCAGCGATGCAGGGGTTGGATGTTACACCGCACTTCGCACACTCATCTGTTGGGAACAGGAGGGGGCAGGGCGGGGTATGTCAGGGGAGGTATGACAGGGGAAGGTTAGGCAGGAATTGGCACCGCACAGGGAGGTACGGCAGTGGGAGGCTCGGCAAGGGGAGGTACCAAGGAGGAAAGGCATTGGCAGGGGGAGGTATACCCAGACTCACTCTTGCTGCACAGGGGATGGCTGTAGGCCACGAGCATGGGAAGCGTTTGTCTCACATAGGTGGTACTTATTCTCACATGGACCCACTATCGCAGCACATTGGCATTCACTCACTCTTGCTGCACAGGGGATGGCTGTAGGCCACGAGCATGGGAAGCGTCCCGGAAGGGTCGTACTCTCTCTCATCATTGATGTTTGCCACTCTTGCTGCACCCGACTCACTATGAGACGGGGGATCGGGAATGGCAGCACTCACTCTTGCTGCACAGGGGATGGCCACGTGTTGGAAGTGTCACTTTGAGACGTCTCAAAACCACACTTCAGACACTCACTATGAGGCGGGGAAGGGGGTATGGCAGCACTCACTCTTGCTGCACAGGGGGTGGCTGTACGCCACGAGCACGGGAAGCGTCCTGGAAGGGTCGTACTAGGCTAGGTCCTTGATATTGACGGCAGAGGGAGGCATAGCAGTGGGCAGGGGGAAGGATAGCAGGGGGAGGTGTGGCACCCAAACAACTCACTCTGCTGCACAGGGGGTGGCTGTAGGCCACGAGCACGGGAAGCGTCCCGGAAGGGTCGTACTTGGCAAGGCCCCCGATATTGACGACAGAGGGAGGTATAGCAGGGGGAGGTACAACAGGTGGAGGAAGGTGCGACACTCAAAGCACTCACTCTTGCTGCACAGGGGATGGCTGTAGGCCACGAGCATGGGGAGCGTCCCGGAAGGATCGTACTTGGCAAGGTCCTCAATATTGACGGCTGCTTTATCCTTGCGCACAGCCCTGACCATGACGTCAGCGACACGTGTCGCCATCTGAGTGGACACCTGGTTGCGCTGCCTGAACTGCTGGTAGCGAGCAGGCTTGTTCTGGGGATAGGAGTGGAGGGGGGAAAAGGGGGGTGACGGGAGGAGTGTGGGGAGGGTTGAGAGCGGAGGTGGAAAGGGGAGGAGGACACCTGGTTGCGCTGCCTGAACTGCTGGTGGCGAGCAGGCTTGTTCTGAGGGGGGGAAGGGGGAGAGGAAGGGGAAGGGGAAGGGGGAGAGGAAGGGGAAGGGGAAGGGGGAGAGGAAGGGGAGGGGGTTGAAACAGGCGTTGGGGTTGAAGGAAACACGAGGGAAGGGCAAAGAGACCTGGTTGCGCTGCCGGCACTGCTGGTAGCGGGCAGGCTTGTTCTGAGGGAGGGAGGAAGAGGGTGGGGAAGAGGGTTGGGAAGAAGGTGGGTAAGAAGGGGACGGGGAGGAGAGGATGAAGAGAGGGTAAGGGTATGCGCCGACCTGTTGTGTTGGCGGGCGGGCTTGTTCTGAGAGGGGGGATTGCGCTTACCTGCGTCTTGGGGGGGGGAGAAGATTCCGACCGTCCCGCCGGTCTTGTCCAGCCTCCGCGCGTGGCGATGACGATACCTGCTGCTGCAACAACTGCGCGCACTTGCGGGCAGGTGGAATGCGCTTACCTGAGTCCCAGGGGAGAAGATTCTGACCGTCCCACCGTTCTTGTCGAGCCTCCGCGCTTTGGGAAGGAGGAGGAGAGCATGAGAGAGAGTGAGGAGAGAGAGGACGGGCGCGCATTGCTCTGAGAAAGGGAGGAACGCGCTTACCTGCGTTCTGGGGGAGAAGATTCCGACCGCCCCGCCGTTCTTGTCCAGCCTCCGCGCGTGCGCCGCGGTGAGCATGGCGACGAGGGCGCGCTTCTCCATCGTCTTGCGCGCAATCATCGCGTCGGGCCCGCGCGTCATGCGCGCAACGCCCTTCACTCCGCCGTAAGACTGCGCGCAGGGAAGACGAGCGGGGTTCGGGGGGAAGGGGAAAGGGGAGGATGCGGGGGAGGCGGATAGCGGAGAATAAAGCGTTAGAGACGGGTTTCGGGGAAAGATTCTGGTCGTACAGTTTATATATCTACCAATTTCAGTTGTATATTGCCGAATGTACAGTTCAATGTAGAGATTTCCGTCATATCATTTTAAGATTATCTTAATTATAGTCGTTTGCTCACCATGGCGACAGGAGCGCCAATCGCGCTCATGCGACTGGCGAAGATCGCAGAACCCGGAATGACGACGTTGGCGACCCAAACCGCCGTCGTCGTGAGCTGTTGTGCGACGACGCGAGGGACAAGAGGGGAGGGGGGAAAGGAACGGGAGGAAGAGAGGTGGGGGGGGAGAGGGGAGTATGGGTATGGACACAGATGGGTACGGATGGGTATGAATGGGAGTGGATGGGTACAGATGGATATGGATGGTACGGATGGGTGGGTCTCCACGTGAGCAATAAGTTTCTCTTTGCTCGGCGCGCAACGTGCCTGACTGTAGACGTTCTTCGCACACTCCTCCTTGCTCGGCGCGCAGCCCATCCCGCAGTTGGTCCATTTCCCGCCGTACGCGCTACAGTCGTGCACGCATAACGAACCCGCGGGCCGATATCCCGCCTTACACTTGGGCATGCAGTCTCCCATAACGTTTTGCTGCCGCATCGGGCATTTTGATAAGCCCTTCTTGCCTCGGGATTTCCGCGTGTAGGTGTCGCGCCAGCAGAAATTGAAGATCGACGAGGTGTTTACGACCTCTAGATTCTCGCGCCGAGGCACGGCATACGCGGCGGAAAGGCTACTTATATCGCGGATGGGTAGAGTGAAATCATTTGAAGATTCGATAAAATCTGGGCTCACATAAACGGATACGCAGCTCGAGAAGCAGCTAAATATGATCAAAGTTGCAACAGTGAATGACTGAGATAGAGATTTAAGTCTCGCGGCAATGGCGGATCCACCTATTCGCGGCATGGTCGAGACGTATTGAAGAATTGCTTGGTGCATGCTAGAACGAGATGAGGTATTGCAAAGGGAATTGCGGCACCAGCAAAGTAATTTGTGCCTCGTCGGCCTGGTCTCGGGAAAATAAAAGGGACCTGGCTAAAGAAATCACTATGTACAGTTGCTGCTAACCTCTGCTGTTGCTCGTGTAGTTGACACCGACTATAGTGCTCTCACCGTCAAAGACCCGACGGGCTCTCTATCGCGTGTTCTCTTCATCTCGTTTTTTCCACGGCGCAGTGCTCAGGCTCGTGAGCGGCGCTCTAAACGACGGCGTTAAATTGCGAGAGACAGTTCTAACCACGTCCTTGGTTCGGAGCCGGTGCGACTTGGGGAGGTAAATCACGAGAAAGACACTGCTCTTGTGGAGCAACCGCTGTGTAACTAGATGGAAATGTCTGCGCGAATGGTGCTCAGGGAAAGGCCTGTGTGACTGCGTCTCTGAGGGTACGGACGAAACGGGCGGACCGTCCCGTACCCGCAGTCGCCGTCCATCAGTGGGGCTCGACTCAAAAATGAGGTGACTCGTGAATCGACTCAAAAATCACATTGACGGGACTTTCCTTGCACGATGTGTCGGTGATCACGAGTACAGAGGGAGCCCTCCAATGCGTCGTCACTCGCGAATCGTGACGCGCATCGCCTGAAGCACAGGCCATGACGTGGTCAGTAAAACGTTGTCCAGCTCAACACCCACAAAACAACTTTCCTCGTCATGCTTGCTTTGATGAGGTTGGGTAGAGTGTTGGATCAGGCAGGAACACATAACCCCAAAGCGGGAATAATGAAATTTGTGGCACAAGCATTTCGCACCCATTTGCTCCCATGAATCATGCATGCCATTCACTCAGTCAGAGTCTTTCAAGGCTGGATTTGGGAATTTTGGGCTCCAAGCAGAGTTGAAATTACTTCGACGTGCAAACTCGAGATGAACGACAAATGCGTCTCGGGAAAGCGACGCGGGGTGTGTTGTTGCATGGTAACCTTCGGACCAGATTGGTTTCGGAAGAGATGTTTGGGTTAGCGCTATAGCATGGAAGCACAGGGAAGTGTATCGCATTAGCTACTAACGATGAAATGTTTTCCCCGCCCGCAGATGTACAGCTTCTGAGCTTCTTGCCCTGCTGGCAACAGAGACTGCCATGCTGGCGCTCCCCTTTCGCCACCAGTGACTGTATTCCCGCAATACTGGAGCCCACCTCCAGAATCTCCGGCAATTAGCACATCTGCGTCACCCAAAAAAACGCACCCAAGCGCCCATGACGAAGCTGGTAACGCATCTAGTACCTGACGATGTAGGGCCCTGTTTGGCAGGCATCATGGCCATTAAGGGCGCTTCACCTGTCGGTTCGAACAACACACTCGTTCGAACAGGCGAAACGTTACTAGTTTCGCCTATGTTCGTAGTGGTTTTCGTGACGTCGCGAAGCACAATTTCGCCAATTTGAACAGAGCTGTCACCTCAAGCACGATTTTCATCATCCCGCACGTTCGAACACGTTTGTTCGAACAGGTTGGGATAGGTGACACACAATTCCGCACAAACGACTGATATGATTGGTCCACAGTCTTCCGGGTCGCCCATGAACGTTTGCGACCCGGCCAGACGTCGCCAATGTTTGGGACCCAATGCTTGGCGACGTCGCTCTTTTGTGGGCGACGTCGCTGTGTTCGAACAGACCGCGTGTGCGAATAGCGATGGCGTCACCTGTGATGGCCTGTGTCACATTCGCTCATTGTACGTATTTGTGTTCGAACTCATTTGGGATACTGTTCGTACAGTCAAACTGATACGTCGGTTCGGATTTTGGCCTTCCGCCCCTCAGGTGAAGCGCCCTAAGGCCATAATGGGCATTTCTAACGGACCCCCAAAAAATGCCGCCTGGGCATTTCGAGAAACAGCTTCGAAATCGGATTGTAGCTGCAGTGCACATTCTGAAAAACGGGGTTGAGTGGTTGGTTGGCAATATTTGGGTGTAGATTGATGGCATCTTTCGAGATTTCGGGTTTTGCAGAAGATGGTAAGCAGTTGCCATGATGGTTCGCGTGATCATGTGATTGGCTGGCATATTTGACTAGTCACTTTTTATTGGCTGCGTTCTGTTAGCGCATTATTTATGCGTGCACGACGCACAAGTTGTGCGCTCGAAGGCTTCTGTGCAGGAGAGTACCCCCACAAAACTATCACGAAGTTATGACCCAGGCGCGAGGTATCTGTGGGGCAGGCACCAGGGTGTTTACGCGGGGGCGGACCCAAAATATTTGACAGCAACAGCGCTGACCTGTTTTGGCACACAACGAATGGCTACAAACGAACACCCAACGGCAGGCACCTCAAAACCCAATTTGTGCACCCGATTGGGTGACAACCGTTGGGTGGTAACCGTTGGGTTAAAAAAATAGCCGAAGTCGTACTTTTCTCTGACGTTTTTAGCTGCCCTGCACAGCTTGTGCGCCCCTTTAACCTTGGGAGACGAGCGGATGGGACTCGCACTGGCTGCGCGGGAGGTTTGCCTGTGAACGCAAGGTCCTAGAATTTTCCGAGCGCATAGGCAGTACAGCGTTTTTGCGCACGCACGAGTAATGCGCGCACAACTTCCGCAGCAGAGTTTCGGGTCACACTAACGACTCCCTCCGTGTCAGAATCCCAACCACTAGACCATTGGGATAAAAGGGCTTGTTTCAGTAGCGGGTCAGTGCGCCCATAACCCCCCAGGCAAACGCGCCTGTAACCCCTGTCAAACATTATATATGTTCTGCTTGTGTAGGCTACAGTGGGTTAGCCTATAGGGGGTACACAATTCTAGGGTTTCCTACTTGTACTCATTTCACTGCTAGTTCATTCATTTCCTGTTCGCTTATTCTCACATGGTATCAGAGCGGGTCCTTCTACGGACCGTTTTTTTTTTTGGCCCACCGAAGCGCCCCCCGAGGCGCGATTTTTTTTTAGCGACCCCTCGGGTCGTCATTTTCCCTGCGGCCCCGCCGCTTTCACTGACGCGGCCCCGCCGCCCTCTCTGACGGGGCCCCGCCGCCGGCCCTTACGCGGCCCCGTCGCCGGCTCTCACGCGGCCCCGCAGCAGGCTCTGTCGCGGCCCCGCCCCGGCCTTTACGCGGCCCCGCCGCCTGCTCTCACGCGGCCCCGCCCCGGCTCCTTCGCGGCCCCGCCGCCTGCTCTCGCGCGGCCCCGCCCCGGCTTCTACGCGGCCCCGCCCCGGCTTTCACGCGGCCCCGCCGACGGCTTTGTCGCGGCCCCGCCCAGGCCCTTACGCGGCCCCGCCGCCTGCTCTCACGCTGCCCCGCCCCGGCTCCTTCGCGGCCCCGCCGCCTGCTCTCGCGCGGCCCCGCCCCGGCTTCTACGCGGCCCCGCCCCGGCTTTCACGCGGCCCCGCCGACGGCTCTGTCGCGGCCCCGCCCAGGCCCTTACGCGGCCCCGCCGCCTGCCCCCGTCGCGGCCCGGTCGCCTCCTGACGGCCCCGCCGTCCCTTCGTGACGGCCCCGCCGTCCCTTCCTGACGGCCCCGCCGTCCCCTCCTGACGGCTCCTGCCGTCCCCTTCTACCGGCCCCGCAACTGCACCTGCTGGCCCCGCCGCTGCACCTACCGGCCCCCTCAGGTCGCCTCGACAGGCGACGGGAGAGGCCAGCAGAGGGGTGGCAGGTGCGTGGCCTCCCCTGCTTCTCCTCCTCCTTCATCGCTCACCTGCAGCAGCCGAGCCGCCCCACCGCCGAGCCGCCCTGCACCAGAGCCGCCCAGCAGCCGAGCCGCCCTGCCGCCGAGCCGCCGGGTCGCTGAGCTGCTGAGCTGCAGTTGCTGCCGAGCCGCCCTGCCGCCGAGCCGCCGAGTCACCGAGCTGCTGAGCTGCAGTTGCTGCCGAGCCGCCTTGCCGCCGAGCCGCCCGAGTCGCCCGAGCCGCCGAGCCGCCGAGCTGCCGAGCCACTGAGTCGCCGAGCCTACTCTTCCCACCACTGGTGAGCTCTTGCCCTGCTAGCACGCTGCGCGTCGCCTGCTTGCCTGCCTGCCTGCCTTTTGGCTTGCCTGGCTGCCTGCCTTCCTGCTGCTAGTCCTGCTCCTGCTTCTACTTGCGGAGCCAGATGCAGCCCCAGCGACGCCTGCGTGAGTCCCTCACGCCCCAGCAGCTGCGTGAGTGGTACGCTGGTTGGGGCTGTAGGGGTGGCGACGCTACTCCTACTTCCACTCCTGCTGCTTCTACTCGTGGTGGCGGCCAGATGCAGCTCCCGCGACCCTCTCGCGTGTCTCTCACGCCTCGCCAGCTTCGTGAGTGGTACGCTCAGAGTGGAGGGTCTCTCAGTGCTGTTCGCTGCTCTTACGTGATTCGCACTGGTACTCGGACTGGTCAGCCTTGTGGGACACGTAGTCATACACCGTCCCGCTGCTTCGCCCGTCTGAGCGACGCCTGGCGTACCGTGTTTGGCGACGAGGCTGAGCTTCCCGACTGGGTGGAGTTGCTTAGGCAGAGGTTAGATATATATGCTCTTGACTATGATGCTATTTTCACTGCCATGTATGCATTGCCTACTAGTGCTGACCGTGCCGGTCACCTGTGCGTCCCGCCTGACCCAGGTATAGGACCTGTTGCTCTAGCTACCGGTGAGGCTGCTGCTCTGGGTGC